CGCCTTAAACGAGCAGGCTGGAGCCAGCCCTCTGACTCGGATAACAAGGTAAGCTGTGAAACACTTTCTAATTTTGCTCACAGTTGAACTGAGAGTGAATCACTTAAAACACTTTCGCTTTTGTTTCTTAAACCTCAGCTGCCTCTCAAGTTGATGTCAAGGATTGCTTCTTCAATGTGCAAAGCTCCAGAGATGGTGGATGATTGCTTCTCACTAGTGATGAGAATGGAAGCTGAGATGGAGGCAGAAGTGAGGAGAGCTGAAGCAGAGAAGATTGCAGCGGAAGCTCAGCTGAGGAGACAGGAAAGTGACGCAGCTGCTGCAGCTGTAGCGGCAAGAGGAAAAGCAGAGAAGGCAGAAAAGTCAGCTCAAAAGAAAGCGAGAAAAAGAATCGCCAGAGAGAAAAATAATCTCAACCGTATCGGCGCCAAGTCTCTCGGACTGCAGTGATTGGATTTTAAATGGTTTGTTCATTTAGGGCATCGAGTTTTAAGTGAATGTCTATGTGTGCTTGTTCTCACACGAGTAAAAACATGTGATTTGTAGACTTCATGATCGAGCTGTTGGTTTTGGTAGTGTGTATGAATGCTTGTTCTGACATGGATATCGAGCGATTGAGTTTATCGCGCATTGATGAACATTGCAGTTGTTTTGAGAGACAGTTTGATGGATCTGATGAGGGAATCAAAGCCATCAATCAAACCTCCCAAGAAAACATATATGTCATGTGTCCTGATGTCGGGATGGTGACTACAGAGAGATAAAATGCATTGTAACAGCCTGATGCAAATGTTCTTTGAAAGGTTTTTATAGTTTTGCTTTTTGTCATGAATCAGTTGCTTCCTATTAGAGTGTTTCCTTAATTTTGCCGAGTCCGGTTATAGGTTCTCTTGCAGGGAACTGTCCCTTCTACCATAAATGCGGCACACATATTTACGTTGATTGTCACAAATTGCGGGTAGAAGATCTCTTTACTTAAGTAAATATGTGTTGTCGATGATTTTAAATCCGGGTAACACACAAGTAAAAGAACACAAAAAACCCCACCTAAGATTTCTAAATGCAAAGCCATCCCCGACATGGGTTATGTTAGCTTGTCCTTTATGCTTAAGATCAAAGAAACCCAAAATCCCTCATCATCAACAAAAAGAAACAGGTGTGGTCCATTTATTGTGCTTAACTATCAAACCTATCAATCAACGCAAGTATGGTGTAAGGACCCTATGACAACGCAAAATGGAAGATGTTAAGATATAGTAAGCCTATGAGAAGACGACCATAAATTAAGTTGAAAGTGCCTGGAACCTACGAGAAGGAAAGCATGTTGGGAATCTTGGGTGCAGCAGGCATGTCCATGAATAGTGAATTTGAAAAGAAAGTAAGACGCCTTCGAGCTTCCAAGTTGGATGGAACATCTATAGCTGACTCGTTGACAGTAAGCAAAAGATGAAGCCTCTTGATCTGCAAACGAACAAAAACAGAGGAAAGTAGACAAACCACTTAGACATTCCTCATGCCAAAGATATCAAATGCACCACTGTGGTGGAAACACAAGAATGAGATAAATGGAATATTTTATAGAGGATGAGAGACTTGCTTTTTCTTTCCAAGCTTTCGTTCTTTTTTTTTCCTAGTTCAATCTAAAAATTATTGGAACTAGAATATGTATATATGATAATTTTAATAATGGTAATGGATATGTTGAGACTTGAGATGACCAAACGGAATTATCATGATTAATTTTGAGACTTGAGACTTGAGATGACCAAACACTTATTTTGTTTGTTATCTGCCCACAGTATAAGGTTAACTTTAGACGAATGTTGACAAGTATAACGATGACTACTATAGAAACCACTTAATCCATTTACTATGATGTTTCGATATTCCTCACATCAGCTGTCCCCATTTTCCAATATTCACAAAAGTCCAGAACCTTGTCTCTGATGGCTAAGTTGGTACCTCAGAACTCCATGCACCATGCCTTCCTGATAACCGATATCAAATTTTCAGAACCGAAGAAGACATTATTACCATGAACCACGCGGGACAGATAGAAGACAGAACTACTTTTCATAATGCTGGTGCCAAAACAAAACTTCTCTTGTGATTGCAAGAAGCACAGACGTTGACATACACACTTGAAGAAGACAAGCAGACAAAATGAACGCAAAATAACATTGGTTGTTTTTTCCCCATACAATTTCAAGAACTAAGTAAGATTCCAAACAACAGAGGGCCAGCAGCGAGTTAAACCCAAAATTTGTTTTATGATGCTGAAAGAAAAACTCATTAAGAGCGAGCCAGCATAAATATATGAATAAACAATTAAACACCATAAGATGTTAAGACTGTAAACTAGGAAACTAGGCGCTCTGCAACTTGTCCAGTATCAGGAAAAAAGGAACACTATCAAGAAACCGTAAATAGTGTTTTTACTTTAAAAGAAAGAATAAAAAAATCTTGAAGATCAATCATTTTGGGGTATCTTATAGCAGATAAGGCTTGCTTATTCACTGAGCTTCTCTAGACTTTTCATTTGAACAAAAGGTGAGATGTTGTTGAAACCCTAGGAAGATCTTTTAACTCCTCGATGATCAACTCTGGATCTTCAAGATTTAACCTCAGGGAGATTGTTGCGGTTTTTAAACGCTTAGAATTGGCTAAAACGTATGTCAAGAATTCTTCCTCTATTATTCTATCCCCATATTCTCTCCACTCGAATATCTCGAGCTGTGATGACAAGCATTCGGGAACATGACTCGGCTGTTTCCATGACCATGGGAGATCCTCGGGATGATAGACAAATTTCTGAGAAGCAATGAAGGCAATATGGTTAGCAAAAATTTGACTAGTATAGATTTTAGTCCATTAAAGCAAGAAGAGGAGGAGGATGATACGTACATAATCTACCAAAAACTCTTTTAGTTTTGGAGCATTTTTAAGTAAAAGTAGGTGTGTTTCCAACATGTCTGGTCCATACGGACATATGCTTAACTTTATAAGTCGAGAGAAGTTGACGTTGGTACAACGCATAACCTGCACAACTTAAGTAAGTAGGTAGATGCAGAAATGGAATCACAACGAGATAAAATTAGAGAGATACCATTGCATCAGACAAATTCAAATGAAGAGACAAGACTGAAGAAAAAGAAGTTAGAAATTTGTCATCCGGATGATAAGACTCTTCAACATTGATATTTGCATCCTGGAGACAGGGCATATCCTCGATGGAGAAAGAGTCTAGTGAATAATCGGTGATTCGACAGGTGTTCACTGCAGGAGCATCTACAACCAAACACCTATCAGTATAGTCTACTACATCAGACGAGTCATTAATATACCGCAAGTACAATAAAGAAGGCACTTTGATAGTAAACTTTTTCACATTGTCATCTATTTTCCTTTTCACGAACAAGGTCTCAAGAACAGGGCAGCTCGATAACAAGGTAACGAGAGAATCCTCGTCTTTATACACAACACAGATTAGTTCGAGATCGCTAAGGAATGGGAGATAGGCGGAAGAAGAAGAAGGAACATTCACGAGAATCTGGTCGGAGAGAGTCAGTTCAAAAAGAGTGTCGCAACAGTAAAGGCTCTTGGGCAAGCTGGTTGGACCTGCGGACCAGAGGAGCTTGATTGTTAGCGTCCACACCAAACAATCAACAGCTTTTGCAACCCACTTTCCGATATCAACATCATCAGTAGTAGGGCACTGTGGACCAAGTTCAATACACAAGCTGTCTATTACAGGTGACTTGTGGAGTTGCAATGATTTGTTAAGAAACCACCAAACGCTCTTCTTGCTTTCATCATCCATGTCTTCTTTATACTCAAGTGTCCTTACCATCGTCCAAATCGACAGCCATCGTTTTGACAGAATCATGGTGGCTACTACGTCTTTTGTCGGGAGAAGATCCAATATCTCTACGAGTAAATCTTCCGGTAGAGCACTGATCCTGTCTTCACAACCGATCTCTTCAATTTTGGCTTCTGCCATCGAAAGCAACCAAAACAATACTAGCGTTTTAGGGTTTTTACTTGTCAAAACAGCATTATTATTAACTTATATAGTCAAGTCTTCTTATTCGATGTCTACGGGCAAACGGGTCAGAAATTCTAAAAAGGCGTGTTGGGCCAAGTGGAACTCAAAGCAAATTTTAACCAAAAATAACCGGAAAATCGTACCGAAACCGGTTTACAAGATCCGTCCATACCAAACTACTTCAAATGGGAAATATTTATTCAAATATAAAAGATTTCTGATTAGGTTTACTTGATTTTTTTTTGTATATTCTCTGATAAATTTAAATGGGAAATATTTTTATTACTATTTTTCTAAGACGATATATTTGTATAAGAAACTATACAATTGTTACTAATCCTAAAAATAATTGTATAATAAAATAAAAGGTAAAAATAGAAACGACGCCGTTTTCACGTTTGCGCTAAGGCATGTCGCAGAGACGCAGACTCAGAACAATAAACTTGTGGGGTTACTCGAATGGGCCTATAAACATTATAATAATGGGCCTTGAAAGAGTAAATTGGCCCAAGAGTGGATATAAAAAGCAACGAGAGATTGATTTGATTAGTAAAACCTAAATTCACCATTTTTATTTCTTTCGTCTCCTTTCAAAGGTCTGTGCCTCTGTGTTCAACTTTTTTCTTCTTCTTCTTCTGGTTTTGTTTTTCAATTCTTCAACACTCTCCAATCCACGACCATGGCTAAGAAGAATTACTGTTCGTGGGCCTTAAGGGCTGATTTCTGTTGGATCTATCCGAGAAAGAGAAACAGATCTCGTTGCTTTCAAATCCAAATCCCATGAGGAGCGAGCCAAGCTATGGATTTTTACGCGAAAGAAGACTTCTCATTGGATCTGCTTACACGTGTTTGATCATCCACGTGTTTGTATCCAACGCAAAGGGGGCAATAACCGTTTTGTTATGCGTCGTCTCTTTCTTTATTTTACTCTCTTCTTTTTTTCAATTCCCGCTTCTTCAATTTCTTCTCCAGTTTCAATTTCTTTTTCTCCCAAAATCTCTCTCTCTCGATCTAATTCCTTCGACGCCATGGAAGTTCCTCAAGCTTATCGTCGTAAGATTTCGTTGCTGGAAGACGCCGTGGAACTGTTCTGGGACCGTTTCTTCCAGGAGCGAAGTGACTTCCGTGCGTTTGCACTTACTCAGACCGATCATTTCCCTCCTAGGTGAGCCAAATCACCTCTTCCTCTCTCTAAACATCAGTTGCACTCAGTTCTAAGCCTGAGAATCGCCATTTCTTTTGTCATTGTAGCTTCGTCGATCGTTTGATCGTAGGTCTTGACCGTGCGAGATGGACTCGACTCCTAGATTCAGGTTACGAGGTAGGGTTTAGGATCCTGTGTAGTTGGATTCGTTTAGGTTAGTCCTTGTTATTGTGTGTGTTTGTTGCGATTGATCTTCTGGTGTTCTCTGTAGATTCCAAGGAAAATTGTGGCAAGACTTGTTGCCTTGTTTGCTGATCTTGATCCTGACCAATTCATTTGCTCCATCTATGACTTGGAGAAACGTGTGAAGAAGAGGGCAGACAGAGAGCGCAAGAAGCTCCTTGCGATCGCCATGGAAGTTCCTCAAGCTTATCGCCGTGAGACTTCGTTGCTGGAAAACGCCGTGGAACTGTTCTGGGACCGTTTCTTCCCGGAGCGAAGTTTCTTCCGTGCGTTTGCACTTACTCAGACCGACCAGTTCCCTCCTAGGTAAGCCTACTCACCTCTTCCTCTCTCTAAACATCAATTGCACTCAGTTCTAAGCCTGAGAATCGGATGCATTTCTTTTGTCATTGTAGCTTCATCGATCGTTTGATCGAAGGTCTTAACCGTGTGAGATGGACTCGACACCTAGATCCAGGTTACGAGGTAGGGTTTAGGATCCTGTGTAGTTGGATTCGTTTAGGTTAGTCCTTGTTGTTGTGTGTGTTTGTTGCGATTAATCTGGTTTTTCCTTTGTAGATTCCTAGGAAAATTATGGCAAGACTTGTTGCCTTGTTTGCTGATCCTGATCAGTACATCTGCTCCATATATGACTTGGAGAAACGTGTGAAGAAGAAGGCAGACAAAAAGCGCAAGAAGCTCTCTGCGATACCTCCTTGGGATCTCTCTGTGATAGAAAAGTCTATCCATCAGTTCTGGGTTACATTCTCCTCCCTTGATGGAGCCGATCTTCGTTCTTTTGCTGAGTCTCAGGCCAACAATTTCCCTCACAAGTAAGTCTTTTCTTTGGGTTGCAGATGATTGTTGTTCTTTTTTTCAACCTGTTTAATTGCTTTTCACGGACTTTGCTGAAGCTTTTCTTCTTGTTTTGTTTGTAGCTACATCGCTGAGTTCCTCGACCGCCTTAAACGAGCAGGCTGGAGCCAGCCCTCTGACTCGGATAACAAGGTAAGCTGTGAAACACTTTCTAATTTTGCTCACAGTTGAACTGAGAGTGAATCACTTAAAACACTTTCGCTTTTGTTTCTTAAACCTCAGCTGCCTCTCAAGTTGATGTCAAGGATTGCTTCTTCAATGTGCAAAGCTCCAGAGATGGTGGATGATTGCTTCTCACTAGTGATGAGAATGGAAGCTGAGATGGAGGCAGAAGTGAGGAGAGCTGAAGCAGAGAAGATTGCAGCGGAAGCTCAGCTGAGGAGACAGGAAAGTGACGCAGCTGCTGCAGCTGTAGCGGCAAGAGGAAAAGCAGAGAAGGCAGAAAAGTCAGCTCAAAAGAAAGCGAGAAAAAGAATCGCCAGAGAGAAAAATAATCTCAACCGTATCGGCGCCAAGTCTCTCGGACTGCAGTGATTGGATTTTAAATGGTTTGTTCATTTAGGGCATCGAGTTTTAAGTGAATGTCTATGTGTGCTTGTTCTCACACGAGTAAAAACATGTGATTTGTAGACTTCATGATCGAGCTGTTGGTTTTGGTAGTGTGTATGAATGCTTGTTCTGACATGGATATCGAGCGATTGAGTTTATCGCGCATTGATGAACATTGCAGTTGTTTTGAGAGACAGTTTGATGGATCTGATGAGGGAATCAAAGCCATCAATCAAACCTCCCAAGAAAACATATATGTCATGTGTCCTGATGTCGGGATGGTGACTACAGAGAGATAAAATGCATTGTAACAGCCTGATGCAAATGTTCTTTGAAAGGTTTTTATAGTTTTGCTTTTTGTCATGAATCAGTTGCTTCCTATTAGAGTGTTTCCTTAATTTTGCCGAGTCCGGTTATAGGTTCTCTTGCAGGGAACTGTCCCTTCTACCATAAATGCGGCACACATATTTACGTTGATTGTCACAAATTGCGGGTAGAAGATCTCTTTACTTAAGTAAATATGTGTTGTCGATGATTTTAAATCCGGGTAACACACAAGTAAAAGAACACAAAAAACCCCACCTAAGATTTCTAAATGCAAAGCCATCCCCGACATGGGTTATGTTAGCTTGTCCTTTATGCTTAAGATCAAAGAAACCCAAAATCCCTCATCATCAACAAAAAGAAACAGGTGTGGTCCATTTATTGTGCTTAACTATCAAACCTATCAATCAACGCAAGTATGGTGTAAGGACCCTATGACAACGCAAAATGGAAGATGTTAAGATATAGTAAGCCTATGAGAAGACGACCATAAATTAAGTTGAAAGTGCCTGGAACCTACGAGAAGGAAAGCATGTTGGGAATCTTGGGTGCAGCAGGCATGTCCATGAATAGTGAATTTGAAAAGAAAGTAAGACGCCTTCGAGCTTCCAAGTTGGATGGAACATCTATAGCTGACTCGTTGACAGTAAGCAAAAGATGAAGCCTCTTGATCTGCAAACGAACAAAAACAGAGGAAAGTAGACAAACCACTTAGACATTCCTCATGCCAAAGATATCAAATGCACCACTGTGGTGGAAACACAAGAATGAGATAAATGGAATATTTTATAGAGGATGAGAGACTTGCTTTTTCTTTCCAAGCTTTCGTTCTTTTTTTTTCCTAGTTCAATCTAAAAATTATTGGAACTAGAATATGTATATATGATAATTTTAATAATGGTAATGGATATGTTGAGACTTGAGATGACCAAACGGAATTATCATGATTAATTTTGAGACTTGAGACTTGAGATGACCAAACACTTATTTTGTTTGTTATCTGCCCACAGTATAAGGTTAACTTTAGACGAATGTTGACAAGTATAACGATGACTACTATAGAAACCACTTAATCCATTTACTATGATGTTTCGATATTCCTCACATCAGCTGTCCCCATTTTCCAATATTCACAAAAGTCCAGAACCTTGTCTCTGATGGCTAAGTTGGTACCTCAGAACTCCATGCACCATGCCTTCCTGATAACCGATATCAAATTTTCAGAACCGAAGAAGACATTATTACCATGAACCACGCGGGACAGATAGAAGACAGAACTACTTTTCATAATGCTGGTGCCAAAACAAAACTTCTCTTGTGATTGCAAGAAGCACAGACGTTGACATACACACTTGAAGAAGACAAGCAGACAAAATGAACGCAAAATAACATTGGTTGTTTTTTCCCCATACAATTTCAAGAACTAAGTAAGATTCCAAACAACAGAGGGCCAGCAGCGAGTTAAACCCAAAATTTGTTTTATGATGCTGAAAGAAAAACTCATTAAGAGCGAGCCAGCATAAATATATGAATAAACAATTAAACACCATAAGATGTTAAGACTGTAAACTAGGAAACTAGGCGCTCTGCAACTTGTCCAGTATCAGGAAAAAAGGAACACTATCAAGAAACCGTAAATAGTGTTTTTACTTTAAAAGAAAGAATAAAAAAATCTTGAAGATCAATCATTTTGGGGTATCTTATAGCAGATAAGGCTTGCTTATTCACTGAGCTTCTCTAGACTTTTCATTTGAACAAAAGGTGAGATGTTGTTGAAACCCTAGGAAGATCTTTTAACTCCTCGATGATCAACTCTGGATCTTCAAGATTTAACCTCAGGGAGATTGTTGCGGTTTTTAAACGCTTAGAATTGGCTAAAACGTATGTCAAGAATTCTTCCTCTATTATTCTATCCCCATATTCTCTCCACTCGAATATCTCGAGCTGTGATGACAAGCATTCGGGAACATGACTCGGCTGTTTCCATGACCATGGGAGATCCTCGGGATGATAGACAAATTTCTGAGAAGCAATGAAGGCAATATGGTTAGCAAAAATTTGACTAGTATAGATTTTAGTCCATTAAAGCAAGAAGAGGAGGAGGATGATACGTACATAATCTACCAAAAACTCTTTTAGTTTTGGAGCATTTTTAAGTAAAAGTAGGTGTGTTTCCAACATGTCTGGTCCATACGGACATATGCTTAACTTTATAAGTCGAGAGAAGTTGACGTTGGTACAACGCATAACCTGCACAACTTAAGTAAGTAGGTAGATGCAGAAATGGAATCACAACGAGATAAAATTAGAGAGATACCATTGCATCAGACAAATTCAAATGAAGAGACAAGACTGAAGAAAAAGAAGTTAGAAATTTGTCATCCGGATGATAAGACTCTTCAACATTGATATTTGCATCCTGGAGACAGGGCATATCCTCGATGGAGAAAGAGTCTAGTGAATAATCGGTGATTCGACAGGTGTTCACTGCAGGAGCATCTACAACCAAACACCTATCAGTATAGTCTACTACATCAGACGAGTCATTAATATACCGCAAGTACAATAAAGAAGGCACTTTGATAGTAAACTTTTTCACATTGTCATCTATTTTCCTTTTCACGAACAAGGTCTCAAGAACAGGGCAGCTCGATAACAAGGTAACGAGAGAATCCTCGTCTTTATACACAACACAGATTAGTTCGAGATCGCTAAGGAATGGGAGATAGGCGGAAGAAGAAGAAGGAACATTCACGAGAATCTGGTCGGAGAGAGTCAGTTCAAAAAGAGTGTCGCAACAGTAAAGGCTCTTGGGCAAGCTGGTTGGACCTGCGGACCAGAGGAGCTTGATTGTTAGCGTCCACACCAAACAATCAACAGCTTTTGCAACCCACTTTCCGATATCAACATCATCAGTAGTAGGGCACTGTGGACCAAGTTCAATACACAAGCTGTCTATTACAGGTGACTTGTGGAGTTGCAATGATTTGTTAAGAAACCACCAAACGCTCTTCTTGCTTTCATCATCCATGTCTTCTTTATACTCAAGTGTCCTTACCATCGTCCAAATCGACAGCCATCGTTTTGACAGAATCATGGTGGCTACTACGTCTTTTGTCGGGAGAAGATCCAATATCTCTACGAGTAAATCTTCCGGTAGAGCACTGATCCTGTCTTCACACCTGATCTCTTCAATTTTGGCTTCTGCCATCGAAAGCAACCAAAACAATACTAGCTTTTTAGGGTTTTTACTTGTCAAAACAGATAAACTTACGTATGACGGTATGAGCAAACTTATATAGTCAGTCTTATTCTAATGTCTACGGGCAAACGGGTCAGAAATTCTACACAAACGTGTTGGGCCAAGAGCAACTCAAAGCGCATTTAACCTAAGGTTTCAGTTGGAGTTACGCTATAACCAAAGGTCCAAAACACAGAGAGTTTTACTTATTTCATATTTTCCTTAACCGAACCAATTCAAATCAGACCAAACCGACCAAGTTGGAAATGGCTAACTTACACTTGAAATTTAAATCTACACGCTTATTATTATTAACTGTCGACGAAATTAGAGAGCAAAAGAGTCAAAAGTGTGTCAAAATCTCTACCACCGATTTTTCTACATAGCGTCGTCTCAGACAGCTCTAAAATCCTTCTTCGAGGTTTTTCTTCACACTCGCCGAAAAATCTAATCTTTACGAGACCCAGATCGGCGGATCTAGTGTTAAAATGGCGAGACATGCGGCGGCGTTGAAGATCGGTCTAGCTTTACTGGGGCTGAGCATGACTGGTTACATACTTGGTCCGCCTCTCTACTGGCATCTCACTGAGGCTTTGGCCGCCGTTTCCACCTCCTCTTGTCCTTCCTGCCCCTGTGAGTGCTCTCCCTATTCCGCTATCACGATTCCCAAAGGTAAACAGAATTTTGTTTGAAGCTTGATCTGTGTCCATGATTACAATCTTGCTAGATCTGTGGGTAAAGTTTACTCCTTTTTGTAGAGTGATGTATGAATTTAGCAACTTTATATCAAAATTTGGCGTTGTATCTGTTTGTGGAAGTAAGGATTAGTAATATTTGGCTTCTGAAGTTTTTTGGTTCTTTATTTTCTTTTTCTGGTGCTGAAGTTACTGAATTTGCATGCTTTTGAGCTTGGTTCGTGCTAGTTTGAATCTGAGATGATAAGTGTACTAAGTAAGTGTAGACCTACTTGAATTGTGTTTCATTCGTTTTAGGTGCTCTCCTTCATAAAAAGATTATCTCAGTTATTTGTCCACAGTGTTGATTCTCCTATTGTTTGAGTTAAACAATAGCATTAATGGTTCAGGTTATGATTTGTAAATTTCTCGGATTGTGGAAGTTGAAGTTTACTGGCTACTGTTCTGGTCATAGCAAATCAACAAACAATGCAGTTTGTTTGGAGTGTATGCATTGTTTTTGCTTTTAGACCGATTTGATTGATAGAATTTGTTAATTTGTAAATTTGTTTGGAGTGAAACCAAAGAAGGCTGTAGTATGAGTTGAAATTCATGGTTTGTATTGCTTGTTGTGACAGATTTCTTAAGTGACTATATGTTTCTCGCTAAGCTGAGTTTATATTCTTTTTCGTATGTTACCAAATCTAAAAGATTGATCCTTATTTACTTGTTTCCTTTCTTCTTGCAGAAGCAGTAATGCTTCTTTCGCCGGTGAGTTAATTGTGAAGGGTATTTCTTGAACTACATCAGTTAAAAAAAGTCTTTTAAATTTTTTAGCAATAGAGTCTTTGTATTAAACATCTCTTACTTTAAATGTGTAGATTGTGCAAAGCACGATCCAGAGGTCAACGAAGACACTGAGAAGAACTATGCTGAACTTCTAACCGAGGAACTGAAGCTGCGTGAAGCGGAATCTTTAGAGAAACACAAACGAGCAGACATGGGGCTTTTAGAGGCCAAGAAGGTAACTTCTTCATACCAAAAGGAAGCAGATAAGTGCAACTCGGGTATGGAAACATGTGAAGAAGCTCGGGAAAAAGCAGATTTAGCACTCGCTGAGCAGAAAAAGCTAACATCTAAGTGGGAAGAGAGAGCTCGCCAAAAAGGATGGAGAGAAGGAGCCACCAAGTCAAATGTTAAACCCAAAAGCAATGTTTAGGTTGCTTAGGAAACCCCAAAGATCAGCAAAAGGATCTTAGTTACAAACCACTCGTGTAATTGTTTGTGAATTGGATTTTAACAAAATATAATGTCAACTATTATTATACTTTTCAACAAAACAATCACAAATTAGATGCTTATAGAAAACACGCAAAATATCCCAAATACATCAAATTGACCATCAGACACATTATTATTACCCAAGGATTCAGTACGTTCATAATCATCATACTGATGCCTTGTTGAAACAGTTTTTTGGTCAACAAACTACATATGATATGTCCTTAACAGATTTGGATTGGATGGGCCAGAAATTCTTAAAGCCCCAAATCCAATAAATTGGCTAATGTTTCATTCATGGTCGGCAACCTTCGATAGTCAAGAAAATAATATTATATCAGCCGCAAACTACGAAAATAAACAATTTTAATTTGTATCCACAATATAACCACCACGAGGTCCACGAACAGTTCAATATTTGACATGATGAGATGTTGAGAATTTTGCTATCTATAGTCGGTTTTAAAGTTAAACATGAGATCTATATTATACTCTCTATTTATCGACCATTAGACCAAAGTCGTTTTCACTAGTCAAAATATTTTAAAACGTAGGTTTTATTCTATTATTGATAATCATGACTTTTGAATTAGTCTGTGGAGAAAAAGAAAGCAGAAAATTTCCGGTCACATTTCAAAAAGGTCAACAGAAAAAATGTAACTTTATAAGCAACTTTGTCTCTTGTGTTTCCATATTGTTGATAATGATATTCATACAAATCATGTCGCTATTCAAAGCTTCATCATTCTGCATACGAATACTTTAACCTTAAAAAGCTTCATTACATTCACGCGTAAGTATCAAACTGATATGTTTAAAGGGAAAAAATTATGTTTTACGTTTCATATGTGAAGACTGAAGACTAATCAGAAAATTTATCATTACAAAAACTTTCCTTTAGTTATTCACCAATTCAATTGTTTATGTTAATAATTTTTTTTTGTTGCAAAAGTTGGAATATTATCCGTGCAAACTACATGGTAAATTTATAGTATCTACCTATATATGTATGAATGCATCAATGCATGTGAACTTCAAACGTGTATTGATGTATGTGCATGTGTATATGTGACCTTGCACATTAAATGCTACTTGATATTTATTTTGCATTTGAGTTAAATTTCAAATCGTAGCATCTATAATCAATACTCACTTTTAAACCGGCCATTTTTAGGTGGGAAGTGGGGTTCACCGTTCACCATTGTATTTATCAGATTCTCCCCATTACAAGTTACTGACAGTTCCACAGTTATATTTTAAAATTTTTTGCAAACATAAGTTTGTATAGTTTGATTATCTTCCCCTTTTTTTGTTGAAAAAATAAAATAATAATCGAAGTTTATTAAGGGGAAATTTGTAAAAGTACTCTAAAGTAGTTAGATTTTCTAAATACTTTTGATTTCTTCTTATAATCAACTATTGTGATAATAAAGACAACAATATGTATTATGCATGTCTGAATCCAAACGACATTAATACAAATTACTACACTACATAGTCTACATGTTTTAGTCCACCTATAATTATAGAATCTTTAGTATTTTGACTCACAAAATGTATTTACTCTCAAACTTGTATATTCTTTAATTACCCAAGAAAAACCTTGAATATTGTAAGATATAAAATTAATGTTGACAAAGAAGAAACTTTATGAAGTGGACCATATATGTCTACACCTAATCCCTAAATAAAATGCAAATATATACACACTCGCAACAACACATATGGAAGTTTGTGCATCACACCTTGTTTCTCATAATCATATACCAAAAATCTCCCTAAAAAAAAAAACATTCTTCAAGAAAAGATTTTTGTTTTCTTATGAAAAATAAAAATATGAATCCGAGTCGTCGTCTTCTTTGTCTCATTGTTTTTCTCTTCTTCCTTGTTCTATCTAAAGCTTCAAGAATCCACGTCGAAAGACAACGCTTCTCCTCCAAACCTTCTGGTGAAGACAGAGAGTTTGTCCCTTCTCAACACACTCTTCCGGTCGTCGACGCCGGTGAAATACTACCGGATAAACGGAAGGTAAAGACGGGATCAAACCCTTTGCACAACAAGCGATGAGGACAGAAAAAATAATCAGATAATTCGTTTCTCTAAACAGTCTCTCTCCTCTATTTGTTTTCTTAACCATAGAGATATCTCACATATGTAAATCTATTACACATATATTAATGTAGGATTTATCCAATCTTTTTGTTTTTTGTTTTTTCCATTCTCTTTCTCAATACTTTTATGTTTAAAAGATGATAGATAGAGCATGATATATTGTACATACATCTTTATTAGTTCATCTTATTTCTTTCGAATCGGTGAACAAAAAAGATGCGAGAAACAAATGGTGTACAATAATTAATGGTTTTGTTTGATCAAATTTGGCCAAAAACGTAATTAATTGGCAATTAATTATTTTCTTCTCAAGGTTGTGTTGTTGACCCAAAAAAGTAAATACAAATTAGATTTTGAGTTAGAACGACGCCGTTTCGTTTGCGCCCAAGGCATGAAGAGGCTCGGAAGTCTTTCTCTCGCCGTCGTCGGCAAGAATTATCAGTTTTCTTTGCAGTTTTTTTTTTTTTTTTGAAGTCTTTTGGGTTATGTGAAGAATCATGAACAAAGAGATACGAAACCTGACTTCTGGAAACTCTCGCGGTTGTGCAATGACCTAAGACAGAAACAGAGATCTCCAGTTCTTACAACTGACTTAGAAACAGAGAGAAAAATCACAGAGTCTTTGTCAAAATCCGGTATCAGGGTAATTGAATCGAATCCGTCGCTTCTCGTAACCCTAAATTCCAGTGTAACCCACCCAACTCGTTCTCTACGAGCCTAATCTTCCTACTGAGACCTGCGTCGGTTTCTGAAGGTGATGAAGGAGGAGTTATACTTACAACACCATTATCAATGCTTATGTCGGAAAGAGAGATTTTTTTGGCTGTAGAAAATATTCTGAAGGTGATGAAGAATGAGAACGTGGCGTATAATGCTGCTACATATTACGATTCTGATTGGATTAGATAGTAATGGGAAATTGGTTGATGCAAAGCAACTGTTTGACGAAATGCGTGAGAGAGGAATAGAAATAGATATACATGTGTACACTTCTCTCATAAGTTGGCATTGCTGAAATGGGAATGTCAAAAGAGCGATTTTGTTGTTTGATGAATTGATAGAGAAGGGTTTTTAACTGAGTAGTCGCACTTATGGGAAAGAGTGCGGCTGAGATGTTGGTTGAAGAGATGCAGAGCCGTGCAGTTAATATTACTCCGGTGGTGTTCAATACTTTGATTAATGGTTACTGTAGAAAAGGGAGTATCGATGATGCATTAAGGATTTATGATGTGATGGAGAAGAAAGGGTTTCAAGCTGATGCTTTTACTGATAACACGGTTGCTAGTTGTTTAGGTGAATCGAACAATATGGTGAGGCAAAGCAGTGGTTGTTCACGATGATTGATAGTGGTGTGAAGCCTAACACGGTTTGTTATACTAACTTGATCGATATTTACTGCAGAGAAGAGAAGGGCTTTTTAAAGAGGCAAAGATGCTATTTGAAGTGATGGGCACTGAGGGAGAACAACCTAATGTTGTCACTTACAATGTGATGATCAGTGAGTACTGCAAGCTAAGGATATTAAAGGAAGCACGGAAACTAAGGACGAAATGGAAGACAAGGGGATGGTTCCGGTTTCATATTCTTACACGTCGCCCGTACTCGGGGAATTCGTTTCTGGTAATGTGGATGACGCAACAAGGCTCTTTGATGAAATGGGTTCAAAGGGTTTAGTCCAGAACGTTGTAAGGTATACCACAATGATCTCAGGTTTGTCCAAGGCTGGACAATCGAATGAATCATTTGAATTATATGGCGAGATGAAAAAGAAAGGGTACAAAATAGATGATAGGGTTTATACATCACTTGTTCAAAGTCTGCATTCAGCTGAGACTAAAAGTAATCTGTTTGAGCTGGTCATTTTGTTGAGGAGATATGGTTGATGGTTTATTTGAATCAGAATCGTTGCTTTGGGTGCTGTGGCCATTGATTTCAACTTGTCAAGAAAGTAAAGTTGGTCTCTTTTATTCAACCTCTGGTTAAAAAGTCAAAAAGAGCTTCTCTCCAAGAAAGTGGAATTGATCCAATCCATCTTCTTCCTTCTTTAACCGTGATCACCAAGGTTGGGAAATCGTTTTTTAATCATTAATTTATTTATTTTTGATAAAAAATCGTATCTTTTTATGGATATCTGAGACCGAAGATGATGATAAATAGAAGCTACGAGACTAATCAACCGAAACTAAACAAAAGAAAATGAGTTTTCTTGCAGCAGGGAGACTCGCGGGAAAAGAAGCTGCATACTTTTTCCAAGAATCCAAACACGCCGTTAATCGTCTCGCCGAGAAATCTCCGGCCACCGGCAAAAAGCTTCCATCTTCTCCGGCTGATCCACCGGAAATTCAACCTGACGTTCTTCCGGAGATTCTACGCCACTCTCTTCCTTCTAAAATCTATGGTCGTCCACCTGATCCTTCGTCTCTCTCCCAATTCTCCAAATGGGCTCTTGAATCCGACCCAAACGCTTCAGTTTCTATTTCCCCTGACGTCTTGAATCCTCTCAGAGGTTATGTATCTCTGCCTCAGGTCACATTCGGACGCAGAAGGTACAAACTTGATCGAAATTAGGGTTTTATACTCTGTTTCACTTGATAGTATTTCAAAATTTTGAATTTTTATCATCGATTTGTTGGTAATTTGTGTCGATTTTATCGCAGATGGGATCTACCAGAATCTGAGAATTCGGTTTTGGCGTCAACAGCTAATGAATTGAGGAGAGACAGATACGGCACTCCTCTCAATCCTGAGAAATTGAAAGCTGCTGGTGAAGGCCTTCAACATAGTATGTTCACTTCTCTTCTTTTGTTTACCTGGAAATCAATATTTTGAACTTGGATTCATGGATACTGGAGTTATTCGACAGAGGAACATGGCTTGATTTAGGTTCTTTGCTAGAGACAGAAGGATTGCATATTTTCATGTTCTGTTTTTACTTCCTTGCTTTTGCTAATGTTGATCATGTAAATTGCTTGCTCAAACTACCCTGTTAGGGACTGTAATGGCAGTAATTCTGATCAGGTTCCAGCTTACTTAGAGATTATTTGTTTTGTTTGGTAATGAAAGCCGAAGTTATCCGTGGCTTAGGGTTAGGGTTCACGAATGTGTTATGTAATAACTGCTTTCTGGGTGTCTGTTTTTGACTCTGATGACAAATAATATAAGTATCTTTAACAGCCTGGAAATTGTTGATAATATTGGTAGATTCAGAATCTGTTATTGTCTTTTAATGTTATTGATGTCGTGGAGTGTTTGGAAAGTTTGCCTAATCTGGAGCCCTCTGATTTTTTTCTGGTTTCTGCAGTTGGAAAAGCATTTGCAGCCGCTACTGTTATCATCTTTGGCTCAGCCACATTGGTTTTTGGAACGGCAGCCTCGAAACTTGACATGCGTAATGTAAGATTGCTTATGTTACTACGTTCTTACTTAAATCATTTACATTCACATTTGTAAGCTCTCTTGACTGATCTTGAATGTCATCGTAATCTTCTTACTTGGTTTATTGTACTATCTTTCTGTTAGACCGATGACATAAGAACGAAAGGCAAAGATCTTTTTCAGCCAAAACTGGAGTCGATGAAGGAACAAGTAGAGCCCTTAAGAACTTGGGTAATGTTTTACAAAGATGATTGCACCTTCTCAACAGAATTGAGTCATAATCATTAATACTAACCTGAAAAGACTATAAATTTCAGGCTGGAAACATGTCGAAGAAGTGGCATATCGAGAATGAAGGTGGTAGTACTATGAAGGAGAAACCAATCTTGAAGGAGCTTTCGAAAATTCTGGGACCTAAATCTTAAAAGGCTGAGACTGTGGATAACATGTGTAGAGAAAACCAAACAGGAAGTTCTATATGTATGTAAGATGGAATAAGATCTTCTTAGGTAAAATATCAAATTGTGCTGTAAAAACAAAGAAGTTTCAAATTTCAGTGTTGCTATATAAATGTTGTATCGAGTGATTAAGTTTTGTATAATAAAGTTTCAATATTTGATTAATGAGTTTCAATATCAATGTTTCCTACTGTCTTTAGCAAAATAAAATGTTTCACTTCTGAGTTCTGATTGGACATGGATTAAGAGATCCGGCCGATTAGTGGGTTAAATAGACACGATATAAAGTTATAGTTAAAATTGTGAACGTTATAATAAGTAAGGGTTGTTTATGTAAATGTTTTTGTTTCAGTAGAGATCTCTTCTTCTTTTTGTAATTAGGTCTCTTTGGCTGTGAGATTAAGGATGAGTAATCAAAGAAAGAGATCAAACGCAGAAAGAGAAGAAGACGACGACGAAGATGCCGAAGGTATCGGCGAGTGGGAGAGAGCTTATGTTGACGACAGATCCTGGGAGGAGTTGCAAGAGGATGAGTCTGGACTTTTACGCCCTATTGATAACAGTGCCATTTACCATGCTCAGTATCGTCGGCGCCTCCGTATGCTCTCCGCCGCCGCTGCTGGTACTCGTATCCAAAAGGGGCTTATTCGTTATCTCTACATCGTCATTGACTTCTCTCGGGTAAATATTTCTATGCAATTTTGGTTTTAGGTCTATGGAATTGAGTTGCTGATTTTGTGAACTTTAGCTTGAATGCTGTTTCCTTTGACTTGATTTCGAGTAATTGAGCATGTTTTGCTTTCATTGGAACTTATATAGATTAGAAACTATGCACTTTGGGTCACTGATAAGGAACTTTTGTGTTGTGACAAGTGTTCACCGCTTCTAGTTTTGAATCTTCGTTTGAGTTTAGGAGATCTCTGCTCTTTAGTCTTCTCAACAGTTTCTATAGTTGGCTCTGTCTTGTTTGCACTGATAATCTTACTCTAAGTGGGGTTTTAGAGCATATGGATGTGATCCTTATTCAGATTCTTTATTGAAGGCAACATTATGATTTGGGTTCTAATTTCTCCAGTTTCAAGATATGCAAAGTCTTACACTTGGACTGTTTTGTCTGTCTAGGCAGCTGCTGAAATGGATTTCAGACCAAGCCGGATGGCCATAATGGCCAAACATGTTGAAGCTTTCATTAGAGAGTTCTTTGACCAGAATCCTCTGAGTCAAATCGGTTTGGTCTCTATAAAAAATGGACTTGCTCATACATTAACAGATCTTGGTGGTAGTCCTGAGACTCACATCAAAGCGTTGATGGGGAAGTTGGAAGCCTTGGGTGACTCCTCTTTGCAGAACGCCCTGGAACTTGTACATGAGCATCTCAACCAGGTTCCATCTTATGGTCATCGCGAGGTTCTGATATTATATTCAGCTCTATGCACATGTGATCCAGGAGATATCATGGAGACCATTCAAAAATGCAAGAAGTCCAAATTAAGATGTTCTGTAATTGGGCTGTCTGCAGAAATGTTTATATGTAAACACCTCTGCCAGGAAAGTGGCGGATTGTATTCAGTTGCAGTGGACGAGGTGAGTTTAGCTACCTTCTACTTGCTCTTGTACCTTCGAAAAAAACTGTTTTGTATAACATTGTGCTTTGTCTGTACTTGTCTTTTCACGCAGGTGCATCTAAAGGATCTTCTGCTCGAACATGCGCCTCCACCTCCGGCAATAGCAGAATTTGCAATTGCAAATTTGATCAAGATGGGTTTCCCACAGAGAGCTGCTGAGGGTTCAATGGCAATCTGTTCGTGCCATAAGGAAGTTAAGATTGGAGCTGGTTACATGTGCCCGAGATGCAAAGCTCGGGTATGTGACCTCCCTACGGAATGCACTATCTGCGGTCTAACACTTGTTTCATCGCCACACTTAGCGAGATCATACCATCATCTCTTCCCAATTGCTCCATTTGATGAGGTGCCTGCTCTTTCAAGTCTGAATGATAATCGGAGAAAATTGGGAAAAAATTGTTTTGGTTGCCAACAGAGCCTAATTGGTGCAGGTAAATACTTGAACATCACTTTATGTAGTCTTCATACATGTTTCTTAACACTAGTGTCACTAGACCCGTAATTGAACTTAAGATACGCATAGTTCACCCTTGTTGAGGTATTTGTGTATGTTACACATTGCATCAACTGAGCCATTTGCTTGAATATAAAGGCTCATTGGTGCTTTTGTTTTTGCACAGGGAATAAACCCGGCCCATGCGTAACATGTCGTAAATGCAAGCACTATTTCTGTCTGGACTGTGATATATACATCCACGAGAGCTTACACAACTGTCCTGGCTGTGAGAGCATTCACCGTCCCAAAGCAGTTTCCTTGATGGAAGAATGAGAGAATGAATGTGTTCACACTTGCAATTACAATCACAATTGAGATGATGAGTGGAGGCAAATTTATTTGGATATAGGATGTAATTGGTCCATGTCCTTACCAAGATCTTTCTTTTGTGGACTCAGTATTGCTCTCTCACAATCGATTTAAAACAAACCGGCTAAAATATATTCCGATGGCGAAATTTTTGTATTTTTTCCTTCTTTAACTTGGGCTTGAAATTTCTTCACTCATGAGAAAACGAACAGTAATAAATAATTCTTTTAGTGGAAAACATAACAAGACCGTATCATCAGTGGTTTGCTGATTGTCGTGATGACAAAGTCGTAGTCGTAACTACTTCCCTAAATAACTCTCTCTGTTTATTAGAAACTTTGTTTATTAGACCTAACTGAGATCATTACTGTCATAGCAAGATAAATCTCTGAGAAAAGTCCATAACACAGACCATGGAGGAAGATAATAATGTCACTAGGTTCTGCAAGGCAACATCTGCATGTAAAGATGCAGCATTTTACTACCTTGAAGGCTTCGACTGGAATCTTGAAGACGCCATCTCTGGTTTCCTTGGTGATCAACTTCCTCCTCTCAAAATGAGAGCGACTCCACGGAGGGTGAATGAATGGCGATATCGATCTCGATCTCCTTTGAGAAGAAGATCCTCTGCTACCTCTGTCTCGGAACTTAAGTTTAAGATGCACCAAGATGAAATAACCATAACGAGGAGCTCTGATACCGCTGCTTTGGCCACCAGGTGGATGATCTAATAATATTAAGGTTTTTGTATTCATAAATCATCTAAAAAAAGAGTGTTTAATCTTGTTTGTTTTTTTTTGTATAGTTTGGGTGATAGTAGAAGAGAGCTTCATGATTCTAATGATATATCTCATGGAGAAAAAATTGTGTCTATAGCTAATCCTGTGAATCAGGAGTTTAAAGAAGAGGTAAATTCTATTCTTGCATGTTACTCCATTACCAGTACTGTCTCTTGCTTATTATACCTATAATCACATCTCTTGTTTTGTATTATATCACCTTAGGGATCATCAGTCCAAGCTACAAAGATTTGTGAATCCACCTCCATTGAAATTGACTTGCCCTGTTCGGATCCTGATTCGGACTCTGATTAAGCTGATGGGAGTTTTTTTATTTATATGGAAGCAGATTGATGTATGAATCCCTTATTGGTACTTTTTTATCCAGCAAACTATTATCAGAAATTTACACACACAACTTAAATTCTTCTTGAATACAGTGAGATTGACTCAATGATTCAGAAGACTCTGGTTTTGATTAATAATTCGTTGCTACGTGTGGAAATATCTTATTTGTATTTATTATGAGGACCAGTGACCTCTAAGTACGATTAATTAGACATACATATGATTAAGAAAACAGGCCAAAGCGGTTCTATTTGTATTTATAATGAGGACCACTGGAAACATTCCTTGTTCTCTACTCACCATATTACCTCTTGTGTCATCTCCCTTCTTTGTCTTGATTGTTCCTCTCTCACAACTCCTTCGACAGTTTTGAAGGTTCACCAAAAATTCTCCTCAATACTTCACTTCTCACCATAGACTTGAGGTCAAACGTTTTTCGAGGATCTCTATCTACTTTTTCACCAGGACTGAGGTTCATGTTTGCATCAAATAATAATTTCGCAGGAGACATACCTCTTTTAAACATGGAGAACAATGGAATCACTGACACCTTTCCGTTTTGGCTAACGATCAAATGATTAGGTCAAATGACGGGATCCAAAATCCGGTTAGTTTTTCATATCGTTTTGTAAATCTAGTGTAAAAAAAAAAAAAAAAAAATGCTAAATTTACATAACGATTAGAAAACAAATTGAATTTGTGAAATCGCTAACGATCAAATGACGGGATCCAAAGTCCGGTTAGTTTTTCGTATCGTTTTGTAAATCTAGTGTAAAACAAAAAACAAAAAAAAAAACAAAAATAATTTATATAACGATTAGAAAACAAATTGAATTTGTGAAAGAAATAGCAGGGAACAAATAAGCACATGCAAGTCGAAAACACATGGTTAGGATTAGGAACTTCCATTCAATTTTAATAATATAAATACTAGGATTGGGGCACAAGGCCGATTCATACAAAATGTAGGCCCATTAAGGAAGCCCATTCTCAAGCCTATATATTTGCGGCGTTGGTCGATATCGAGATCCAACCGACTACTCTGCTCATCTCTCAGGTAAAATTCTCGATCCTTAACTCATGTTCCTTTGAAAATTCATCGACTTATTGCATAGAACCCTACGTGCCCACAAGTATCTGAAAAGTTGTGTTTGCGATCGAAACGATTACGGCCGTGTTTCGCTTTCGCTCTCTCTCGGTGTCAATCAATCTCTTCGAAGAATGCTTATCTGATGTTTGATTTCCGTTCTCACAGCAATTTGCTTTCCCAATATTGATAATTTTTATTTTCTGTTAGGTTTTAAGAAGATGAAGGCTCCCCCTTCGTCGCAGGCGGCTGAGGCTCCAACCGTCGTCTATTGGGACATCGACAGGTGTCCAGTTCCCAGTGGCTTTGACGCTGGTCAGGTGGGTCCGTGTATTGAACGGTTCTTGAGGAATTTAGGCTACTCTGGTCCTCTCATCATCACTGCCGTTGGCATACTAACAGACGTCCCTGAAGACGTTCTTCGAAAGGTCTCTTCTACCGGAATTTTTCTTCATCACGGCGCCTACAGTTAGTTTTTTTCCTCATCCTTAACTCCTTCCTTCCATCATCGAATCAGAGGGTCTCAATTCTGAAACAGGTTTCAGAGACATGGACATGGTTTTGTATGGTGTGACTAATCATGTTGAACTTCCAGCTAATGTAATGGTCATATCCACTCCGCCAAGCTACACTGATACGCTTTCCCTTCTAGATGAATGGGGGTTCAACGTTATTTACCCCTTTTCATATGATTTTCGTCAATATCCCTCCTCCATTAATTCCCTCTGGAGCAACTTTCTAAGGGCAGGTGTGTGTTTGTCCTCAGATTCAGGGCCACCACTTGAATGCAGTAACACGGGTCAATGGGTTTGCATTGTGTGCAATGGCCTTGATGGCCTAGGCGCTGAAAGTTTGATCAGGCATCTCTCTTCTCGAGAACATGCATGTGAGGTAATTAAGCATCCTAGCCAAGTTTTGTCACTGTCTAACCTTGCTGTTTTGTTTGCCGGTAATTGACCCATGTTATCTTTTTCCACTGGATGCGCATTTGGTTTTCAAGCAGCTATGGGAATGGTTACCACCCTGTGGGTGTAGTAAACTGCCCTTGGATTCCACTATTGAGACTCCCCGTTATAGTCGTTCTAGTCTTCGGGCCACCATGGACATGGATGATTCGGACATGGATGATTCGGACATGATCCACAAGCAACCAAAGGCAAGTTTTAATATCTGAAAACGTTGAGATTTCTAATCTTTACAACTCTCGGTTTTACTTATGAAAACTAAAACAATATTGTAGCGTATATGGTCCATGGTGTTGAAGAAACTGAGGACTTGAAGAAGAAGAATAAGAAGAGTACATGGTCCGTGGCATTGTTCTCCTCTAAGGCATTTCGTATGGTGAATGGTTTGGTTAACTTATTTAAGTCTTGTATCAGACGTATGTTTCAAAATTCAAATGATCAATAATGTCATAAGGATGTTTTTATCGACCGGTGATAAAGTGGCACAGTACAAAAATATTCACAGTTAAGTTTGAATGTTGGATATTAATGCTGGCTTAGATCTCTTGTCAATTGGGGCAACATGTTTTAGAATTGTTTTCGCAGGTTAGTATACTCAACAAGAGATTTTCGTTTTTAAAAAAAAAAATTAATTCTAGACTTTAGTTTTTTAAAAAAATTGTTATGAAAACACTTTTAAAACTACTTTTAATCCCATGTGCCAAAAATTATAGATATTTGCTATATGTCAATATTTGTGAATTCGTCATTGTGCTGATGAATTTCAAAACAAAAAAAACAAAAATGCTAAATTTATATAACAATTAGAAAACAAATTGAATTTGTGAAAGAAATAGCAGATGTGAACATGTGGAACAAATAAGCACATGCAAGTCGGAAACACATGGTTAGGATTAGGAACTTCCATTCAATTTTAATAAAATAAATACTAGGATTGGTGCACAAGGCCGATTCATATAAAATGTAGGCCCATTAAGGGAAGCCCATTCTCAAGCCTATATATTTGCGGACTAGGTCAAATGACGGGATCTAAAGTCCGGTTAGTTTTTCATATCGTTTTGTAAATCTAGTCTAAAACAAAAAACAAAAAAAAAACAAAAATGTTAAATTTACATAACGATTAGAAAACAAATTGAACTTGTAAAATCGCTAACGATCAAATGACTTATGTCAAATGACGGGATCTAAATTCCGGTTAGTTTTTGATATCGTTTTGTAAATCTAGTTCAAAACAAAAAACAAAAAAATGTTAAATTTACATAACGATTAGAAAACAAATTGAACTTGTGAAATCGCTAACGATCAAATGACTATATCAAATGACGGGATCCAAAGTTCGGTTAGTTTTTTATATCGCTTTGTAAATCTAGTCTAAAACAAAAAAAACAAAAATGCTAAATTTATATAACGATTAGAAAACAAATTCGCTAACGATCAAATGACTAGGTCAAGTGACGGGATCCAAAGTCCGGTTAGTTTTTCATATCGTTTTGTAAATCTAGTTTAAAAAAAAAAAAAAAAAAAAAAACAAAATGCTAAATTTACATAACGATTAGAAAACAAATTGAACTTGTGAAATCGCTAACGATCAAATGACTATGTCAAATGACGGGATCCAAAGTCCGGTTAGTTTTTCATATCGTTTTATAAATCTAGTGTAAAACAAAAAAAAAAATGCTAAATTTACATAACGATTAGAAAACAAATTGAACTTGTGAAATCGATAACGATCAAATAACTAGGTCAAATGACGGGATCCAAAGTCCGGTTAGTTTTTTCATATCGTTTTGTAAATCTAGTATAAAACCAAAAAAAACAAAGAAGGGTTAAGACTTACGAGAATTACCTGGCCAATCTTCATGGGCTTGTGATTTCTTGATGGGCTGGCAATTATCCTCTGTTTTTGTTGGGCCTTGATGGGCTGGAAATCGTACTGGATTTTTTTGATGAAACGCGAGACTCTTTCCTTATCTGATATCCCTCGAAGTCGTCTTCTCTCATGAACCTTCACCGTAACATCTTCATCCCCGTAATCCTTTGTTCTCCACTCCATGCTGAACCAAATTCTTATGTGTGCCTCATTAAACATCATCCAAAATAGCCCTTGTATGACGTCATCATAAAAATCACCGACGAAGATTTTTCCTCCATCTCGTTGTCATCAACTTCATTAGCGCGTAACTCTAATTCCCCTATAATCCCAGATTCACCTTTAAACATCTCCTTGCCAGCTCTAATGATCCGCCGAAGAGATACGAACGAGCCCAACGAATAATTCCCATAGCGAGAATGAGATTCATAACGGCTTCAACATAACTTGCTCAAGAAGAAACTCAAGTTTTTTAAAGAAGAAGAAGCAATAGCACTTTAGGGTTTTGTTCTTCGACGAATGACAACTGCGATTCTTAAGAAGAGATTAGTATATTTATAATGAAAGGTTATGACTGAAAGAAAAGGAAATTTCTTTTAAAAATCAAACAAAAAGGAAATTAAGATCAAATATTTCCTTTTTATATAATTGAACGCAAAAACAAAAAAGGAAATATTCTTTTGAGCACGTGACAGTCACGTGATTACAAGTTAATTTCATTTTCATCAATTTCTTTTTTAATTTTCCGTCGCCTCAACTTTATTATTTGGCTTCGCCGACGTATTTCTCTCTTCCGTCTAGTCTAGCTCTCCGATCATGTGGGTGACGAATACCGTACTTCTACATCAACCCAATGCTCTGACCCGATTAACCTTTTCTTACCCGACCCGACTCACCCACTCTCGTAAAGTCTCTCCCTTTTCCCGCTTCTTTCGGTCTCCGAAGAGGAAGAATCGGGTTACGGCACTGTCGACGAAGAAACCAGGTTCAGTTTTCTCACCTCTCTTGACTTACCATTCTCTTCGCTAATGTTTATCTCTATTAAAAATTCTAACTTTATTCAATAATTTAACAGATGAAGATCACGTGTTATCGCCAGATGAGAAGCTGGAGAAATTCTCGGCTGATTTGGGATGGTTATCGGCTTTTCCTCATGTATCAGTTGCTTCTATGGCCAATTTTCTCTTTGGTTATCACATTGGGTAATATAGCCAAATCAAATCTTATTTCAAGTTTAAGTATCTGTCTCGCCAAATTTGTGCCTTTGTAGAAACAATCCATGTTTTTCTGTTTCACTGGCCTAGTTTGATTTCTGTACAAGGATATTAATCTCTGTTCGTGTAATATTGTAATGGTTTGTTGTGTTATGTGTGAGAAACAGCTCCAGTTTGAGCCTTGAAGGGGGTGAAATTCCTAAGAGTAATCACTCTGGAGGGCTTAGCTTACAAATTACAATGATGTTGATTAGGTTGTTTTTACAGAGTGTTTATTTGTCCCCATCCAGTGAGAAGAATATGAGTTAGTCAGGTTGATATCAATTATATGGATTAGTTTTTCGGAAGCTTAGTACTTATAATATCACTTGGTTCTTGCAGAGTGATGAATGGCCCCATCGTGTCTATTGCGCGTGAACTTGGATTTGAAGGCAATTCTATTCTTGAGGGTCTTGTTGTGAGCATATTTATTGCCGGTGCATTTATTGGAAGCATAGTCTCCGGTCCACTAGTTGACAAGTTTGGCTACCGACACACCTTTCAGATTGTCACGATACCCCTAATTCTCGGTGCCCTTGTGAGGTAATATGTTGTTACTTAGGTGAATCTTGATTTCATTATGTTAGTAACAATTCCATGATGTTTTAAGTTTTGAGGGTTCTCGATTTTATTGATGAAGCACAAAACTTGTCTTTTCTCTCAGTGCACAAGCTCACTCCTTGGATGAGATCTTATGTGGAAGATTTCTTGTTGGTCTTGGTATTGGCGTCAACACAGTTCTTGTTCCTATTTATATATCCGAGGTAATCTAATGTGTGATTCCTTTTCAACTTCATGTTTTTTTAAACTATTTGACTTCTTCTGCTGTAAGATCAAAGGACATTTCTTAAAATTGATATTACTTACTCTCACTATGGTAAGTTGTGGTTTAGCATTCTTTTGCTTAGCATATTTTGCATTGCTTATGTTTGGTGGAAGAGTCTTGTAGCTTCTCATGTTGATCCAACCATTATTATTCTATAGGTTTCTCCGACGAAATACAGAGGTTCCCTTGGAACTTTATGTCAAATTGGCACTTGTCTTGGGATAATCTTTTCTCTTCTCTTAGGGATTCCTGCAGAAGATGACCCTCATTGGTGAACTTCATTAGCTCTCTACACATTTCACTCTGTTAGGATGTCCTCTTCATTTCATTCTTCTCATATATACTACTGTTCAGGTGGAGGACAATGCTCTATGTAGCGAGTATGCCTGGTTTTCTTCTTGCACTTGGTATGCAATTTGCAGTAGAAAGTCCCCGTTGGCTCTGTAAGGTACAAGTCGCCTCTTTTTATTATGAGGAAGCATTGATTTTCCATGTTGAAATCATGTCTCATGATACTTGTTTAGGTTGGACGACTGGATGATGCCAAGGTAGTGATCAGAAACATCTGGGGAGGATCTGAAGTCGAAAAAGCTGTAGAAGATATTCAGTCGGTTATGAAGAATAATGGCTCCAACTTAAATAGCAGATGGCTGGAACTCCTTGATAAACCACATTCACGAGGTCATGTCAAGGTTGCTTTTAATGTTAGTATAAGGATCTTATATTATACCAGAAACTGAGAACATCCAAGTTTAAGAGTAACCTTTTCCAGGAATCCGATTTATGAAACTGAGAAAATACAACTTCGTACATGACAAATCTATGTAGCTAAATTGTATGTGTTGTTGATATTATGGTTGCAGTTGCATTCATTGGGGGCACCCTTTTTGTCCTTCAGCAATTCGCAGGCATAAATGGTGTTCTTTATTTCTCATCTTTAACATTCCAAAATGTTGGAATCACGAGTGGTGCTCAAGCAAGTCTATATGTTGGAGTCACAAATTTTGCAGGTGTTCAAAGCTCACCTTTATCAACTTTACATTTTCTTTATTTTCTACTGTTTCCAACCCAATGTCCCTTTTTTCTGAACTGGTGGGTCTAATAGGTGCTCTGTGTGCGTCTTATTTGATTGATAAGCAAGGAAGAAAAAAGCTTCTTATTGGTAGTTACTTGGGAATGGTAAATATCGTTTTATTTATCATAAACTCTTTTGCTTTTCACTGATTTAGCTTATTTTGATTGAATTGATTTGGTTTCACAGGCAGTCTCTATGTTTCTCATTGTTTATTCTGTTGGTTTCCCGTTGGATGAAGATCTGAGCCAGAGTTTGTCAATACTTGGAACACTCATGTAAGTAGCTTGAGGTCCAGCAATTACAAGTCTCCTTTTCTCAGCTCTTGATCATACAGTACCCAAAAAAGACAGAAACTTATCATATGATTGGTCCGGTTACAGGTATATATTCAGTTTTGCAATTGGAGCTGGTCCTGTAACTGGTCTCATCATCCCTGAGCTAAGTAGCAACAGAACGCGTGGGAAAATCATGGGTTTCAGCTTCTCTGTACATTGGGTATGTATTTTTTTTTGTTTTCCCGTAAATCATTTTAACGGTTGAAGTTTGAACTAAGACGAAGCAAATGTTCTTCAGGTCTGCAACTTCTTGGTTGGTTTGTTCTTCCTGGATCTGGTGGAGAAATTTGGAGTTGGAACGGTGTATACCGGCTTTGGCAGTGTATCATTGTTGGCAGCGGTGTTTTCATACCGCTTCATAGTGGAAACAAAGGGTCGATCACTAGAAGAGATTGAAATGTCTTTGAACTCCAGAGACGAGCTGAGTTAAAAAGGGTAAAAGTGAAAGAAAGAGAAAGACCTTAAACAATTTCAATGTTTTTCATCAGTTGTTGTAAATAGTCTGGAAATTAGCTTGTGAGAAATCTTGTGAATATATACATAGGTATGTGAGTGAAGTTTTGTAAAGATATAAAAATGATTGTCATTGTCACATGCCTTGTTCTAAAAATCGGCCGCCTAGCCGCCTAGGCGGCCGCCTAGGCGCTGATCGGGTGGGGACCGCGGCGATTTTGTCCAAATCGGTAAAAAAAATCGGTGATCCGATTTTTGGCCGCCTAGCCCGCCTAGACGGCGCCTAGCCCAATTTTTTTTTTTTTTTTTTCATTTTTTTTTTCTTTTTTTGGATCTAAAATTCAAAACGTCTCACTTATATTCATAATTTTTTTATAAAAATCATAAATTTGACCTTAAATTCTTGTTTTCATGTGTTTAATACAATTTTAAAAACAAGATTATATAAATTTCTTATTTATAATGGATTAATATATTTTTAAAACATTAAATAGCCCTAAAACTAATCCCCGATTAATCCCCGTGTAATCTCCGATTTTCTTGCTAGGCGCTAGGCGCACCCTCACCGCCCGACTAGCGCCTAGCGATTTTTTGAACACGGGTCACATGTGAGTAATGCAAAAGAAAGTTGACAAAGATTACACAAACATTTAAAAGAAGTTGTATAAAACAAGGTAAATGTTTTGCCTAATTACTCGCTTGTAAATTGTTCCTTTAATCACTGTTACAGCTTACAAGTGCTGAGACATTCTTGATTTATATCTCAATAAATAATATTGTCTCGATCTATATACATATGGTAAAAATCTTGAGTCCATTATGCATCTCACAAACTCTTGTTAACAACTCATAATTTCTATAAATATTCATATTCATATGTATGATGGTTTGCACGTCTGCAAACAAAGATAAAGATCTGATAATATTAAAAACAAACACTTTTTTTTAGCATAAGATTATCGAATATAAAGATGCTAGCTGGTTATTTTTTTTAAAACGTACACAGCTTGTCATTGAATTTAACCTATTCGAATATGAGGCTTGTAGAAACAACTCTTATGAATTGTGAGAGAATATTACTTTGAGACGATCAAAAAACTTGTAACATATAAATAACAATGACCTGCAACTGCAAACTAATTTTCATATAGTATGATATTTGTATCATAAGTTTCCGAAATTTGAACACAATTCTGCATCATGCTTTTTCAAGAAGAAGAATTTAAAAACAATTATATCCAACGCGCCAAAATCGCGTGTGAAGTCTCTCTATTAGTCAACGCTATATCCTGAAAGGTTCTCGATAGTCTCCAGCCATTTTATTCTGCCTTCTTCTCTATTTTTAGAAGAACAAAATTTGAAAAAAAATCCATTGAGAGAGAACAAAAAAAAATTAGAGGAAAATCTTCTAATTTGGTTTTAATTCTCCGTGATTAATCCCTAATTCAAAGTGATTAAGAAATTAAAACCCCCTTGAGGAACAAGAAGAAGACGTTTGGGTGAAATTAAAAACGCCACGACGAGGACAATGCCGAGCAAGCTGAAAAAAGCGATTGGAGCGGTTAAAGATCAAACGAGCATTAGCTTCGCCAAAGTCGCTAACGGAGCCACCGGAGGCGGCGATCTCACCACTCTCGAGGTTGCGATCTTGAAAGCTACGAGCCACGACGAGGAAGTCCCAATCGACGATCGACTCGTAACAGAAATCCTCGGAGTCATATCCTCCAAGAAATCTCACGCCGCCTCTTGCGCCGCCGCGATCGGTCGCCGTATCGGGCGGACACGGAATTGGATCGTCGCGCTCAAATCCCTAGTCCTCGTCCTCAGGATTTTCCAAGACGGTGATCCTTATTTCCCTCGCGAAGTCCTCCACGCCATGAAACGTGGCGCCAAAATCCTCAATCTCTCCAGCTTCCGCGACGATTCGAACTCGTGTCCTTGGGATTTCACAGCTTTCGTCCGTACATTCGCGCTTTACCTCGACGAGCGTCTCGATTGTTTCCTCACCGGAAAATTACAGAGACGTTACACAAACCGGGACCAAACCGGAAGAATCAGCACCAACACAACCAACTCAAGATCCCGGTTTAATCCCAAAATCGGAATTAAATCCCACGAACCGGCGGTTCGAGATATGAAACCGGTAATGCTTCTTGACAAAATCACGTATTGGCAGAGATTACTAGACAGAGCAATCGCGACGCGGCCAACGGGAGATGCGAAAGCCAACAAGCTCGTGAAAATGTCGCTATACGCCGTCATGCAAGAGACTTTCGATCTTTACAGAGACATTTCCGACGGATTAGCGCTTTTGTTAGACAGTTTCTTCCATTTGCAATACCAATCTTGCATTCATGCGTTTCAAGCTTGTGTTCGAGCTTCGAAACAGTTCGAAGAGCTTAACGGATTCTACGATATTTGCAAATCGATCGGTATAGGAAGAACATCGGAGTATCCTAGCATTCAAAAGATCTCTTTAGAGCTTCTTGAGACATTGCAAGAGTTTCTGAAAGATCAATCGTCGTTTCCAGCGAGCTCGGGGTTGTATCCGTCACCGAATAGTCTTCTTCCTCCGCCTCCATCGTCTAAAGAGTCTAAAGATTCTGCGGTTTCGAGCTCGCTTGATTTTGGAGATTCCACGATTGATACGTCGGAGAGGTATTCGGATTACGGGTCGTTTCGTAGTACTTCGTTGGAGGATTTGATGAGCAGGACTGAAGCAGGGACTAGTAGTCCTCCGATGTCTTGTCATTCCGAGCCTTACGGAGGACGAGATGATCCTAATGGGAATAATTTCGATACAGTTTCGACTAAATCGCTTCCGAATAATCCCTCTGTTTCTGCTTCCAATCTCACATTAGACCTGTTGTCCTTGGATGACGTAATTGACACGGCAGAAGCAAAAGATGTTGAAGACAAGAAGAAGCAAGAAGATTCTAAGGCAGAGACTTTCGATCCTTGGGAGGCGTTGATGTTGAGAGATGATCCGAGGAAGAAGATAGAAACGATTCAGGAAGAACCTTCGACCTCTGAGGATCAAAGAGATTCAGGGAATTGGTTGCTTGCGCTGGAAGAAACCGCTACGCAGGTACAGGATAATAACTCGATGGCGATAGTACCTTTCGGGTTAGATGATCCGATGCCTGCGTTTCAAGCCGCCATGGACCAATACAATCCATTCTTGGAAGAACCAGTTGCGCAGTTAGCTGCAGCCGGGGAACCAATGACCACGTTCAGTGCCCTGGCTTTGACAGAGTTTCAGCCAGAACCGACGTTTCAGGTGAACGTTCCTGAAGATTTTGAGCCGTCTTCTACACCAACGTTTAAGGCCACGGGGACTTTGCCTGTGGAATGTGACCCATTTACAACATTTGAGAGTACTTTTGGGTTCGGAGACACATTATCAGAAAATGGAGGGGTAAATCAACAATCTGTGTTGCAAGAACAGCAGTTATGGTTGCAGAACCAGAAAAAGATCATAGCCAAGCACTTGAGTTGATAAAAGAATTATTTGGCTAGACAGAGATTGAGAGGTTTCTTTGATTTTTTTTTTGGTTACATTATAAACTTAACTCTTAACTCATTTTTTCATAACTTAGAGAAATGTGAAATACAGAAATTGTTTGATAAAAAAGATATGTGCTCGAGATACACTTTAACATGATCGGATTCTATTTTCGTACTTGCATTCCTGTGTAGATATACACAAGGTATGTTGTGTGTCTTGTAATATAATGACATTAAGAATTTTATTTTCAAGTATATCTCAACGAGAAGGGGTCCATGGTCTAGTGGTATTTCCTTCTCACAGATGAGTGTCAGAGGTCTCAAGTTCGAGTCACTCTGCCACCACGGTGGTACTGAGCTTCTCCAAATAAAAATTCCTCCATACGAGTAGGGGCAAGCGGTGTATACTAACCCGTAGGTCCAGGCCGAAGTGAGATTTTTCTCTGGATATGGGGCCGCTTTGCGGTGGGGCCTGTCACTATAAAAAGTTTACCCTAACAGTTTTTAACCACATGGTGGTGGGCGAGTGGTTCTCGTTTGGTTGGAAGGATCGCCCTGTTGGTCTAGGCCAGGGATCGATCCTCCCCAGACGCAGTATATCTCAACGAGTAACACTAAGATATCTAAGTTTCACCTTCTGAATAAGATTTACATTATTTTGGGAGTTTATATATTTTGGTTATGTTCTTGAGTTTGAACATCGAAGTTAGTATTTGGGTCTTGGGAATTGAATTTAAATAGACAATTGTGAAGTTGATGTAGCATTTATTTTTATGTATTTTAAAAATATTTATGTATTATTCATTTTTATTCTCTCTATTATAACAAGTTTTAACATAACAGATGCTTTGCACAAAAAAAAAAAAAAAAAACATAACAGATGCATGCATCTAGTGTGTGTGTGTGTGTATGTAGAATATCTGGCAAACAAGATTATATGCATTTTATTTTCCTATATGCATGTATTTATGTGTTATGATATGCATCCGTGATAATGCGAAATTGCGAATGATAAAATGTATGTATATCGGTGGAAGATAACGAAGAGGGAAGCCAAATGGAATAAATTAAGGAGGTCCACTAGTAGGTCAAGTGGGTTTTGTGGTGTCGATAACATGAGATTGACCAAAGCTGTAGCTTGACCCCAAGGCCACGAGGGAGAGATATCTACCAAACCAAAATCATCACAACACATCTCTTTCTATTAGATAGCCCACCACAAATATTAATTTCTTTTTTTAGTTATACACCAAAACTACTTTTATCCCCACCCCATTGACTAGAGTCGTTTTCCTTTTTTTACGTTGATTTAATTTTGTAAATCACACAATGGTAAAAGCTTCTGAATATATATGAATTTAGGATTCCACCTTTTTTAGGTTTCTCATTACAAGTCTTCCTTCTTGACTTCTCAATTTGTTGTTTTGTACTTTTTTGTAATTTAGTACAAATTTGTTTACAAGTCATACGTGATTGAATATTAACCCCGGCTGCTAAGCCTATTTTTCTATCTTAAGTTTCACTTTCAAGTCCAAATTCCAAAATATTAGTCAAAATGAGAAAAACACGTTTCCTCATTTGTTTCGCTTATTCTAAAATCAACTTTAAAAATAGTCCAATAAAATAGCAAATATGAAGAAATTTCAAATCAATAATTGCCAAAACCCGTCTGTGATATTATACTTTTTGAGGTTCCATAATAATGACGTGAGATTTGGTTGTAAGGAAGTGGAAAATAAAGTTAAACATGTCTTTTTATTATGGAATATCAGTTGTTGTTTAATCCTTTTTCTTATTATAAAGTATGAATGTTGAGCAAAAAAAAGAAAGGTTATCCACCTTTCTCCAAATATAAAGGAAGTAATGAATATTAATATGACAAAATCCATTGCATTTGCTTTTTAATCCTCAAGAATTTGAAAGAAAAATATCTTATCAACTCTGAGATGATCTTGTGGCCAAAGAGGAAACCACGTAATCGAATCTGAACTTCTCCGCTTAAATGGGAAAATTTATTTGATCTGATCTGGACGGTCAAAAGTGATGGCTCATGATACTTATTACTTAATATAGACGTTCATATAGAGTTGCTTTTACCCGAGGATGCGATTACCTAGCGTAGCGTAGCTTCGCAATCGACGGACAGAAAGAACCCACCATTGGTCCATCAAAATTATTACAGTCAAAAAGAATGAAAACTGTGTCACAAGACTAAATAATTTTGTAGATTTTTGTTATTTAGATGGATGCGGTCTAGAAAAATAAATTAACAAAAACCAACCATTTGAGTATCTGAAATAAATTTGTCCTTATAGATCTGTATTTGTGTTATTGTATAGTGTGTTACTTGAAAACAAGAAAAGGTTCAAAAAAGGTGATATATAAGCTATTATTATACACAAAGTAAAAGGAAGAAAGGTGAAAAGGAAGATTAATCTACACTAAAAGTAAAAGGAAGAAAAAGGGGTCAAACAATGATTCGTGCGACTGAGTAATATACGTCGCTGTCATATATTTTGTATAACCAAAATATTTATAATTTTCTATAGTTAGAGTTACTAAATTATTGGTGATGAATAGTAATCATGACTTTATTAAAGGTTATTATCACATTTGAGTATATTTAGAGATTTTCCGATGACTTGGACGACCCAACTCAGTTTGGATAAACCCTGTGATCTATTCTAAATTTAATCCTGATTTACTTTGGTTTTTTGTTCTGATTTATCCACGGTTAAACGTCAGATTCAGAATAGCAATTGGTTTGATAGATCTAATAAGACCTAGATTTAATTTTTATCAAAAAATTTAAATATATTGTTAACTCTATTTCCTCTTTTTCACTTTTTAATTAGTATGTTGCTGCAATAGGAGCCAAACGATGGATTGATTCTTTTTTTTTTTTTTAGTTGATTTCACTTTTGCTTTTGTTGATTAACACTCCACAATAACGAGTAACATTAAAGGAACTAGAAGTGATCAGGCTTTTTGGTCGACCGTAACATATCTTTGTAAATCATTACACAAATGATATTATGGTGTGGGGTCCAAAAACCAAAGAATGACTGTAGAATGATAGATTACTCGTGGAAGTAACTCAAAGCTCCTCTCTTCTCTTCTCTCTATAAAACCAACTCTCTCATCATCAGATTTAGATCACACTTTAAAATCGTCAACATAAAGTTAGGCCAAAAACCCATTAAAAAAAGTTAGAGAGAGATGGAGAGTTTCCCGATCATCAGTCTCGAGAAACTTAATGGAGAAGAAAGAGCCATCACGATGGAGAAGATCAAAGACGCTTGTGAAAACTGGGGCTTCTTTGAGGTAATAGTTTCACCTTTTTCCTTCTATAAATAAATGGAAAGCTCAAAATTATGTAACTCAAATCTAATCATGTGTTGGTGATATTACAGTGTGTGGACCATGGGATTTCACTCGAGCTTTTGGACAAAGTGGAGAAGATGACCAAGGAACACTACAAGAAGTGCATGGAAGAGAGATTCAAGGAATCGATCAAGAACAGAGGTCTTGACTCTCTTCGCTCTGAAGTCAACGACGTTGACTGGGAATCAACTTTCTACCTCAAGCACCTTCCCGTCTCTAATATCTCCGATGTCCCTGATCTCGACGACGATTACCGGTAACTTTTTTTAGTTTCTTTCTAAACCGGTCCGGGATATTTACCTTAACCGGTTACAAGATCTCAGATTTACTGGTTTTCGGAACAACTCAACATGAACCGGTTTTCTTCTTTGGTACAAACTACAAAGTAAAAGTTTAACCGGTGTTTTTATTTGGTCAACCGGTGGTTTTTTTTCTACAGGACGTTGATGAAAGAGTTCGCCGGAAAGATAGAGAAGTTATCGGAGGAGCTATTGGATCTGCTGTGCGAGAATCTCGGTTTAGAGAAGGGTTATCTGAAAAAGGTGTTTTACGGGTCGAAAAGTCCGACTTTTGGAACCAAAGTCAGCAATTATCCACCTTGTCCTAAACCGGACCTAGTCAAGGGTCTCCGAGCCCACACCGACGCCGGTGGCATCATCCTCCTCTTCCAAGACGACAAAGTCAGTGGACTTCAGCTTCTTAAAGACGGCGAGTGGGTCGATGTTCCTCCGGTTAAGCATTCAATCGTCGTTAATCTCGGTGATCAACTTGAGGTAACTACTGAACCAAACCGTACTAAACCGAACCAAATTGAATTAAGATTTTTGAGATTAAATTTTGGATTGATTAAACCAGGTGATAACCAATGGGAAGTACAAGAGTGTGGAACATAGAGTGATATCTCAGACAGACGGAGAAGGAAGAATGTCGATCGCATCATTCTACAATCCGGGAAGCGACTCTGTTATTTTTCCGGCACCGGAGTTGATCGGAAAAGAACCGGAGAAGGAGGAGAAAGAGAACTATCCGAGCTTTGTGTTCGAAGATTACATGAAACTCTACTCTGCTGTCAAGTTTCAGGCCAAGGAACCAAGGTTTGAAGCCATGAAAGCTATGGAGACAACTGTGGCCAACAGTGTTGGACCATTGGCCACTGCGTGAATGAATGTAACTGATTAATAAATATATCGTCTTTTGTATGATTTTCTTATAAACTTGATTATTTAATATACAAATAATTTTGTTTATGTTGGTTCATGTGTTGTTGTATGTTTAACTAATAAATGTTTTTATAAATATGGGGAATTAATGTTTTCTGTTTGTAGAGTTAATACAAATAAACTACAGACACTAAAAAAAAAAAGAAAAAAAAAAGCAAGTAAAAGGAAGGGTCTCACACTTGTGAGATTTAACACTATCCTTGCCTTTTTGACCAGTTCCAACTCGAGTCCCTTTTCTTTCCAATCACTCTGGAAAAAGTGGTGTGGCTAACAAAGAATGTTTAATCTTGTAATCTGGTTTTGTTTTTGTAAACTTCTGCTGTTTTTTTTTTCATTTCATGTATAGAGAATAACATCACTTAATTACGAAAGAACAAAACAAACAAATTTTATTTGGTTTTAGAGAATATTATTCTTTTTCCGAAAAAATTATAAATCTAAGAAGCCGAGTGATACTAATGTGTGTCAACATAACACTCAAAACAACCAGAGGAATGCTCAAATTCGGAGGGCAAACAAAAAAAGGAAGGCTCAAAGTGACCAATATCAAGAGTAGATTCAAAACATGTAACAGCATCATTGACTTTTTGGTAACCTGTTCACTTACGTCTCGTTCATCTTCTTTCCACTCTCCATATGTATCCGCAGCTTCCTCGACATCGTCAAGTTTCGACAAAGAGCTAACCGCTGTTCGATACACCTCTTCGCTCTTCTTAAAGCCGTCCCAAAGAGTTTGCAGCACCTCTCTTGCACTCCCTACCACGTTACCATACATCTCTGAACAAACTCTAACGTAAACCTTTGCCATTTCAACGATCGTGTCTCTCTGCAGTTTGATTCCTTCTTCATCAACCCACGTTCTCATAAACATCTTTATCGCCTTTACATCGACCTTCAAAACAGTGTTTTCAGTGACAGTGTCGGGTTTCACACTATCAGATCTCGTGTAAGAGGTTAAGAGCGTGGAGTAGACTGAGTTATCCCTCATATTTGAAGGGATACTTTTGAAGAACTTCTCTGCTTCTTCTAAACCCAACACTGTCTCAATTAGATAAAACCGAGCTGCATAATCTTCCGGAAACAAAGTACACACCTTTTCTTCACCCATACGTTTTGATGCCTAATAATACCACAACCAAGGGCATAATATGTAAGAAACCTCAAATTTGGTAAAAAGAAAGAAAGAAAAAGACTTAAAAACATGAGGGAATTCATTATATTTATCAATTGGTACATAGATTGAAGATCTGGTTTTTAAAAACCTTGAGTTGTTGGGAAAATGGATTAGAATCTCGAAGATTCTTGATGAGCCCTCCTCCGATGTACACCTGTTTCTCCTGTTGCTGCCATTGATGAAGCACGGGTTGCGTAGGAAGAAAAGCCACTTTGATCCGAATAAGCGGAGTTTGGCTTGCCTCGGGTGACCATAGGGTTGCATAGGAACGGAACAGAGAACTCTTGTAACCGCAAGCAAGAATGCGCTTTGCATGTCGTTGAAGAATCGGCGTCATGCTTTTGATTAAACCAAATGATTAATAACACTCCAGTAGAGTGTTTCGTATTCGTGACCTATAAGGACAACTATCTCTCACTTATAGCTAAAAATTGGTAGTGGCCTTAGTTAGGTTTCATATTCGTGACTTAACAAACTCTTCACGCATCTAGCATGTCTTTTTTTTTTTTATAAAAAAAATAATGATTAATTCCGTAAATGATACAAAATATAAGGTTGTAGAGTTATGTTGATGATTGGTCAGGAAATCATATTAGTCCAGATAGTTCGGATAACAACATTACAATGAACAAATTATTTACACACTGATGGTAGTTATCTCCTTGCTCTTGTCACGAGAATGAACACTTGAAATATATTATAACAAATTATGTACTGAAGAAATGAAATATATGAGCAAGTAATAATCGTTAAGCAACATTTGGGATAATCCAAGAAAATATATATCTTCCTAAACAAACTCCTATGTAATTTACTTATATATAGACGTATTTATCTACCTTAGTGCTTACACTGAGCAGGAAAAAAACAGAGTAAAGTATTCTTAACGAAAATTAAGCCTTTTCTTTTCTCGAAATATTATTATTGATTCCAGAGAAAGGTAAAGAAAGAGAAGAATGTTTCCTCTGGAACTCTAATATGATTAATCTCTCCTTTTTTATCTGAAGATTTAAGCTTCCCCTGTTTATCTGATGGAACAGGAGAAAGACATAGGAATATGATTGAAGCTGGAAACATCGAATGTCTCCATGAATCTTTGATCTGAAACTCTAGCTTTCGCTGCTGCGAATCGCTGGTACTCGTCGAATATCGATGTCAAACACCATTTTTGGAGCTTTCTCAAGCAACCAACAAGACAACCAGTCCGATGCTGCAAATTCCAGTTCATACTTCAAATTTCATTATCTTCTTCAGTAGTGGAGCTAAAAGATAAAATGTTGAGTATTGGAGAGAATGATTACCTTCCCTCGCTTACAGTGAATCAGAACAGGATGGTTTTTCTCATCTGAGGATTTTCAAAGGAGAGATATTCATAAGAACCAAGTTAGAATTAGAAAGCATACAAAAAGTGTGGTTACATGTGTTCTTCTATTTTAGGGCTTCTTCTATATGATTCATACTTACCTAGAAGCACTTTGAGTGCCATGCGGATTTTACGGTCAGGAATATTCACAAATGGCTCCTGAAAATAAGAAGAAAAGGATATCTTTTTTAGAATTATAATATCATATGTCAAAAGATCGATCATACTACTAACTTGAGCAGATTAGGATAAGATATGGTAATCTACTAATTAAGCAAGGTTCATGACTTCATGCACAAGCAACGTCGAGAGAGACAAGACAACCATGTAAAGGTTCAATAACAGGACAAAGTCTACAAGTTATGAAGCATGTCTAATGTGATACCTTTTACTGGTTGCGTACTGAGAGAAAGATTCTTTACTTTTCTATCAAAAAGTTATCTCCACACACAACAACAACAACACGGAATAAACACAAAGTCCCATTGAAAGAGAATCTATGAGAAGAAGAAAAAAGCTTAATATCAACGATAAAGTTTTCCTATCAAGATCAAAGTTGTCACACTAAGCATAAAGAATCTGAGTAGAGAAGCAAAACCAAAGTCAATGATATCCAACAATGTGAATGTGGAATAATTTCCGAAATTCTTCTAATAAAATCACTACACCAAGAAGAAAAAGCCACTTTAGTGTTAAAGAAAAACAAGGAAACTATGGTAGTAAGTATCTAAACGACTCCCCACATAAAGAATCACCTATCCTAGGAGTAGAATCTACAGGGAAAGGTGAATTCTGTGGGGAGAGAATGAAAGCTACTGCATACCAGAGCAAGCATATTTAACTTTCAACCCCACTTTTCGATTATCAGATTCTATATCAACTCAAATTATATTCATACCAATCTCTTCCGGAAAGCAAAATGGTTTGGCTTCTAATTAGTGAAATATATGGGACTAAACATATCTTCATAACTCATGAGGGTAATAAGTTCAAGACTCTATGGTGAAGTTTTTGGTGATTCCATCACTTTACCAACGTTTGCCCACACATGAGCCACTAAAACATAGACAAAGAAAGGAACTAAAGGTACGTGTTAAAAAACATTAACCGACTTAAAACGCAATTCCTAACCTTATCTAGATTTCAAACCTTACAGCTAATATGGACACTTTCACGATCAACACGCTTTCTACAAGTTTTTACCATAAAAAACGGTTTACTTGTACACAATCAAGAAACGCTTTTGCTGATGTATGATTTCATAAGATATCATATCTGTATAAAAAAAGTGCACATTCAATAAACATGAACCAAGAAAACAATATCAACAGAAAGTAAGCTTTTGAGTAGTGGATCATTGACAACACTTGCAACAAGCAGCTCAGCAAATATTTTGACGTAGTCCATTATCTAATTTTATAAATAGAGACTATAAAGACCAAGTGGTAATAGTTGCTGAAGGGGCAGAAAAACAAAGAGTGGGACCAAATCAGTGGTGGTCAAGAGAAACAGAAAGAGCCAAAGAGGCAAAACAATAAAGAAATATGTGTTCTTTTTCTGGTAAACTCATAATAATAAAATATGGCTTGGAACAAAGTGCCCATGAAGGATCAAATTCAAGAGAAAGAAAACACACAAACAGTTTTAGTAGTCTCAAGTAAACAACAATGAGACAGGATTTTAAGAACAGTTAGGCAACAAATCAAACCCCTCAAATTGAATGAACTTTGATATATTCTCGTTAAGTCCATTAGTTAAGGGACCCTCTTTCTGATGCTTAGAAGTCCATAAATGCAACCAAATCTCGTTGTCTAAGTCAGGAACACACTGCAAGATTTGATTTTTCAATTCAGATAATTCCCCTAGTGAACTATCCAAGTAAGTTTTAGGATTACAGAACAAGCCAGAGCAATTGAAAACAGAGACTTCATGAACAGAGAGGGCGAGAGAGAGGAGAAGAACAATGGTTACCTTATTGCCTTCAATGCCAAACTGAAAAAGTCTAATTCCATTGGATTTAAGGAACTGTAGATTGGTCTCTGGGTAGGGCTCCGGACACAAGTATCTTTGAACAATACCCAAAAACAAAAACCTAAAATCAGCAATTTCGAAAGTTTTTATATACGAAAAATGTCATGAATGTGGAAGAAGCTTTTACATGATTGAGCGGAGGCCAAGCGTCTGGAGAAAGGAGAAGTTAGCTGAATCAGGGAATCCAGACCGGAATATACCGTTATCGACCATGGAGAAGTTGAGCGGCGGAATTAGGTTAAGTTCATCGCCGGAGACAACTCGAAAGGGATCAGCTTCACCGTCAGGAGCCTGAAACCCGTTTCTGCCAACCTCCGAAACCTCGATGGTGCGGCAGACATCTTCTCCATTATCGTTCTCCGTAGTAGCAGTCGTCTTCTCCAGAAGCTTCATATCTGAACAGGGAATCAGAGAAAGGTTGAATCTTTTGGTGAGGAGAGTCAAGTAATGGAGATGGTCGTTACGTAGCGGCGACCTTATGGGGTTTATATATAGAGAGAGAGACACTTTGTGACTGTTCAAAATTCAACAGACGAAAAAGAACGCAAGGAGATGGAGACCAAGCACGACTTTTTTTTTTCAATAACTGTTTATTCTCTATTTTAAAGAATTTGTGACATTTATTTATTTTTATAAGGTTTTTGTTTTATAATCTGTTAAGTATTTTTACTTTTTAGATACCATAGAATATGTGTAAATCGTCGATTTGATCTATACTTTCTGTTTCATATTGAAATCCTTAATCTGTAAAAACAAAAAAAAACATTAAAAAAAAATGGTGCTATAATAAGGATTCCCACAAAAGAATCCAATATTAGAAGAAACAGTTTAATATTTACTCAAGTTGTGCTGAAAACAACAATATATACGAAAACTATATAATTATACACTAATTTGTAACGGTATATCTTAGTTGTACATGCTACTACCATATTACAATAATAATATGATGATTTAATTTGAGGAAATAAACATTTTGACATTTTCAAGGGTTATAAAAGTAAAGAAAATAAAAGCTTACAAAATGAAATGACTTGCAAAACAAACAAAAGAATGATACTGAAACTGTTGTTGTTACTTGTTAATAATAGGAAATCACTTGTTGAAGGCTTGAAGCTTAAATCGGCATAATTGTGGAATCTTTTTGCTCTTACGTTTTACCTCACACAATCATCTAACTCAAGAGAAATCAGTCTCATTGATCAAATATCAACTTTCACAACCCAACCTAGAATATTTTTTTTTTGACTATTTTCACCAATATTAAACTATTTAATATGGTTGAAGTTTCTGACCTATATTTACCAATTATTGACAATATACAAAATATTGATTGCTAGTCTGCTACATATATATGATTCGAGGAAAGAAGCGAAGAGATAGATTCCAAGCCAAAAGAAATAAAGAAATAAAAACAGTGAAAGAGAAAAAGAGATTCCAACGGACAAGAGAGCTTCCTCTGCTAAGTGGAAAGAACAATCACTAATCTGAGTCATGCTGGAGTCATAAACGCACCTTTATATAACTTTAATGGGATCGTAATTTTTACTAGGTTAAATACTATTATTTTCCTTTCACATTTTGTTTTGTTAAACAATATATTGTTTTTGAATATATATTTTTAGCCAATATTCAGTTTTAATAATTGTTACTTGTAAGAAAAAAACTATTTAATTGTGTGAAAATAACATTCGGTCCAAAATCGGATTTTGATTCAAATTAATGAGCCAAGAATAATCGATATATAGATAATGCCATTTATGTCATACATGATAACACGAATGCCGTGTTTTAAAATGATTTCTCAAATTTCTTATTTGAGAAAAATGGAGATGATGAATGTTTTCTTCGGTGCATAATTGCATATATAATCACACCATTTTAAAATATGATCCATAATCAAAACGAAATAATGCGAAAAGAACCACACCACGACACCATATTATTAGAATCCACGTCACATCTTTGTCTTCCACACCAGATAACTAGCTAAAGACAGAAAATTTGTAATGTTTAGTGTCCCACACTGGACTTTTTTTTGGTGAATTACTCAACAAAAACAAAATGCACCAGATAGTTTTTTTTTTTTATAAGAAAAACAAAAAGGTACATTCCAAGGAATATACCTTATGATTCTCAAGGATTATTGCGCCGCGAGCACTCGGCCACGTACGAAAGCGTTTTTGGATGCCGTTAAAGGACTTACCGTAAAAAGAACGTACGGAAATATCATTATGCCTTCAAATTATCTTTCGAGAATTTGTTTTGATTTGGGAAAAATGTCAATAAAATCCCCAACTTATTCAAAACGTTGATTTAAATCCTCAACTCACGACGAAACGAAATAAATATCAAACTTATGTTCACTTTCCAAATAAATATTAAACTTATGTTGACTTTCCAAATAAACACCAAACTTTTATTGACTTGACCATATTAGGCATGACGTTAAGTGAGTTAATAGACCATGTTAACGGGATTAATTTTCAGTTATCAGACCCGCTAATTAAAAATGACAGTATTCCTTCTAAACATAAAACGACGTTGTTTTGTCGTAACTGCTCAATAAAATCCCGAGTTTCAAATCATATGAAGATTTAGGGTTAGGGATTTTGCTCGATTTGGGGATCTAATATTGACTTTAGGGATTTAATTCAACCGTTACGACAAAACGACGTCGTTTTGTTGTTATATGAAACGATGTTGTTATCAATTAACATGTATGTTAACAGAAAATTAACTCCGTTAACGAGATCTATTAACCCATTTAACGTCGTACCTAATATGGCCATGTCGATGGAAGTTTGATATTTATTTGGAAAGTCAACATAAGTTTGATATTTATTTGGAAAGTCAACATAAGTTTGATATTTATTTCGTTTCGTCATGAGTTGAGGATTTAAATCAACGTTTTGAATAAGTTGGGGATTTTAACGACATTTTTCCCGTTTTGATTTTCCAAAATATTGAAATTTTCTCACGGGATATAAATTATTAATATATGACATAATGCTTTTCCAAAGCATACGTGATCCTCGATACCGTTGCCCATGCCGAAGTTGCGTATCAAAACGCAAAAGGATGACCGTGAATTAACTATACGAGAAGACCGTTCACGTACGAGAGTGAGTATATGTATACACATTTTCAATTGAAATTAAATTATTGGACTTGTTAATTAGTTGCATTCATCAAAGTCTCCGATTTCACACAAGATTCATCAATTATTGTCGTGTTTCCATATCATAGAAATTTCATTTTTTCATGCATGATCCATTTATCCATGATCAAGATTCAAAGTCGTGAACTTTTCTCTTGTTCCTGACCCCACACTTCTAGACCTATTATTTATGTTTAATTTATAGGTTCTATTTATGTCTGATATTTAGTTCAATATATCAGCTTGAGAATTTATCAACTAATTGCTAGAAATGATGATATTTAGTTCACTTCAATTATTCGTTCGTTCGTATACATTAAACATTTTCAGAAAAAAGGAAAATTTTCAGTAACAGTAGCTTGTAACAAAACAATCAAAACTATTTTTTCAGCATTCGGATATTTAGCATGCCGCTTACTTAAGTTTTCTTAGAGTTGTAAAAAGCCCATCTTAATTTTTCCCTCGAATAAATATGTGACAACTTCAAATCAAAACAAGAGTTTTAAATATAGGAGACGAGAATGTAACATGGTCATCAGAAATTGTTCAACATACATGTGTTTTAGACCATCAAGACATAAAATGGAAAAAGAAAGTATACATGAGGCCTTTTTTGTTTTTAAAGCCCAATTGATTGGACCTTAGGCCCAGTGTAAAGGTATCAACATCCATCTCAGAAAACGTAAGATTTTACAAAACAGACCCAATTGTATTCTTTTACCCTCTCCAAGACCCAATTGCTGGAGCAACCGACCAAAAGGAGTACTAAGCTCTTGCACATGTCTTTTAATGGATCCGTCCTTTGGAGGACTATCTCTATGATGTTGTTTCGTCAATAAAAGGACGACATGTATATTATTTAAACAATAAATGATTAATTGTATAATTCACGTACGATCGTATCTAAGGCTAATTGAAAACTTCACCATCAATGCGCATGCACAAACCTCTAATTTCTTTTAAATCACGAGAATTCCATTAAAAAAAAAACCTTTTCACATATCCATTGCCTATAATCTAGTAGGAGGCGGAAACTTGAAGTCATAGGAATAACAAAAAGCCGAATCCTTTTTTACATTTGTTTATGTTGTTGTTGACGTGTAAAAAAGAAAGTCTTTGGAATGGTCAAACCAGTAGAAGAGAAAAGCGTCAAAATCACGGAAAAGAACATAGTTAGACAGATGGTCATCAGAGCAGAGGATTACTACCTCGTAAGCTAACGTGGCGTAATACTGACGTCTAAAGATCACAGCTCTTACGCTGCTCCAGTGACCACCGAATCGTAACCTCCGCTTCTGTCCCTTTTTCTCTACTGGTGGGTCCCCCAACCACTCTACAAAGCATAAGATTTCTTGTGCCAGAAGAATTATTTTAACCTGACAATTTTACCCCTATCTTGATCATTTTTTTGTTGTTGTTTAAATCAGATTCATAAAAAAAAAAAAATGTAAAGTCAGTATAAAAACCGATGGTTAAAAACTTCAAAAAGCTTTTCTAGGTTCACTATGAACCGTCACATTGGAGATATCAGACCTGAGCAATCAGGGGTAATATTGTCATTTCAAGTACAGCAAATTTATTAACTCGTACACGAGGAGTATTTATTTTTATTTAAAACAACACAGTTAATTATTTTTTCTTCCTTTTCACACACAGAGACATCGGAGGAGAGAAAAAGGGCAAAAACAAAAACAAAGATCCGAAATTTTTCCTCTGAAAATATCTCAGAGATTCTGAGCAAAGCAAAGTAAAACAAAAAAGGAAGAAAATTTACCACATTTCGGAATTATTATGCATTAAATTTTCCATTGGATCTGTTCCAACGAGAAATCTCTCTCTGTGAGAAAAGAAAAAGAAATTGATTTCTTTTTTCTATCCTCTGTTCTTCCTCGTCATTTCTTAGTTCTTACCCAGAAAAATAGAGGATAACAAAAATCTGTTTCTTTCGATGATCGTAACACTTTCTCTGTGATTTTTCCCTTCTTCTGTTGTTGTTGATCATCGTGATCATCGTCTTTTCTTACATGCGACCCATGTCAGACACTCAGCATGTACAGAGCTCCATGGTGTCGATTCGATCTTCCGACAAAATCGAAGGTACGTTTCTTCTAATCTCGAGAGAGATCCATATGGTCCGGTCTTGTTTTTCCGTAATGCGTTTGAAAGATCATACTGAGTTTGATCATCGTTTATAACTCTCATTGTGATTTCAGCAAATTTTATAGCATTTCGGAAATTTGATCTCTTTTATGAGTTTTATTTACGTTTTCTCTGTGCTTGTTTTAATATCTAGTGATCAAGTTTGGAGATTTATGTTGTTGTTGTTGATATGATGATCTTGTAGATGCCTTTAGGAAGATGAAAGTAAATGAGAACGGCGTGGAGGAATCGAATCCGTATCCAGATCGTCCCGGTGAAAGAGATTGCCAATTCTATTTAAGAACTGGTCTCTGTGGCTATGGAAGCAGTTGCCGTTACAATCATCCTACTCATCTTCCACAGGTTAGAAACAAAACTTAACCTATTTGGCTGATTCTTACTTAAGCTGCAATTTTTGCCTCATGGCTTACTGATTTTACAACATCTTAATAGGATGTTGCTTATCACAAGGAGGAGCTCCCTGAGAGAATTGGACAGCCAGATTGTGAGGTGCAGTTTCTTGCATCTCTCATGGTTGTTGTTTGGTTGAGTGCATTGTAGAGAGATAAAAACGATATTTTGTTCAGTGTGGTGCATTTGACTTAAGCTTTTTGTCCATTTAGCAAAAGTAAGAGAACTTATTCTAGTTTGTAAACTTCACTTAAGAGGTAGCAAGAATCTACACTGAAACTGCAGAACATATTCCTCTTGTCTGGTTTAGTCTTTCCTCCAGATGTTTACTTTCCTTAAAATATGTTTTCCAAACGACTTTTCTCTTTTACATGCAATTCCGTTGCAGTATTTTCTGAAGACAGGAGCTTGTAAGTACGGCTCTACTTGTAAATATCATCACCCAAAGGACAGGAACGGTGCACAACCTGTAATGTTCAATGTTATTGGTTTACCTATGCGTCAGGTACTTTCCATTGTGGTAGCTAAATTCTTTTTTGTCGAATGTAGAAGACTTATTTGAATATTTCTTCTCCAGGGTGAGAAGCCATGTCCGTATTACCTGCGAACGGGAACTTGCAGATTCGGAGTTGCTTGCAAATTCCACCATCCTCAACCTGATAATGCTCATTCTACTGCATATGGAATGTCTAGCTTTCCTTCTGCAGGTTTACAATATGCTAGTGGATTAACAATGATGTCTACATATGGAACTTTGCCTCGTCCGCAAGTTCCTCAGTCCTACGTGCCAATCATGGTTTCTCCCTCTCAAGGCCTTTTACCTCCTCAAGGCTGGGCCCCTTACATGGTTTGTCTGAATTGAAGCTGCCAATAACTTAAACCTGTTCTTGACCGTTGATATCACATGCTATGAATTTTTGTTATGTTGCAGGCTGCATCTAACTCCATGTACAATGTGAAGAATCAACCTTATTACTCCGGTTCTAGTGCATCCATGGCCATGGCTGTGGCTTTGAACCGTGGTTTGTCAGAAAATTCTGAACAACCAGAATGTCGGTTTTTTATGAACACCGGGACATGTAAATACGGAGATGATTGCAAATACAATCATCCCGGAGTAAGGATTTCACAACCACCACCAAATCTTATAAACCCTTTTGTTCTTCCAGCGAGACCTGTAAGTCTCTTGCTAAACTGAAAGAAGAGCTTTGGTTACCAAAATGTGGTCTTGATTTGGTATCTTACGAATATTTTGAACATCTAATGAGTCACTGTTCTGATTTTTGTCATCCAGGGACAACCAGCTTGTGGTAACTTCAGGTCTTATGGATTCTGCAAGTTCGGAACAAACTGCAAATTCGACCACCCGATGGTGCCATATCAGGGCCTGACCATGGCTTCTTCTCTGCCTACTCCTTATGCTTCACTTGTTTCAACCCATCAGAGGATCTCACCATCGCCAAACCGCTCTGATTCGAAGTCTCTTTCAAATGGTAAACCTGACGTGAAGAAGGAAAGCTCAGAGACTGAGAAACCAGACAAGGATTCTGGACAATTGAATAACTCAGAAGTGCAGGATTTGTCTGAGAATCCGTTATCACCATGATCATGATTCTTGAAGACCCCCATGATCTCTCTCTGCCCTTTTTTTGTTAATTTTTGTGGAAGAGGAGGGGAGGTGAAAAGTGTTTCTTTGCTCTTTTTTCTTGGAGATGGCCATGGTTGAAATTGAAAACAATATAGGATGAAACCAGTTGATGTCACAGTTTTCTCTTCTGTTTTTACTCTGTTAATAAATTTTACATCAGAGGAATGACTAGACTTCGTGACACTCACTAAGAGCACTTGCAGCAACGTTCCTTGACAAAGTCCCACGCTGGGCCCCACTCCAAAACCATGCGACCTTTGCTCCAAAACCATGCGACGTTTCTTTATTTGGGACGTCCCTCTTTCTCGTCCTTCACTATTCGCGGGCCCCACTGATACGTGGCGGCCCGCGATTGGTTACTTGTTTTTTTTTTTTAAATAAGGGACGGGACACTCATTTACCATTGCACATGGTCCTCTTTATGATTGGCAAATTTGAAGTAAAATTTGTTTTTGAGCAAGTAAAATTACTACTCTTGTTTTTGTCAAGTGTAATTACACATCTGTCAGCTACGAAAAAAGAAAATTTCTAAATAACTTTTTTAAAAATTCCAATATATGATCTTGTGTTTTTAAAAATACCATAACGCTAGTTACCATTATTTTCCTTTATTCTATAAATATAAAAACCACATTTGTAAAAAAAAATCAGTATTAAAGTCTAAAATCTAAATGCAATTGATTTATCAATTATCAGTTAACATAATTTACAATTTTTTTATAATTAAAATGGTTTCTAATTTTTTATTGATGAGTCAATTTCATTTGAAGTTTTGAACATTCCAAGTAAAGAGTTGAAAACTGCAAAGCGTTGTTTTTAGGCATTTTTGTCGGAGAAAAATCTGGGGGTGAAAGCTTCGTCCTTTGCGTGACAAGGAATCTCCCCGTTGGGTTTTTGTGGCCGACGATTTGTGCACGCATAACCAGAGAACTCAATCTCTAATCCGCCGAGTCGACTCACTCCGAGTTTCTTCAGCCGCATCAGGGAATCATGAATCGGCTGAGAGGCCGAGGTGCATCGCTTCTGGGTTCGGCAGTTGTGCCTCAGCTGAAGAAAAAAGCCCTAAATTCATTGGTCGCCGTCCAGGATTCGTATCTCTCCACCAAGGTGATCGATCCCTTTTCTCTGTTCTGTATGCGTTTATTCGTTTGATCAAAGGATTTCAATTTGATACCGATTTTAGAAGAATTGGGATTAGGAAATGTTTTGTTCATCAGGGTTTTTGTTAAATTGTCTGTGTATAATCTGCTGCTGCTTGATGGAGTTTCGTTTAATTTTTTTAGGACTTGTTCGAGAGGCACAGGGTCGTATTTACAGTTGGAACTTCTATAGCATCTGTTGCTACGGCTTGGATTGGTATGTTACAATTCGATATTTTTCTTACTTTATTTTCAACTATAGATTAACGGTTTAGCTGATTTGATCTGCCATAAAATTTTCAAGTTTTTGAACAACTTGTTCAGAATTACTATGTGCTAATGTTCAATAACTGATCTGTCCAAAACTTACAATAACTGAAGTTCAGTACTTGAGATCTATACATGATTTGAATAGGTCCTTTGTTATTCTGCTGGGATATAAAACAAGTTAGAAACTGAGCTTCTTGTGTGATACTAGTGACCGTTGGAAAAAGTATCTCATTGGTCTTTTGTTTATGTTTGTACTGAGTCAAATGAGTTTTATGACCGTGTTCTACCCAATGGATGAATGATTGTGCAGGTTACTCATTACGACATTACAATGAAACTAGAATTAATCAGAGGCTGGAGTCCATTGAGAATGCGGTTAGTGTGTCCCTCATTTACCAAAGTTTATTGCACATCGCTGCTTGCATAGTTGGAATTATATAGCTGCTCTTCTGTTGAAACTCTTGCAAACGACTTGGTGCTTCATATTATGATGTCTAGTTATTGATCGTTTATCATGAACATACAGCTTTATTGTCGAAATTTTCATCCTAGTTTTTAAGTCCTCTTTCCGCTAATAATATTCCTTTTTTTCTGCAAATACAAATGTACCTTAATGATCCTTAGTTGCTCTATTGTCTCAGTCTGTCACTTGAAAAGTTGAAATGTTTGCTTTTTCTCATCTCATGCCAGATGAAAAACACCCAAGATTTAGAACGAGGAGAACTGAAGAAGCTCGTTGATCCAGTCGGTTCCAGGTTCACTACAACAATTGCAACCGCTGGAACCACTTTGATCCTCGGGTTTGTTTTTGCGAAGACTGTTAGGTTGACAAGTTAGATGCTGTGTCGGGTTTTTCATTAATATTTTCCGTGTGGTGTTTTCAGGTATGGTTTGGGTTGGCGAGGCGGGATATGGTATGCAAATAGGAAGTTTAGAAGGGAGCAAATGAGATTGGCCGGGCAGTTAAAACCGAGAGAATGGAAGTTATTAGGAAGGATAAAACCTCGAGCTTGGCCAACAACAAAGTTTCTCAGACGACCATTCCCAAGACAGAACAAAACAGCAGAAAATGCTTTGAAGGCACCAGAAAGTGCGAGTTAAAAAATAAATGAAAAAACCGGCAAGAACGAAATTGTATTTCAAGTGTTTGTTCGGAAAACGAACTACATTCTTTATTCTCTGGAGAATCTTGACGTCAATAGAAAGGGTTTTGTCTTGAAGCCTAAGGCTCTTCTGTCTTTTTCTCCCTTGTTGCGAGGAAATTGAGAAACTGTATCTATTTTTTTCTCTCTTAAATTGTTGTGTGGTAAAACCAAGTTCGAAAATGAAATAGAACAGAAGTTGGTTAGAAAACAAATTGAACTTGTGAAATTGCTAACGATCAAATGACTAGGTCCAATGATGGGATCCCAAGTCCGGTTAGTTTTTCATATCGTTTTGTAAATTTAGTCTAAAACAAAAAATTGAAAAAAAACAAAAATGCTAAATTTACATAATTAGAAAACAAATTGAACTTGTGAAATCGTTAACGATCAAATGACTAGGTCAAATGACGGGATCCAAAATCCGCTTAGTTTTTCATATCGTTTTGTAAATTTTGTCTAAAACAAAAAATTGAAAAAAAAAACAGAAATTCTAAATTTACATAACAATTAGAAAACAAATTGAACTTGTGAAATCGCTAACGATCAAATGACTATGTCAAATGACGGGATCCAAAGTCCGGTTAGTTTTTCATATCGTTTTGTAATTCTAGTCTAAAACAAAAAAAATTAACAAAAATGCTAAATTTATATAACGATTAGAAAACAAATTGAACTTGTGAAATCGCTAACGATCAAATGACTATGTCAAATGACGGGATCCAAAGTCCGGTTAGTTTTTCATATCGTTTTGTAAATCTAGTCTAAAACAAAAAAAAAGCTAAATTTACATAACGATTAGAATACAAATTGAACTTGTGAAATCGCTAACGATCAAATGACTATGTCAAATGACGAGATCCAAAGTCCGGTTAGTTTTTCATATCGTTTTGTAAATATAGTCTAAAACAAAAAAAAAACAAAATGCTAAATTTACATAACGATTAGAAAACAAATTGAACTTGTGAAATCGCTAACGATCAAATGACTATGTCAAATGACGGGATCCAAAGTCCGGTTAGTTTTTCATATCATTTTGTAAATCTAGTCTAAAAAAAAAAAAAAAAAAAAGAACAAAGGTTACGAGAATTACCTGGCCAATCTTCATGGGCTTGTGATTTCTTGATGGGCTGGAAATTGTCCTCTGCTTTTGTTGGAAAAATTGTTGGTTTCGATCACTTGCTTTTATGACAGAAGAAGATAGCTCAGCAAAAATGTCAGAGGATGTTGAGCGATATTAGTCTCGCACTTTCAAGTCTTCTACGCCGCCATGTCCAGAACATGTCCTCGAGAACGTTTTAGAGAGCGTGCTTCAGTTCCTCACTTCCAGATGCGATCGCAACGCCGTGTCATTGGTCTGCAAATCGTGCTCAGACCCGATTCGAGGTTTATCGGTAACTGTTACTCGCTCTCTCCTGCTCGGCTCACTCACCGGTTCATCCAATATAGCCGTTGTATGACGTCATCACAAATAATCACCGACGAGGCGACGAAGAATTTTCCTCCATCTCGTAGTCAATTTCCGTCGTGTTCTCTCATATTCCGGCCACAACTTCATCACCGTAACTCTGAATTCCTTATAATCCTAGATTCACCTTTAAACATCTGCTTGCCATCTCTAATGATCCGCCGAAGAGATACGAACGAACCCAACGAATAATTTCCATAGCGAGAATGAGATTCATAACGGCTTCGACATAACTTGCTCAAGAAGAAACTCAAGTTTTTTAAAGAAGAAGAAGCAAGAGCACTTTAGGGTTTTGCTCTTCGAAGAATGAGAATTTGATTCTTAAGAAGAGATTAGTATAGTATTATTTATAAGGAAAAGTTATGACCGAAAGAAAAGGAAATTTATTTTAAAAAGAAAACAAAAAGGAAATTAAGGTCTAGTTAATTCCTTTTATCAATAATTAGGAAAAAGGAAATCACTCAATATTTGGGCACGTGATTAGAAGTTAATTTAATTTTCATCAATTTATTTTTTAATTTTCCGTCGCCTCAAATTTATTATTTAGCTTCGCCGACGTATTTGTCTCCTTCCGTCTAGTCTAGCTCTCCGATCATGTGGGTGACGAATACCGTACTTCTACCTCAGCCCAAGGCTCTTCTGTCTTTTTCTTCCTTGTAGTGAGGAAATTGAGATACTGTATCTATTCTTTTTCTCTCTTAAATTGTTGTGTGGTTTGCACAAAAAAAAAAAAAAAAATTGTTGTGTGGTAAAACCAAGTTCGAAAATGAAATAGAATTGTGTTATAAAATTGACTCCATTAGTGGACTATGAAATGTGATTCAGGTGATCTTTATGATCTACATCCAAATTTAAGGATTCCTCTGTTTATGAACAGAATAAAGAGTGTGCTGACGTGTAACAATATCATTGGTGCGTACACGTAAGTCCACGTAGACGATGTTTTTAGTTCTTCTGTGTCCTTTTTGTTGTTTTGTTTTGGGGGAGAAGAAAGAGAGGGAAGAAACTATGGAAAGAAAAATGTACAAATCAACGTTGTTCACAATTTGCTTCCTGTTGTTTGCCTTGTTCGATCGCGGCAATGCTCTCTATGGATCTTCTTCGCCTGTTCTTCAACTCACTCCTTCTAATTTCAAGTCTAAGGTATGGCCTTTGATTGGTTGTTTCCATCTCTAGACTCCTTCGCTTTCTTTTTTATATGATCACTCACGTTAGAAGATATATATATATATATCTCAGTTCAAAATTTGTTACTATCGGATCCTTCCAAGTCTGTTGTGGCTAATGTAATTACTATAATGGTTATTAACTAAAAGGGTTGAGATCGTTGATTTTATTCCTTGTAAAATGGACTTTTTGTTGTTCTTTTCGGGTTATGGGAGCATGTATGTAGTGATATCTAATGTATTATCTTCTCCTTGTAAATGGTTGGTAGGTTCTTAATTCAAATGGTGTCGTTTTGGTAGAGTTCTTTGCGCCATGGTGTGGTCATTGTCAATCTCTAACACCAACTTGGGAGAAGGTTGCTAATACCTTGAAAGGTATTGCTACTGTGGCTGCCATTGATGCTGACGTTCACAAGTCTGTCTCTCAGGTTTGTGTTATTTTTGTCAATGTGATTGTGATTGATGAAAACTTTTCTGCATCCTTGTGATGATAAAGAATGTTCTCTCCCTCTACTAGGATTATGGTGTGAGGGGTTTCCCAACCATTAAAGTATTTGTTCCCGGGAAGCCTCCAATTGATTACCAAGGAGCAAGGGATGCCAAATCCATTTCTCAATTTGCTATCAAGCAGGTTTATTGTCCATATCCTCACTGATTCTTGATTACATGTTTGTTATTGGGACCTTATCCTTTTTGGCTTCACAGATTAAGACGCTGTTAAAGGATCGTTTGGATGGTAAAACAACTGGTACAAAAAATGGAGGAGGATCCAGTGAGAAGAAAAAATCTGAGCCTAGCGCCTCTGTGGAACTAAACTCTAGCAACTTTGATGAGTTGGTCGTTGAAAGCAAAGAACTTTGGATTGTCGAGTTTTTTGCACCTTGGTAAGTAGTACATATTAATAACTCTTGAAATGTTCACGCCTCTCTAATCTTCGTCTTCCGGATATCTGAAACTGGAAACCATATTTTTCTATTTATCGTCCAAGGTGTGGACACTGCAAAAAGCTAGCTCCTGAGTGGAAAAAGGCTGCTAACAAGTTGCAGGGGAAGGTCAAACTAGGTCATGTCAATTGTGATGCTGAGCAGGTAATCATTAGATTTATGAATTTAGCATTAGTGATTCCTATAACTTGTTAGCCATTTTCTCTAAAGCATGTACAGCTACCACATTTTCTGCTTCTTATGATCAAATCAAACGCTTGTTTTCATATTGGTGTTGATGAGACCTGACAAGGTCTTATATATTGCAGTCGATAAAGAGCAGATTCAAAGTGCAAGGATTTCCCACTATCTTGGTCTTTGGTGCAGACAAAAGTAGCCCAGTACCTTATGAGGGTGCTAGATCTGCATCAGCAATAGAATCTTTTGCTCTGGAACAGCTAGAATCCAATGCTGGACCTGTTGAAGTAACTGAACTAACTGGGCCGGTACTGTTCTGTTCCCTAACATTGTTTTCTACTTGTCTCCAACCCAAGCCATTGACCCTCCTTTTTCTGTCCTGATTGAATAGGATGTCATGGAAGAGAAGTGTGGTCCTGCTGCTATTTGTTTTGTTTCTTTCTTACCTGACATTCTGGACTCAAAAGCTGAAGGAAGGAACAAGTATCTAGAGATGTTATTATCAGTTGCAGACAAGTTTAAGAAAGACCCTTACGGGTGAGCTTTGAACATATCTATTCTCTCTTTGTTACTATCATCATATTCCAGCTGTTAGTTACTCTGTTTTTGGACAAATGCTCGAATTTTAATTGTGTTTGCAGCTTTGTGTGGGTGGCTGCTGGGAAGCAACCTGATTTGGAGAAGCGTGTTGGTGTTGGAGGATATGGTTATCCAGCAATGGTAGCCTTAAACGCCAAGAAAGGAGCTTATGCTCCACTTAAAAGCGGTTTTGAGGTTAAACACATCAAGTAAGTGTACCTTTTGTCTTTCTCTCTATCTTATATAACCAAACCTATGGTCCCTGCATCTTATGTTTTGGTAGCAAGCTGAAAACGGGTCTTTTCTTTATTTGTGTTATCAGAGATTTCGTAAAGGAAGCTGCGAAAGGAGGAAAAGGGAATTTGCCTATAGACGGAACAATGGAGATAGTGAAGACAGAAGCTTGGGATGGTAAAGACGGAGAGGTGGTTGATGCAGATGAATTCTCACTTGAAGAACTCATGGGAAATGATGATGATACTTCCACTGAGTCCAAGGACGACTTGTGAACTTCTCTTTTACCGCATTGATAAGGGTTTTGGTTTCCTGAAAGACTTAAAGTGTCCCACTCAAGGACAGTGATTATCATTTCATAGATTTAGAAACAGAGTACACACTTTTGGATTCCATATAGATACGGAATTTGGTGAATCTTTCGGCTTTTGTATGAAGTTGAACACGCTAGCTAACAGTCTAACCACTTCACAGACTAATTCATCAACAATTAATTACCATAGCCTATTTATAAACCACAGTAATTACAAAGATTATATTTCTTTCAGACAGAAATATCATTCACAGTTTAGTCAACATCAAATACAAAATAGTATACAAAGCTTTGTTTGTTTTGGTAGTTGAGTCTGGTGTAAACTACAACAAGTTGGGTTTCCAAGTCGTAGATCGTGGTAGCTTCAAACGCCATTGAGGCTGTTGGGACGAATCCAAGTAGGCGACATCGCTACAAACTGTGATTTCAGAGCTTGAGCAGATGATTTCCGCATTCTGAAGTGTAAATCCGTGGATTATGGGCAACGGAAATCCCTTTTCTAGATGGTCATTTGCATACGGCACAAACACTGTTTGTATAACAGTCCACACTATTGGCTAGAAGATCGGAACAAGATAAAGAAACACGTGTAAATGTTAAGAATGAATGAAATTTTCTCTGAAACAAACATGAGAGTGCTTTAAACACATGAAATGATGGTTTTACCTGAAGAAGATGCAGATGGAGATTTCCAATGTTGCTCCATTTCAAAGACATGGAGAAATCTTCTAAACTTACGCTGCCTCCAAGGTTATTACCCATGACTCTGAGAGCACCAGATCCCCGGATCGTCTGCAGCCAAACAAACAGTGAATCATCTATTGGTAAACTAACATCACTGCAAATTTGCTTATATAGCATTGTCATTGGAGGACTCACCAAGGAGATGCATGCTACTGGTATAACTTGGCTTGCATCTAGAACATTGATTACTAGGTCAGCATTAACATTAGCTCCAACGTATTGCTCTGATATCTTTACACGCGGAGGTGAAGACAAACTGATGTTCAGACTCATATCCTGGTTCGGGTACTTCTTGTATAGTTGTGGAATGATGAACCTCCACCTAGCAGTGTTTAAAAGAGCCTGCTCTGGTATTTTATCCACAACCCATTGCACAAAGTCTGCCTGAATATGGCAAGAGTGAACATCCTCATATTAGAAACAACAGTGGAAAATAGTGATATTGTTTCAGATGTATCAGAAACATATAGAACAGTTTTCTCAAGAGCATTCTTCTAGTTGACTATATTTTACACGAGGAACCAAAAGAATTAGAAAATTAGGAGGAACTTACATTATAGTACAAAGCTGCAGCAGAGTTGAAAACAGCTTCATCCACTGAAATTCCGAGCATTTTAGAATTTCTAGGGCAGATAACTAAAGATAGAGACTTTCTGAAGAAGGACTTTAAGACTTGATTTGTTTCTCCTTTGGTGAACAAGCCATCAATTTCAAAAGTGATAGATGAATTTCTCAAAATAGGATCACTGGTGAAAGTGACATTAAGGGCAGCATTATCATCCACTGGGATTTCCTTTGGAAGGTTTTGTAGGAATGAATCAAGGTCTGATACTCCTTCAGTGAGTTTCTTGGCAATCGTACTTTCCACACTTGACCCAATTTGGTCTTTAAATGCATTAACCATCCTGAATTGCAGAGAAGAGAATGAAGTTTAAAATGAAAACAAACCAACACCTGTCTGAGTGGATCTATCATCATCAATAAGCAAATAATTTGCATAACTGGTAATATCATACCCCTGATAAAACCATGATGCTCCTCCTTGCAACTGAATGGTGATGTCTTCCACATGGCATCCACATTCCGAAAGAGAAAGTTTTAAGCCTCCTTCATCAGTTTTCAAGCCTAGAGACAGCCCGATTTCCATGCCTTGAACCTTACCGAGAAGGCGAGAATCAGCACTCATCAAATTCCCTTTGTAAAACAGATATAAAAATGAGCAGATCACGCAACTAAAACCAACACATGGAAATGGTAACACAGAGAGCAACAGTCACCTCCAATTCCCATATGCAACTATGTTCTACGACAACAATCACAAGATTGAACAATGTTGGAGGTGACTGTTGCTCTCTGTGTTACCATTTCCAGAACCGATTCATAAACAAACACAAAAAGAGAAGTAAAAACGAATTTTCAACAAAATCGTCACTAAAAATCATGAATTGACTTTGCTTTTGCTTCAATTTGAACAATTTCTAGATGATCAAAACTAAGAATTAGTAAAATGAATCACAATTACCTGAACAGATGCAATACCCTGATCAGAGATTTCAATAGGAGGAAGCCAAGTACTGTAAGAATAATGCCAATTCATACTCAAATTACAAGTCGTCCCTGAAGCGACGATGACAACACCTGTCTCACCAAGCTTAACATAAGACGACGCAACATCAAGCTCGTATATGGTGAGGTTCGAGACAACAACATCGATTCCTCCGAGGAACGGGATTTTCACAGATTTCTCGATCCTGGGAATCTGGAGAGGTATAATCGACGCGATAGCTTTGTTAACTAGAAGATTTTTGACGAAATCGAGTCCGTTTTGAGATACGAGAACCGATGTGAATGAATCGCTGCTCTGAGTTTGTGAAGGGAAGAAGAAGAAACTTGGTAATAGAAGAAAGAGAAAGCATCGTCCAACATCCATGGCGGATATTCAAAGCTTTTTTTTTGTTTTGTTTTTTTTCTATCTTCGATGAAGAACAGGTTAATACAGTAAAGTTGCGTAATGGTTTGGATTATTGTGAAATGTCTAAAATAACCTTAGTCATTCGATTTGCATTGCCTTGTGGGACTTGAGGGACTGGGGGTAATCTGATTGAAAAGGAAGTGTTTGGGGTGATAACATAAAGTTTAAAAATATTTATCTTTCTTGTCAATTTAAGCTAAAGCTGAGGTCTAAAGGGTAAACGATTGTCGTAATAAGAGTATATAAATAAATATATATGTGTAATTTGTATATAGTAAATATTTATATACATATTAATAAGGGTATCTATACCTAGTAACCACAGAAGAATCGATAATTAACTGACACATTTCTACACTTTTTGGCAGTTACTGTACATGTGGAAAAGACAACTCCATCCTTCACTATAATTAAACTATTTATTTTTAATTTTTTCTTTTTTTTTTCTTCCTTTCTTCTTCTCTTCACGATTATGTGCAGACCAAAATCAAATTTGTTTGGGTTTCGATTATGTGAATACCAAAATCAAAATTGTGGTAGATTCTGTGATTTATAGATGGTAATGGTGATGATGATACCGATGGCGATAGATGATGATGATACCGGTTGCGATAGATGATGATGATACCGACAATGATAATTTTATCGGCGGTGGCCATAGTTGAGATATCGGTGGTAGTTTCAGTGATTTACAGGTGGTGGTGGTGATGATGATATCGGTGATGATGGGTGATGATGATATCGACAGTGATAATTTTACAAGCGGTGGTCATAATTGAAATAACGTCGGAGAGAGTCCGGCGGCTAAAGGATTCATGGTGGATTGAATGGATCGAGCTGCGGAGTCCAAGACCTTGACGGAATTTGCCAATTAGAGATTTGATGAGATTAATCGATCAAGATAGGAGAATGGGTTGTCGACGACAACAACCATTGCTACTTTCTTCTGGGTTCAATTTCATAAACGGATAACAATTTCATTAGCAACGTATACAAAATGCTAACATATCTTAAACGCAACAATTATGTTATCATGATAAATGAATACGCTAATGTATAAGTTAACGGAAATAATTAAATTACTAAAGAAAATAAACCGGTTAATACATAAGTTAGCTGATATAATCATATAATAAATGTTTTAACGCGATAAATATTAGTTTACCATGTAACTTGTAAACTTATCGCGATATAATATGATTTATCGAAAATTGAGTCGTAATCAAAAATTTGACCTAAGCTATTATCTGAAATTTATGTCTCGTCGATATCTATTTTGTTATAACGTTAAACAATTTGTTACATGCGGAGGGGTATTTTTGTCCAACTTATACAAGTTGATGAGAGAGAATTAATTATACAAAAAACATGTATATATTCTTAATTTTTCAGTCGTCGGTGTATTTAGATTTAATTGACCCTATTAATAAGGGTATCTATTAATAACGTGCCAAGAATATTAGCCCTAAAACCGATCAGAACCCTAAATTTTTGTTTATCCTCTCGATCTCCGTAGAAAGTAGAAACCATGACCGGAGATGTCAACGGTAAGATCTGTAACTCTTGCTCTGAAATTGTTCTGGATTAGATTTCATCTGTCATGTCTAACTAGCCGATCGAATCAAACTTTTTTGTTTTCTTCAGTTTCGTAATTGTTTATGCTTTTTTTTGTGAAACCTCGCAGAAGGCAAAATAAGCGTCTTATGGGACTTGACGGATTTCCCAGTCCCTGAGGGTCGCGGTATTCGTGAGATTGTTGGTTCTGTTCTTGCGAGAAAGGGTTATACTGGTGAGATTTCAATCAAGGCTTATGGTGAGACGACGAATCCGTACCCGCCTGAAGAAGGAATCCCATTCGTACTCAACAGTGAGATTTCCTGTACTTAATAAAAACATTCTTTATATACATTGTGTATGTGTCTGTACGTAATCCGTTGATATGCATTTCCAGGCGATAAATATTGGAGGCTTAATAGGATTTTAGTAGACATTTGTTTATGGTCATTGGACAGCCCTGCTCCCTATGAGGGACCATCAACTTTGATGGTAGTCGCAAAAAACATTGAAGAAAGATCGGAGTTCGTCGCTGTTATCCAAAATTTGAAGGCTTCAGGTTACAATACCATCTTTGTAGTGCCTGATGGTTACAGCCCATACAGAGTGCCAATTCCTAAAGTAAACTTAGCTTGGTATTGGGAAAGCCTACTAGAGGGAGGAGAGCCTATCCCCGATTCGGAATTACAAGGGATATTATTGCGAGTCAAACAACATGAAACCAACGTATTCTAGTATCTTTGTGCTATGTAACAAGAAGACAACTAGCTGATATATGCAACTCTCTAGCTACGTTTGATACGAACATATTTCAGAGCCAAACTGCAATATAATTACCAAATCAGACTATTTTAACCAAATTACCATTAGAAAACAGTTTACCATTTGATCTCGCACATGAGATGATCAAGTGGTGGTACCGCTGCCAGATAGAACTGACCGGGATCCATATTACAAAATACCAAACAAACACCCTCAGGAACCAGCATCATATGTCTTCTCATCCGCACAATGAGAGCTTCCATCATCTGTGTTCTGACATTTCTCCGCAACATCTTCTTCCTCAGAATCCGAATCTTCGATAGGGTGGCCACCATCAAACAGCGTTGTCCAATGCCATGCATATTCTACAGTAGAATGAGGTGGCAGTTGTTTTGGAGGGAAGCCATCAGGGACTACTAAGGAAACATTGTACTCTCTGGCCATCAAAGTTGCAAGAACATTGAAAAAGCCCGTGTTTTTCTCTGGGATGTCTTTTGCAACTACGAGAAAATTTGTTTCCTCATTTGGTCGTTCATCCATAAGATTGTAGAATACCCAGTAAAGCATGTCCACTAGCATCTTACTGAGTCTCACATGCTTTTCAGCCGCTGGAAATTTATATGCAGATTACAAGACATGAATATATATATATATATATATATATATATAGATATATTAAAAAAAAAAAAGAGAGGACTTTGTTTACCTCTGTGTACGAGCTCGATTTTGGAACTGTAAAAGTCAATCCATTTTGCATCCACACCACCATAAGCATGGATTGACAGGTCACCAATATAACCCTCAATCCGAAGAGCATGTTTGACTTTACTATAAAACAAATCCAAATTGCGACCCTCAGGGACTGGGAAATCAAGGACGTCCCAGAAGACGCGTGTCTTAGCAGCTGCGAACGGGGCAACGCATAAACAAAATTAGGAAACGATCATCAGATCCATCAATTTGGAGCAAGAGATCAAAATTAAGAAACGATCAGACCAATCAATTTGGAGCAAGAGATAGAGATCATACGGAAGTACTGTGGCGCCATGCTTTCTTTCTACCGGAAATTGATAAAACTACTCGGAGAAAAAAGAATTAAAATTTTAGGGTTAGAATTTATAGACAAGTGATTGTCGAGCAAGTTACGTAACGATCTGGGAACTTGGGCCTGTGGCCTTTTCGTTTGGGCTTTATTGTCTTGTATGGTTTTTTTAATTAATGGAAAAGTATATTAAAAAAAAAAAGTTGCGTAACGATCTGGATTAATGGGAATGTCTAAAATAAAACCTTGGGCCATTCGATTTGCGGGGGTAATTTGATTCAAATTGGAAGTTTCAGGGTGAAAACATAAAATTTAAAAAGTATTTATCTTTCTGGTCAATCAAAGCCTAAAATTGAGGTCTAGAGGGTAATCGGTCTCTTACGGTGGCTTGGCGACACGGAACAGAGAATTAATCATCGAGAAAAAGCCGGTGAGCTTGTAACCGGAATTCATGGCGATGCAAGCCGGTGTTCAGACCTCTAAGGTTCTTATCCTAGTTGGCGCAGGTCTCTTTCTCACTTTGATGGTTGATTAATTATGTTTGCATTCGACTCTGTAATCTAGGGATACTTTTCCCGAGTTTATGAAGAGTTAGGGTTGGAATTTATATTTATCTTAAACTCTGGCAATTTGATTGATCACTATGCAAAAATGGTCTAATTTGCTTGTTTTGGTTTGTTCACAGCTTCAATTATTAGTCTAGTTTTGATGGTAATAACAGCTTGGATGTAGCAAGAATGATGTATTGTTTCATTCTAGCTCATATGTTCTATTAATGACCTTTAATGATACTTGGTTCTGTTTTCATCATGTTCAAGGTGTATCTGGTTCGATCGTATTGAGACATGGGAGGTTGTCTGACCTAATAGCCCAGCTTCAAGAGTTACTCAAAGGGGCTGAAGGAGTTGAAAGCACTCCATTTAAGTATGATGGTGCACTCCTAGCTGCTCAGGTATTTTTATTTCCTTTTGCCCTGTAAGCTTAATTTTCTCATCGACCAAACATATACAATCGATAATTCATGTGCTTCTTGTAATCATTAGGCCAATGCTGGACTCCCTTCTTAGTGACATAATTTTTGTTGTTTCTTGATAACCAGATTCGACAGCTTGCAAACGAGATCAAAGAACTAACTATGACCAATCCAGTTACCATCTTTAATGGAGATTCAAACTCCAATGGTATGTACATGTCTTTAGTTTTTCATAAATGTTTATGTACAACTTTTAATAATCTAGGAACTGTTTCAAATATGTTTATTTTTTATGAGAAACAGAGAATAATAATCTTTGCTTTTGCTGATGTAGGCTATGCATCTTACCTGGTTCCTGCGGCTGCCGTTGGAGCTATGGGCTACTGCTACATGTGGTGGAAGGTGCTTATCTCTTGAAAATCTGTCTATTTTCCTATGTTCCATGTGTCTTTTGTTATAGTTTTTTTTGTAACATTTAGTTTATTGATGCACTATATATCATTGACTTCTAACGTTTACCCACATCTTACTCTTACATTGCAGGGCTGGTCATTTTCGGATGCAATGTTTGTGACAAAGAAAAATATGGCTGATGCGGTTGCCTCTGTTTCGAAACAACTAGACGATTTGTCAGACACATTAGCGGTGAACAAATACTTTTTTGAGACATTCCATTGTTTTATATGTTACTTGTGGTTTTTGACTCAATGCATTTTCTTACGCAGTCAACAAGAAAACATCTTTCTAATAAGCTAGCGACCTTGGATTGGAAGGTGGAAGAGCAGAACGAGACATCTAAAATGATTTTAAGTGATGTAAGAAACCCATTTTATTTCTCACCTTCTTGTATTGATGCCTTAAGATTAGGATAATTATACATTAGTCTAAGAGAGGTCTCACACGTGATCGGCACACTTGTACATTTGACATCTTATAAGGATTTGAAGCACATTTAGAATTCCAGAAGATTGTAGAGTATATATTTATTAACGTCCCACTGTTTTTCTTCACATGTACAGTAGATTCCTTAGTTTCTTTCAGCTAGATTCTTATTTCTGCGATTTATTCCATCATTGCCTTTCTTTGATATTCATTTTAATGGTAATGTTCACATGGAATCTTGCTTCGATGCAGGTAACTGAGATGAGGTCAAGCATTTCGCAAATTGGGTTTGATTTTAAGCAACTAAATGAAATGATTTCTGGAATAGTAAGTCTCATCTTTGTCATCTGTATGCATATTTCGGACAATTCTCAATTTATGTTAAAGGGACTAATATCTTTCTTAAATCAAATTTTTACAGGAAGGGAAGATTGAAAGTCTTGAAAGCAAACAAGTACTTTGTCTACAACCATTAGATATCAACTACAAACCACTTCACACTATCAGTTTTCTTAAAACTAATTTATCTCAAACATTTATTTTTTGTTAAATTATAGGATGTGACCCTCTCAGGACTATGGCATCTATGTCAAGTTGCAGGCGTTAAAGATAGCACAAGCACTAAAGTATTTCAGGTGAGTGTTAACTTACAAATTAAGAGACCCATTGTCTTACTTTTTTTTTCCCGTAATTATAGGCCTGATTGAAAAAAAATCCTTGTTTCTGGCGTTGTGGTTTAGGATGTTGGTGCGAGATTACCTATCGATGGAAAACCATATACTAATAATTCTCTCTCGGTGAGAATGCTACGAAAACCTATCTTTCGTCATCTAAATGAGCATTTCAATTCTATTGATGTAGTGGAAAAAAAATCAAGAAGATCATTAGTCTTGAATTTACATATATTCAAGGCAGTCTCTCATCAATCTTATTCGAATAACATGGAACCTGGAAATACTTGTAGTAGATGTTATTTGATTATCTCATGATGTTTCTTTGGCTTTTTAAAACTTTAAAACTATGAAAACTCCAGGGTCTGCGGTTTCTGACAGAAGGCAAAGAGGATGCAAACGTAATACACAAGCCGGTTTTGGCGAAAGAAATAGCGGTGGTGGAGGAAAAAACAAAAGCCGCAACCGTGACAAGAAGCAGAGTACATAGAGCGTTTCCGGGTGGAATATCTTGGGTACGGGATGTTTCAGGACCATCCTAATATTATTTTGGTTGATATACGAAGAATTTGTTTGTATTCGTCCCAAATTCTGATACTGGGACTGGCAATTATTTTTTCATGTAAAAAAGAAGAAAAGAAAAACTACATATGTTATTGCATCCACCAACAATTTGGTTTGCTCCTAATTATTTGGTCTCCGCTTGATGTATGTAATGAAAGAGTGTGAATAAGGCTTTCATGTATGCTGAGGTCTCCACTGATTTGGACTTTTGTGCTCCTTTTTTTCTTTTGAGTTTGGATAAAAAGAAGTTGTGAATAGAAAACATTGAGAAATAGAATGAACTACTGTCTTTATACATTTGTTCTTCCTTTCTCGTGGGATCATTGTACCAAGTTGGCAGAGAAAGAAAACTTTCGTCCTTATTGGGCCAAAAGGCCCAAACTAGATATAGAGGTAGCCCAAAGTCAATTTAACCCGAAATAATCCAATCGGGTGAATTTTACACCAAATAAAAAACCCGACCCAGACTTGTTATATTAACAGGAGGCTTGACGGAACTTGGCATCAGTTAATCGGAGGTTCTTTCCTCTCAAGTGAAGTGTCTGGATCTTCGACGTTCAACGCAAAATTCCTCTCTGGTTCATGTAAATTTCCGACTTATATTTGTGGTTGAATTTGGGTAATCGGGCAAATTTATCACACTTTACGGAGTATTGAAGTAGCCTTTGTCTCCTGGCTGTTGAATTGCGATTCATTGTGTATGCTCAAGCGTTTAATTGGGAGATTCTAAGGAAATTTTTGTGCTTTTTCTTACTCAATATCATCACTGTTGATGTTTCTTCTGTGTCCTTTTATTGCCACAGTGGATAATCAGAGTCTGGGGAAGATGAGCATTGTACCTAAGGAAACGGTTGAGGTAATAGCTCAAAGTATTGGGATTACCAACTTGTTACCTGAAGCTGCTCTTATGCTTGCTCCTGATGTCGAGTATCGTGTCCGAGAGATCATGCAGGTGACCTTATTTTCTTCTAATCATGTCTTTGTGTTCTTGAGGTGAGGTTTTGGGTATCAGCATATTGATGTTTCTGTATTGGATGTCTTTTCAGGAAGCTATAAAATGCATGCGTCATTCAAAGAGAACGACTTTAACAGCTTCGGATGTAGATGGTGCTCTCAACTTGAGGAACGTTGAGGTACAAACTAGAAACCAATTTCTTACTTCCCATTATCTAGAACTGTCAGTACATTGTTTGATAGCTTTTTGGTTTTGGTAGTGGAGTGAGAAACATATATGGTTTCTAGTTTTGAGGCTTGGCTTTACTGGTGCATATGAATAACACCATCTATTACACTTTGCTTTCACATATTTCACTATACTAGTTAACTGAATCAAAAAGGCGTCTATTTGAGAATGATCATATTTATTGCAGCCGATATATGGCTTTGCCTCAGGCGGACCATTTCGTTTTAGAAAAGCTATTGGGCATCGCGATCTGTTCTACACTGATGACAGAGAAGTGGATTTCAAAGATGTAAGATGTTGGGAAAGCTGCCATATTTTGTTTTCTTTCAGTTAAGTTCTTCATTTTGGTTTTCTTATGTTTTTAAGAAATGTCATGGTTCTAGGTGATCGAAGCCCCGCTACCAAAAGCTCCCCTTGATACTGAAATTGTTTGTCACTGGCTGGCTATTGAAGGAGTGCAACCAGCTATACCAGAAAATGCTCCTTTAGAAGGTTTGTCTCTCAATCTTGTGCCCTGGGTTAGAGTTGTAAAGTCATTAACTGAAGTTTTCAACATGAAACAAATATTAGTATGTACAGAGACGTTTCAGAGGTGTAGAAACCTCTTTCTACAGTTGATAAACCCCGTGTTAAGTGACGAGCTACTGATGTTACTGAGGGATCAAAATACATATTTTCAGATCCATCTGTATTGTTGTTTTGCGCATCATCATAAGCAAGAAATCCTTGTTCTTTTCTATCTTGAATATATTTTTCACTTTTTGTGCTGTCTCTAGTCATTAGAGCACCTGCAGAAAACAAAATCCAGGAACAAAAAGACGGACCTCTTATTGACGTTAGGCTACCAGTGAAGCATGTACTATCTAGGGAACTTCAGGTATATGGTGCAGGCTAAATACCATAGGGTACTATCCTGACATGCATAAGACTTATCTGTTGTTCTCTGTTAACAGTTATACTTCCAAAAGATTGCTGAACTTGCAATGAGCAAGTCAAATCCTGCTCTGTTTAAAGAAGCATTAGTGAGCTTGGCCTCAGACTCAGGACTTCATCCTCTAGTTCCATATTTTACAAATTTCATTGCTGATGAGGTAACATTATGCACCACCAAGGTACTAGTGTAAAGCAATAAGACCCGCGCTAAGTTTTTGCAGATTACAGTTTTAATTTTCTCCACTTGTGCAGGTTTCAAATGGTTTAAAAGACTTCCGACTCCTGTTTAATCTAATGCACATTGTTAGAAGTCTTCTACAGAATCCTCACATAAACATAGAACCTTATGTAAGTTTTCTCTGGATTATCCTTTGCCACTATCTAAGAACATTGTAGAATCATGTAGCTCCATTTTCTTAAGGCTCTTGATTTGGGTTTCTTCAAGTTCTATTTAGACATATTCCATATTATGGATATAAAATGGTTAGTGGTAGTGTTTGTCCGCGTTATGCAAGCTCTAGTGCTTAAGTACTCTCTTTTGCTTCAAATGACAGTAAATTATGTCTTTTCTGAGTTTGAGCGTTGTTTCATAACCATGAAGCTGAGTGAACTTTTCCTTTTGATGCTAGCTGCACCAGTTGATGCCATCTGTTGTAACATGCCTTGTATCAAGAAAGCTTGGAAATAGATTTGCTGACAACCATTGGGAACTCAGAGATTTTGCGTCAAATCTGGTTGCACTGATATGTAAAAGGTTCATTCTTTCCCTTTCATGTCATGAACTCTGTGTTTGTTTTTGGTTGATTGTGGGGATCTGAACATGATTTCTTACTGGAACTACTACTGAAATTTATACGGAAATTGTATGCAGTATCATGAGATGATTATCCATAGATGGTCTGCTAAGTTTATCTTGGCTGATCTGTTTGCTATTGATATCTTCTTCTTTTTTTTGCTCGAGCTGAAAAAAAAATGGGTATATCTGAATTAACAACAGTTAGTAATAATTTGCTCTATTCTTCTTCATTATTTAGAAGGGTTAGTCATTGTCTCCCACTTTTATATTACATATCTCACCTTAATATTCTTTTAACATCTGAATACCTGTGGTTTGAATAAAATCTTGCAGGTACGGACCCGTTTATATTACTCTTCAGTCTCGTCTTACAAGAACTTTAGTCAATGCACTGTTGGACCCAAAGAAGGCTTTGACTCAGCACTATGGTGCAATTGGAGGATTAGCAGCTTTGGGGCACAATGTTGTAAGTCATTCCCTGAACTTTCAGAAAGTTTGTGCATGCTATTTCCGATATCAACGAGAAATAATATTACCCAGCATATCCTTCTATCTAGGGCCTTTTCAGGAATCTGATATACAATTTGATTTTCCCCTCACCATTTTTCCGGCTTTGCATAATCATTTTATTGGGAAATTAGGACTTTTATAGTCTTAAACAGCTTTTCCAATGAATCAGATACCCCTGCTACCAAAAACTTTAGCACAGCTATCCTGCATTATTAGCTGTTGTCATCTGAATGTCATATATTGTGTAGGTACGCCTTCTAATTCTATCAAATCTCGAACCGTATCTAAGTCTTCTCGAACCTGAATTGGATGCTGAGAAGCAAAAAAATCAGATGAAGAACTACGAAGCTTGGCGTGTATATGGAGCCTTGCTGGTTAGTCAACACATCCTTGTAAAATATCATCTTTGTAGAATTCTTCTCAGTGAACAATCCTTAGATTGACATGCGCCCTTTTGCTATTCAGCGTGCTGCAGGCTTGTGTATACATGACCGGCTTAAAATCTTCCCACCTTTACCATCTCCATCACCAAGTTTCCTCCATAAGGGAAAGGGAAAGATAATCAATACTGATCCCCACAAGCGGAAGCTGAGCATAGATTCTTTAGAAAACCAATCACCACTGAAAAGATTGATAACCATGGATGGGCCAGATGGTGTACAATCACAAGATCAATCCGGCTCAGCTCCAATGCAAGTAGATAATCCAGTGGAAAATGACATTCCGCCACAAAACTCTATTCAACTATCCTCATCAGAACAAGCTTCTGATGCTAACGAATCTGAAAGCAGAAATGGAAAGGTGAAAGAAAGCGGTAGGAGTCGGGCTATTACCATGAAAGCAATCCTTGATCAGATATGGAAAGATGATCTTGATTCCGGACGGCTATTGGTGAAACTGCACGAACTCTATGGTGATAGGATTCTTCCCTTTATCCCTTCTACAGAGATGTCAGTATTCCTCTAACCAATAAGAGGTGAGCTTTCTATTCCTAAACTTTCTGATGTTTGCCTCATCGATATAAATCTCATGGTTCCAGGTGTGAATGCATTTAGAATATGTGAAATCAAATGAATAATGATACTCAATACATTAATGCTAATGAATAATTATAGATATGTTTGATGATTTTCAAGCAGAGTAGGAGGCTTGGAGAGATTAAAGCGCCATCTGATTGGCATGCATAAACTCATTCAGATCCGTGCCAATGTCCTCAGGTCAACTCGTTAGTTCTTCTTTATAACCTTGAGGGATTTCAAAGTCCTTGGAACCTGCAGACTGGGTTGAGTTGAATTGAACCTGTGGCAATGTATATATTAAGAGAATTTTAATGATTACGCAGTGGATTTATTTGTTTACTCTCAAATGTAATCCATGAAATGAAATATCTTCAAATCTGTATGATCTAGATTGCAATTTTTGATATTTTTGTTTTCATGTCTCTCTTGCTTATTTACTCGTTACATATAATATCCGTTCATAGATTATATCTCTTGTTGATCCTTCTGGTCCGTAGAATGGGTATACTACAAGGTTTGGTCTGTTATTACATTGACTATGAAAAAGGTCTGACACACAACAAGATTAATTTATGAGGATCTGTAAGAGGATAAGTCTGAACAAAAGTTTCGGAGACATTCTCTTAAGTTTAACTAATCTTGTATGTAAACAATCAAGTTTGCTACACACTACAGAACAGCCTAGTAATCTGGTTTACAACAAAAAATACATGTTGATCAAAGCCCAAACCGAAAACTTAATGATCATCAGTGCTGCAACGAACGTATTGGCTATTGCATTCCAGTAAAAGCTTTGGCTGGTGCCAAGAATTGCTAATGTGCTTGAACAAGAGAGCTTCTGGCCTGAACATAATCCTCTGGCGACCAAAATTGTTTCACAGAGAGTAATTCCTTTTGTTATTTCTTTTTGCCGGAACAAGACTATGACCATCATTCGACGATTTCCCCTTCTTCTAAATCTAGTCCATCAGCGATGAAATCAGTATCTAAATTTTGGAGACTGCAATTATCATCCGAATCCAATCCCTTTGCAAATTCACATTCAAAGTTGAAATAGTCACCTGGGCTCATCTCCGCGAAAAGATCCGAGTATGTGTCTATTAACCCTTCCTCAAACTCAAGCTCCATGTTACCAGCATCTTCTTGTTCTCTGGGATCAACGAGAGGATTTGACTTGTTGGTACCAACGCCCTCTGCCTTGCTTTCCTCTGAGACTCGCAGACACGGGTTATAGTTCATTTGTTTCACAAGCTCAAGAACCTTTGGCTCAAAGGAGTTGATGTCGTCTTCTTCTATTTCTTCTTCTCGGAAGGTTATACCATTAGTGCATCCATGACCATCATATAAGGAATCATTAGGATTAGGTGTCGTGTTTACATGGTTGATAACTTCAAAGTCATAGCTCTGTGAAGGTAGATATACATGGATCACCGGGTACTCTAAGATAGCTACTTTGGCAAGCTGTTGCCTCAAAGGAGCTTTGATGTCCAGCTCCTTGAAAGGAGCCTTTGCACCCTGTGAGCAAGGAAAAAAGGCTTAATATTTTGTTAGACATGCATAATATTTTATACAACGAATAAACAAAGATGGGAATAAAACAAAACCTTTGGGTATTGGCGTATAAAAAGTTTAAGAGAATCAAGATCCACATCACAAAAAGGCTTGAGCTTGTGAATCCAGGGGCCAGGCTTGAGATGATTCTTTATCACTGAGCATAAATTTGTATCTTCACCAACACTGTGATGGATTTTTTAAGTATCAATAGAGACAGACCAATGACAAAACCATGTGTCTCAATAAACAAATATGATTTTCAGTCTTAGAGAATACTAACCCATGATCAACAAGAATCACATCTGTAGAGTGAAACCGCCACTCAATTGTCCACGAGATGCACTTGCTCCTAAAGCAAAAAAATCCATCAACAGCAAAAGAAGATTGGTCAGAGAGTAAGGCAATAGAAGCACTTCCGTTAAAACATCTTTCTTTACAGAGAAGATCAATATCAATTACAATGACTAATGTAAAGCTGAATCTTTGACCATAAATCAAGAAATTCGTAGAGCATAAAAAACCTCAGACTCCAAAAAAACTTCAACTATATTTTGCTAGAAATTGTATGCAATCATCAAGATCAGACTTGGAATACAATGAGAATACCTATTATCGTATCTGGACTGATTATTTTCCCTCTTCAACATTCCACTAGGGAGATACAATAGCTTGGTTCTGCGGCTATAAGCAGCATTTTGAAGGCTCCGAAGAAGATAGGGTAACTTATAAGAATAACGATTTTTGCATAATTGATTCCTCGTTCTCAGAGCAGACTCCGCCACTCTTTTTGTTTCCTCAAGCATAATGTAGTCTAACATGTAAAAAAAAGAGAAAATTCCATCAATCAAACAACAATTAGACAACAAAGTATCATCCATAATAGAATCAAATACAAACACTTTAAAGGTGAAAACTTTTGAAAGTCACGAAACGAAAAACAAATTCACATAATACCAGAAAGGAGGAGATTATCGTCGAACTTGGAGAGGGGAACGACGTTGGTAAGATTCTTTTTTCCGGTACAACCTGTTCGCTGCTTGTGGGCTTTCACACAAGGAAGACCACACGATCGAATCGAACATCCAGGACATTTGTACTTCCATGGATTTAGCTTGCACTCTTCGCAGACCGAATTTTTCATCTTTCTCCGGAATCAACAACAAACGTTGTCCTCGTCAAGGGCTTTGTGGAGGTGGGCGAGCTCGGGGTTTATGGAACTAGAGGTATCGAAATTAGGGTTTGAAAAAGGAAATTTGGAGGTAAATAAAATAAATATCAGAGAGAGGACCTGTAATTTTTCAATTTACATTTTAGTCCACCTAATTATTATTATCTTTCAAAATACACCCCATATCTTAACACTTCAGATTTTTTGGTTTCATAGCCAATCCATCCATGTTCAAAAGTTTGACGACTGAGTTCACGAAACGATGAAATACTACAAACATAATTGTCATTCAAGAAGAGAAATTGTAACAACACCAGGCCCTAACAAACACATTAACAAAAGAAAGAGTTATAACGATCTATTGTTGTTTCTTCTTAGTCGTAGGGAATCTGGATATACGCAGCATCACAGACAAATGGGATGTCTGCGTACATACCCGCAAGTGCACACCGTATGCTTTCAAGGACGGTAAACAGATAAGCAAACGCAACAGCGGTCCAGAAATGCATCCCAAACTTACCCCAATAGACTCCAAGAGGCATCCACTTGCTAACTGTTCCTATAACCTGGAGTGCGATTTCAAGCAGCATACCCATCACTACATGGAACCTGAAGAAGTGAGGCCATTCTTTTCTTCGCACTATCCCTAGATAAGCTACAAAGAAGTAAGCCATGAGGAACCAGCTTGGTAATCTTCCGATGGCTCCCAGAAATGGGTAGGTTAAGAATTCAAAATCTTCTAGGAATGGGTGGAGATGGTAAGCGGTTTCTGCATACATCCAAGTTTCATGCAGTGGCATTAGGTAAGGCAGACATGCCAAAGTTCTCCACCACCATTGTGGCTTCTTGGTCATCGGGGGAAATCGGAAGCTAGAAGGAACATCTTTTGATGCTCGTGGAGTCAAAAGAGTTTTTCTGCGGACGGGTAACACAGGTAATGTACCAGACAGACTACCTTGTTCTCCATTCAGAAGTAGAGAAGACGAGGCTGAAAGATATGACAGAGGTACACCTGAAACAATCAGAGTATACAAGATTGAGTCAAATAAACAAAAGCAGGAACTTTGACCAAAGTCACTAGTCCTAATTTCAGCCTATGGACAAGTCTTTTAACATTCACATCATAAGAAACTCATTAGAGCAATTTAGGGATATATGATAATAAATGTTTGAAACCATGAGAGAAGAAGAAATCCACATGCCTCTTGACACTCTCGGAAGCTCATTAAATGGTGAAGGTGATCCCCACGAGTTCTTTATGACAGACAATGAGCTTCGAGCAAGATAATGTTGAGTCCGTCCTGATGCAGCTCTGTATGATGATGACTTGAATGCCCGGGAACTCGTAAGAACATGTGCACTTGGCGTGCTGCACCCAATTATCATCCTTACCAACTAAAATGCCAATACAAAAACAGATGAAAATTTGTTTTATCAAACGAAAAATCGGAAATTGAATTTGATTCTCTTGAGCAGACGACTCTAGAAACAAAATCTTATTAAATGAACAAAAAACTTCTGAGAGATTCCAATTATTTCGATTCCCACAGAGAGATTTTCGGCACCCTACCCCAGAGATTGCTCAAGACGAATTAGAACCCAGAAAGCAAACAAAATCGATTCGTTTCATAAACCCATGAGATAATTTAGAGGGGAGAAAATTTTACGAACCTTCACAAACAAGAGCTAATATAATCGAAGCTGGAGGTAGAAGAAGAAGAGTAGGGTTTATCGAGCATTCATCAGTACTTCATCCTCTGAATCCTATCCTTCTTCACTCTCCCAAACAAAAAGAATGGCGATTGCTCACTCTTTTTTCTCCCGTGTTTAAATTTACACTAATACCCTCAGGCCCAGATCGGCCCAAAAACCTGAAAACCTCCCTATGAACAAGAGGGTTCGCGCATTATTAAACTGTGACCAAATTTGAAACTTTTTTTTTTTTTACTGTTTCCCCAAAAATTCTTTTAAAAATCGAATCGACAAATTCCTTCCGCCGTCGGAATGTCAATTCCCGATCCCAACTCCTCCGCATCTCTAACGGTGTCTCCGTCTCTCTCCACCGCACCGGAAAATCCGTCGATACCAGCAAACACTGTCAGACCACCGCCGACTCAGCCACCTCCTGCTCCGCCGCCACCACCGCCTCCGACTTACAGACCCATAGCTCCGCTTCGCCATCCTAATCCGTTACAACAATATGCTCATAATAATAACCTCTACGCACAGTCAATTCCGGTCAGACGCCAAATTCAAGATCCGTCAGCAGTTCCTCACCCGTTTGCTCCTCCGGGTCGAGGGTTTTCAGCCCGACCCGTTCGAGGGTTCGTCGCTGATCCTTCATTGACGGCCGGTAATCAGAGTGGGTACCCTCCTCGCCCGGGTTTTGCTTACAATCCTCGACAATTTGAGGCGAGTCAAATGGAATCCATGTTGCAGCAGTACTTAATGGGGAGACTTCCTCAGATTAATCCGTTACCACGCCTTGGATCGGGTTCTCCAGTTGGGTCGGGTCTCATTAGAGGAAGTCCTCAGTTTCTGCAACCGCGGGTGAGGTTTCTTTCAATTTGGTTTCTTGCAGCTCTTCGATTATTCAAATTTAGTTTCTTTGTAATTCTGCTTGGTATGTTTCATATGTTAATGCTTAGATTCTAGCTAATTAGTGGAAAGATTATTGGGGAAAATGCTCGAGATGATCCTAGGTTTCTTGATTGGAGTCTTATTAGAATTGACTCTGACGATGCTAGGTTTCTTGATTCAAGATATATGCTTTATTTACCTGATTCTCTTGGATCTAGTTATCTTTCTATTTAGGTTATTTGTCCTGCTATGTGAACAAAATTATTGCTTTACTTTTGTTACTTTATTCTGGTCTCGCAATTTCTCTTTTGTGGAATGAGGAAGACTTGAAAATGCTTTTATATCTTAGCAAATGTTAAGCTGTTCTGCTCTTAATATTTGTTTGCACATAATCACTTTTGATTATTGCCCTTACTCCGGTCACATTTACTCATTTTCGTAAATTTTGGTACTTAGGTTGCCCCACCCCCAACTTCAATTCTAGACACTAGCAGGAATAGAAAGGCCAGGTGAACATCAGATTTCTCTACTTTGATACTATCTTTCTTTTGGTTTCACTGAAAATATATATAAAAAAACTTGTTCAAGAAACTTAGATGCCTTGCTGTTTCTTCTTCCTTGTTATTAGAAGCAAGGATGGGGCTCTTGTTGTTGTTAGAGGGAGAAAGGTAAGCCTACTATGTATCTCTGTTTTGCATTATCATATGTACTGCTTGTTTGAGAATTTGGATAAGACTTCTGTTAAGTGTAGATTGTAATACTATCTAACTGTTTACAGGTCAGAATCACTGAGGGAGCTTCTCTTTATTCACTTGGTCGATCGTGGTTGAAAAATGGTGCTCACGTAGGAATTCAGGTTTGCATCATTATATGCTGCGGTTAAAGTATGATGTAAAAAGCTTAGTGTCGTTGATGATTCCGCTTGATATAATTATTCATCGGTTGTACTTTCAAGATATTGGTTTGTGGGGTTTTGATTAAGAAAACCTCCTCAAAATGCCAAATTCACTTGAATTTGGAAACCAAATTACTTTTGACTACTCACCTATTTGTATCCGTGCTAGTAAACTAGATAGAGGATTCTTTCTTGATATAGTTATTTTTTTAGAAGCCAGACTTAGTTAAATGATCTTCAATTGCATACTCAAAGCTTGTTTCCTGCTTTTACAATGGAATTGTGCATCTGCAATATCTCCAGCGTAACCATATATCTGGGACTAATCTAACTTTCAGTTTCTCTGTTGACAGCCGCAAAGGAGTGGTATAATGAAACCTTTGCCAAAGCCGTTACCTGTGGATATAACAACAGAGACAAGTGTGCCAGATGATCCAGATGAAGAATCAGCTGATGAAGACAAAGAGGTTTGTGTTTAATCTTCAAGAACTATAGATTCTATTTAGCAGAACGGAAGACATTAGTCTGATTCTTTCCTGCTGTTGCTAATTTCAGCTCTTGAATTTGTACTACATGATGTTTGATTCAACTATTTTCTTTGATGATCTCAGGACGAGGAAGCTGTAAAGCAATTATCAGAGAAGGATCTTTTGAAAAGACACATCGAGCGAGCTAAGAAAGTCCGTGCACGGTAAGCTCCACAGTATTCTCTCTTTTTGCTCCTTAGGTCGTGTAGTATTTGAAAGATAAACCTCCCCACAAGATTCATGGATTGGTTTTCTTAATCATCAAAGCAATCTAGTAGAACATTCTGGTAATTGAAAAAGCGGACTTCTTTTTATTGCAGATTAAGAGAAGAACGGTTGAGGAAGATAAAGAGGTACAAAGAAAGAATAACTCTTCTTCTGCAACATTCCGAAGACCGATAATGCATGAAGAACTATTGAAAAAGGGGTAAAGTTTTGTTAGGACTTAGGTTTTTATATGACTGTTGTTGATTTAGCATACTAGTACCACGTAACAACATACGTGTAGTAATAGTATAGGTGTGTTCTTCTTCCTCTTCTATAGATTAGTAGGACTAAATGAATAGTGTGTCATTCTTCTAATATTAATCAGCTTTTAACTAATATTACAATAAAATTTTCTTCTCTTACACATGCCAATCAGTAAATCGTGAAACACGCCAATAATAAATTTAATATCTTAACTTTACTGTCATTAGTCAGCTTTTAACTAATTTGACAATAAAATTTTCTTCTCCTACACATGCCAATCAGTAAATCGTAAAACACGCCAATAATAAATAAACTTTACTGTCATTTGACTAATTAACTTATAAAATTTGTTTTTGTAGTGAAGAAAATTGAGATTTTGTAGAATATAGGTGGAAGTCTCTGAGTGGATTAGAGGCTTTTGAGAGAGAATCGCATAGGGAAGCGGACAGAGAAGATAAACAAACGCTCCTATTTTCACTCTCTTTCAGTTACATTTGCCACGTAATTACAAACACGTGTCATCGCCGCTAAGTTCTTCTCTTTCTCATTGCTCCACATGCTACTACTTACCGATGATCTCTCTCTCGCTCACGTTTAATCTGCCATTTCTGTAAAAACCTCTTACCTTTTCTTCACAACTCTCTGAAGTAAACTTTTTCCCGCAATCACCTCTTGCTTTCTATTTTTTCTCGATTGTTTACACTTTTCATTTTCAGCTCTCTGTTTCTTTCTTTCACACTAACCCAATTCCAGTTTCTTACACCCCAAGAAAGAAAGAGCACCGATCTCTGTTTTTCTTTCCGCTGTTCTTTCTGCTGAGGAAAAAAGACGCAAAATGGCGGGGAACGAGTGGATAAATGGATATCTGGAGGCGATTCTTGATAGCCAAGCTCAGGGGATTGAAGAAACACAGCAGAAACCACAAGCTGCTGTGAATCTGAGAGAAGGAGATGGACAATATTTCAATCCGACTAAATACTTCGTTGAGGAAGTTGTGACTGGAGTCGACGAAACCGATCTTCACCGGACTTGGCTCAAAGTCGTAGCCACTCGCAATTCTCGTGAACGTAACTCTCGATTGGAGAATATGTGTTGGAGAATCTGGCATCTCACTCGCAAGAAGAAGCAGGTCCTTCATAGTTACTAATTTTGGTCGATCAATAATTTGTTTCATTGAAATGTATCGAATATGACATCTCTGTGATTGCAGTTGGAATGGGAGGATTCGCAGCGAATAGCGAATAGGAGATTGGAAAGAGAACAGGGAAGGAGAGATGCGACAGAGGATTTGTCTGAGGATTTATCAGAAGGAGAGAAAGGAGATGCTCTTGGAGAAATTGTGCCACCGGAGACACCGAGAAGACAACTGCAACGCAATTTATCCAATCTTGAAATCTGGTCTGATGATAAGAAGGAGAATCGTCTTTACGTTGTCCTCATCAGGTATGTTCTCTGTTTTTCTCTCTATTGCTTCCATTGATTCTTCTATGTGTTAGATTGACATAAAGAGTGTGTTGATTTATTTCAGTTTGCATGGGTTGGTTCGTGGGGAAAACATGGAGCTTGGTAGCGATTCGGATACCGGTGGACAAGTACATTGAGTTCCAAGTTTTTAATAAGCTTGAATCCGGTATCTAGGGTTGTTTAATCTGTTTTCTTCGTGAATTTTCAGGTGAAATATGTTGTGGAGCTAGCTCGAGCTTTAGCGAGAATGCCTGGTGTGTACCGAGTTGATCTGTTTACTCGCCAGATATGCTCATCAGAAGTTGATTGGAGCTATGCAGAGCCGACGGAGATGCTAACCACTGCTGAAGATTGTGACGGCGATGAAACCGGGGAAAGCAGCGGAGCTTACATCATTAGGATACCATTTGGTCCACGGGATAAGTACTTAAGAAAAGAGATTCTCTGGCCGTATGTCCAAGAGTTTGTTGATGGAGCTTTAGCTCACATTCTAAACATGTCAAAAGTTTTGGGAGAACAGATTGGGAAGGGGAAACCTGTGTGGCCATATGTGATTCATGGGCATTACGCGGATGCAGGGGATAGTGCTGCTCTGCTTTCTGGTGCGTTGAACGTTCCTATGGTCCTGACGGGTCATTCTCTAGGAAGAAACAAGCTTGAGCAGCTTTTGAAACAAGGGAGGCAATCAAAGGAGGATATAAATTCCACTTATAAGATCAAGAGGAGGATTGAAGCCGAGGAGCTATCTCTGGATGCTGCAGAGCTTGTTATAACAAGCACGAGGCAGGAGATTGATGAACAATGGGGACTTTATGATGGGTTCGATGTAAAACTCGAGAAAGTCTTGAGAGCTCGTGCTAGACGCGGTGTTAATTGCCACGGAAGGTTCATGCCAAGAATGGCGGTAAGTAAACCGAGAACTAGCCAGGTTGGAAAAGTTATGATTATGAAGTAAGATTGAGTGAGTTAGTGAGTCTGTTGTGTAGGTTATTCCTCCGGGAATGGATTTTACAAACGTTGAGGTTCAAGAAGATACACCTGAGGGTGATGGAGATTTAGCTTCCTTAGTAGGAGGAACCGAGGGATCTTCTCCTAAAGCGGTTCCAACTATCTGGTCTGAAGTGAGTTTTCTTATGCAGCTTCCTTACCTTCTTTCGAGGGTTTTATTGCGGATTGTGTTTGATGTTTCGTTGCGTATATTTGGCAGGTCATGAGGTTTTTTACAAATCCTCACAAACCTATGATCTTGGCATTATCTAGACCAGACCCAAAGAAGAACATAACCACTCTTCTAAAAGCCTTTGGCGAATGTCGGCCTCTACGGGAGCTAGCTAATCTAGTAACTATTACATAGCTTGTTTTTTTAATTCCAGGGCATGAAACCAATAATTCTCTGTTTCTGAAGTTCTTTTTCTGTGTATTTGCAGACTTTGATTATGGGAAATCGAGATGATATAGATGAGTTGTCATCTGGAAACGCTAGCGTTCTTACAACTGTCTTGAAACTCATCGACAAATATGATCTTTACGGGTCTGTCGCATATCCAAAGCATCATAAACAGTCTGATGTTCCTGATATATACCGACTTGCTGCAAATACAAAGGGTGTGTTCATAAACCCAGCTTTGGTTGAGCCTTTTGGCCTTACACTCATTGAGGTAAACTATTCATATATGTATAGCCGTTCTTATTCGTGTCCAACCCAATTAACCTAAACAGTATCCAGAAATCGTTCCACCAAAATTGTCTTTAGTATCCAGAAATAGATCAATCCGGTTTAACCAAAATTGAAAAATGCAGGCTGCAGCTCACGGACTTCCGATGGTGGCAACAAAGAATGGAGGACCAGTTGATATACATCGGGTAAAGTGTCCTGAAACTGAAAGTCATTTAAATTGGTAATACTTATTTCTTTCTCATGGTAAATATTTAACTTCAGGCATTGCACAACGGTTTGCTGGTGGATCCACACGATCAAGAAGCGATAGCGAATGCGTTGTTGAAGCTGGTATCTGAGAAGAATTTATGGCATGAGTGCAGGATTAACGGTTGGAAGAACATTCACCTTTTCTCATGGCCTGAGCATTGCCGGACTTACCTGACACGTATAGCTGCATGCCGTATGAGACATCCCCAGTGGCAGACAGATGCGGACGAAGTGGCTGCTCAAGACGATGAATTTTCACTCAACGACTCCCTTAAAGATGTTCAAGACATGTCTCTGAGACTCTCTATGGATGGAGACAAACCATGGTTGAACGGGTCTCTTGAACCGAATTCTACTGATCCAGTTAAACAAATCATGAGCCGGATGAGGACACCCGAAATCAAGAGTAAACCGGAATTACAGGGGAAGAAACAAACTGATAACTTGGGGAGCAAGTATCCGGTTTTGAGGCGACGGGAACGATTGGTGGTTGTAGCGGTTGATTGCTATAACAATGAGGGAGCGCCTGATGAGAAAGTTATGGTTCCGATGATTCAGAATATCATCAAAGCCGTGCGATCGGATCCTCAGATGGCTAAAAACTCTGGTTTTGCGATTTCCACTTCTATGCCCCTTGATGAATTAACTCGCTTTTTGAAGTCTGCCAAGATTCAGGTGAGTGAGTTCGACACACTAATATGCAGCAGCGGGAGTGAAGTGTATTACCCAGGAGGGGAAGACGGAAAGCTTCTTCCAGATCCTGACTATTCCTCGCATATCGATTACCGATGGGGCATGGAAGGGCTTAAGAACACGGTGTGGAAACTGATGAACACAACTGCTGTTGGTGGTGAGGCAAGAAACAAGGGCTCTCCAAGTCTTATTCAAGAAGATCAGGCATCGAGCAATTCACATTGCGTCGCGTATCTGATCAAAGATCGTTCCAAGGTAAAGTTGTTTTCCGTTGTTGTGGCTGTACTGAGGGTAAATTCAGTATCTAATCAGGGTTTCTGCAGGTGATGAGAGTGGATGACTTGCGTCAGAAGTTACGATTAAGAGGCCTTCGTTGCCATCCTATGTATTGTCGAAATTCAACGAGAATGCAGATTGTTCCTCTTCTTGCTTCTCGATCTCAAGCTCTCAGGTACGTTAACTAAACCAAATTGATCATCTCTTACCTGATTCTGTTTGCTGGAAACGCACAAGTTGCTACGGGAACGCTACAAAACAACGTTATCTTTGTAGAATATGTCTGTTTCCTTATATAATTGCGATTTAAATTTTGCGGTGAAAGGTACTTGTTCGTGCGGTGGAGGCTAAACGTGGCGACCATGTACGTGGTGGTTGGAGATCGCGGCGATACGGACTATGAGGAATTGATCTCCGGAACTCACAAGACTGTGATCGTCAAGGGGCTCGTCACATTGGGTTCTGATGCCCTTCTCCGGTCAACAGACCTTCGAGACGACATCGTTCCATCAGAGAGTCCTTTTATCGGTTTTCTCAAGGCTGATTCACCGGTTAAGGAAATAACCGATATTTTTAAGCAGCTCTCCAAAGCCACCGCTTGATTCAACTAATATTCAATTCGCCGGTTCGACCATGTAGATTGATTTGTTATTTCTTTTCTTTTTTAATTCTAAAGATACATTTGGTTAATTTTTTGGTATCTTGGTCGATCAAATATTAGGATTTAACAAGTTTTCTATAAAATAAAAGTTACAAACAGTGAAGTCGAGACTATTGGTTCTTTTTGTAGGATTATGCAAAAAAATTAATCCAACAAACAAGAAATAGATTGCAATGGTTGGGGGAAACAATAAATTAGAAGAATAAGCCTAATTAATTTAGAAAAGATCTGTGAAATAATAAAATGTAACTTTTACTAATAATCTAGCTAAATCGTAATTGTAAATTCCATTAAAATATCACCAATTATTTTTTTTCCCCATACATTTTATGAATCATGAAGATTTTAGAAATATGAATTACCTAAAATAATGGCATTTGAGATTTTAATTTTTCTTTTCTATTTAAATGCAAGTCTAGTTCCGAAATTAATAAACCGGTCGGTTTGATTGCGAGAACCGATGTCGGTTTGTTGCGGGCCTAACTCGCGGCTGCGACGGTGATTCGAAGCAGCTGTAGTTAATTACTTTTAAATTTTAATTAACGAAGAAATCAAAAATCTACATCTCGCCAGTGAGAAAGACTCTCCAAGGAGAGAGTTTACACAGAGAATTACAAATTCTAAAATCACTGGAGAATATCTCGTCTTCGTCCTGGTTTCAGACGCGATGCGAAGGTAAAGATGATTCGGTGTCGCTTCTCTTGCATTTTTCTGGGAAATTTTTAGTTTCTCGAAAAAAATCTGGTGTCTGAGATTGCAATTTCGTTTCAGTAGAGATGATTCGGCTGGATCGGTGTTGATTTTGAGTGATGTTGCAGGTTAGGGCACCACCGGCTCCATGGGAAGACGGGAGGAGTTGGAACAAAGGGGATGGTGGCGAAACTGTCTATCGGAGTCATTGTTCTACTGATCTGTACTCTCTCGCTGCTTTTCTCGGCTAACATCGGTAGCAATCGCGAGCCGACCCGTCCATCTAAGGTTAGATCACTTTTCCTATGTATTTGGAGTAGTGAGTTCTAGCTGAAGAAGATATCAGATCTTCTGTTTGATTGGCGATGAATTGCGACAAAGTAAAATGAAAATTTGATGTATCCGTTTTGAGTTTCCCGAGTCTGGAACCAAAAGTTTTGCAGGAGCTAAAGATCTGAATTGAATCTCATGTTTTATAGATGATCATCTTAGTGAGTCTTTGTTGATCTAAGACTTTGATGGATTCTATATGGTATTTTTGAGCAGATAAACGTGGAAGAGCTCTGGGAGAGTGCTGAATCTGGTGGTTGGAGACCGTCTTCTGCGCCACGATCTGACTGGCCTCGTATGTTCATCTCGTGTTTTGAGCAGTAAAGATTTAACTCGTTGCTAATCTAAAAGTCTTAGGGCATTCCAAGCTTGAAATGATGATATGAATCTTCTGATTCCTTTTTGCAGCTCCTACCAAGGAGACAAATGGTTATCTCCGTGTTCGATGTAATGGTGGTTTGAATCAGCAACGTAGTGCGGTAGGTGTTTTTTCCTTTTACACTCAAATAGTGTTGATGTCCTGTTTGGGTCACTTGACGAGTCGTTTGTCTAATCTTTAAATCTAGTGGAGTTGAGCTAGCTTAAACCCTCCACTATGAATCTTGTTATTTTATCCTCGATTTGACAAATATTGACATCTGGATATTGCAGATATGTAATGCAGTACTTGCTGCCCGGATCATGAATGCCACACTTGTGTTACCCGAATTAGATGCAAACTCGTTTTGGCATGATGACAGGTATGTTGATTCCTTTACATCTGCTGCAAAGAGAAGTTAGAGTCCCTTATTACGTATACATAGCATTAATTTTAGAAAATTTAAGATTTCTGTGAAATACTGAGTTGGTTATTAATAGTTACAAGTGTCAAGGTAATACAATCCGTATGCCTTTCCAAGTATCATCAGACATTTTTTCTAAGCGGATTTCTTCTCCTAATGTTAAGGATATGTGTTGTTAATGTGCTGAGGAGATCATATGCCATTACATGAATTCTGGAAGTATCATGTCTTTATCCTCTAATATATGATTGTTTTATTCCAGTGGTTTTCAAGGTATCTATGACGTGGAACATTTTATTGAGACACTGAAGTATGATGTGAAGATTGTGGGAAAGATCCCCGATGTTCACAAAAATGGGAAAACCAAGAAGATAAAAGCTTTTCAGGTACAAGCATAAAGAGATGTCTGGTTTTCACATAAGCTTGAAGTCTGAATATATGGGTTAAATATCTCTGTTCCTTGTTATTTCCTTGAATCAGATTCGTCCTCCTCGAGATGCTCCTATTGAGTGGTACCTGACAACTGCTCTAAAGGCAATGAGGGAACATAGTGCTATCTATCTTACCCCTTTTTCACATCGTTTGGCGGAAGAAATTGACAATCCTGAATATCAAAGGTTAAGGTGCAGAGTGAACTACCATGCTTTGAGATTCAAGCCACACATCATGCAGTTGAGTGAATCTATTGTTGATAAACTCCGGTCACAGGGCCACTTCATGTCGATCCATCTTCGTTTTGAAATGGATATGTTGGCATTTGCCGGGTATGCTCTTTTGCAACACTTTCTTTCTTCAACCATCAGCTGTAGGGTCATTTCTATATAAGTAATTTATATATCAAAGTTGGTTTTCTAGAATCTGGTTCTTGTTGAAGTGACTTGCGAAGAAATTGATTGTCTTTGTATCATCTATACATCAGCACACATAGGAATACTGGTTCATTGTCTATTTTCCGCAGGTGCTTTGACATATTTAACCCTGAGGAACAGAAGATACTTAGGAAGTACCGTAAAGAAAATTTTGCAGAGAAAAGGCTTATTTACAACGAAAGACGGGCTATCGGAAAGTGTCCACTGACCCCTGAGGAGGTACTTCTTAATTTTTTATCCGCATCATTTTCATGTTGAGCATATCCAGAGATAGAAAACTGAAAGCTAGAGAGCAATAGAGGGGTCATAATTGCAGCTACTAATATGGCACTGTTTAGGCTTTAGAAATGCAATATGACATTTTGATTGATCCTTGTGGTGCAGGTAGGTCTTATATTACGAGCAATGAGATTCGACAACTCCACAAGGATATACTTAGCAGCTGGTGAACTTTTTGGCGGGGAACGGTTCATGAAACCGTTTCGAACCTTATTTCCACGGCTTGACAACCATAGCTCGGTAGACCCCTCTGAGGAGCTGTCAGCAAAGTCACAGGGATTAATAGGATCAGCTGTGGATTACATGGTTTGTCTCCTCTCCGACATTTTTATGCCAACATATGATGGACCGAGCAATTTTGCCAACAATCTTTTAGGTCATCGCCTTTACTATGGTTTCCGTACCACAATCAGACCAGACAGAAAAGCATTAGCTCCAATTTTCATAGCTAGAGAGAAGGGGAAAACGGCTGGATTCGAAGAAGCAGTGAGACGAGTGATGCTGAAAACAAACTTTGGAGGGCCTCACAAACGTGTATCTCCTGAATCGTTTTATACAAATTCATGGCCTGAATGTTTCTGTCAGATGAATCCGAAGAAGTCTAGTGATAAATGCCCGCCAAATAATGTTTTAGAGATTCTTGACAGCCGGTTAGAGAGTGTCAGAGATCCAGATTCAACTTCTCAGACGAATTCCACGGTCACTGGATTAGAACGGTAAGGATCTTAACTGGTAAGCCTTTGGAACGTTTTATACCAAAACTTGTTTCAAACAAAGAAGGGCAGAAGAAGAGAGATGTTTCTCGACATTGTTCATACAATTCAGGTAGCTCAACATCTCTGTGTCAAACTTTTTTCTTTATGAAGCATAGATTTGAATCTTGTTTCAAAATTTGTAACAAAATCTAAGAGAAGTGATGAGATTCCACTAATAGTTATTTTTTTTAAGTGTCATGTTTTTACTTTGTTATTTTGGGCCTAAATGCCTTACGAAATTGAGTTTATCCAAAACCCATTACGTTACAAACAACCGAATGGTGTGGTATTGGAAAGAGTGTTCGAAAGCCAAAAACACAGAAACGCAAAAAGCAAAAAAGCAAAAAAAAAAAACTACGTTTTGGAGTTTACCTATCTTCAATGTCTATAGCGATATTTAACTGGCGAGACAAAGTTGGGCAATGGAATAATTGATTAAACTTACTAAAGCATTTGACAAAACAAAAGAAATAATCAGAGCTCTAAACCCTTTTAAAAAATCTCATTTCTCTGCAAATTTCAGACATCCATGAGCTGATGAATCTTTTGCTTACTACTTAGTGTTGTGTGTTGGGACACTAAGATAGAACTTAGTGTTCTTGAAGTCATCAAGTAAAGGGTTATATCCGTCCTTTGTTCTCGTCTTTGAAGGTAAACCAAATTCATCCATGAATGCTGATGTATCGAGCTGCAAGCAAGAGAGAACAAGAAAAGACTGTTAATGAAAAGGTTTCAGAAATATCTTCGCTAGTTGTAATGTTTTAAAGAGAATCTTGTTTTACAGTGAGAGTTCGCCTTTTCCTTCCTTTTTTCGATGGTGTCCCATCTTTTTCCATCTTCCTCCAACCGGAACAATAATGGTCCATTCGTTCTAAAAGCCAGAAATCGGTTGGAAAAAATATATCAGCATCACCCTGCAAGATCATCCAACATACATATGAATTGTTAAGTTTGTTGATTGTGGTTAGAAGTTCAAGAAAAAAAACCAAATAAGTAGTCAAAGAAGGAAATTTGCAGATATCTCACCTTTGCGTCCAGATAACTACTGTAATCTGAGCTACATCCATCTTTCTGCAAATACAAATAAACATTGTTAAAGAGATTATAATTATACTTCACGGTTGTATTTCTTCGGGTGAAACTGTTCTCAAGTTTTCTTGAGACAAGTTTGACATTAAGCAATGCAGAAAGACACTTTCTCTATACCCAAACCAAGTTCTTGTTGTTTTAAACCTTGAGGTATAGCGTTAAACTTTGGCCATATCTCTATGGCTCAGTGATTAAACAGTCAACAACCACCAATAAAGGTGTCAATGCATAGTTAGACGAAAAAAGAACAGACCTTTGTTGAAACCAATGGGGCTCTTTCACCCTGAACTTTCACATCGGGCAAGAAGCTAAAGTCCGAAGCAATTAGGGACATCTTTGGCAGCTTTGCATGTAAAACCTCTAGCAGTTTCTGGAATTTCAAAAATTAGAACAGAGCAACGCAACATCAGTTTTAATATGTGGACACCATTTTTTCTTACCAAACAACCTGTCGGAAGCCAACTACGTCTAGGTTTGGGAAATAGTTTAGACCAGATTTCTTTTGGTTTTGAAACCGGATCATCTTCATGTTCAACAATTTCAATGCAGCGCTTGATCAGTGGATCTTCTAAAGGCTTGTATAGCTCAGAGAGTGCTTCGCTACAGTTTGTAAGAGATCGTGATCAATAAAGGCAGAAATAAACTTCATTTGAACCATGTATTCTCGGTACCTCTCTGGTTTATTTTCAACCAAGACTTCCATCCATGGGGAAACTTGACTTTTGGAATAGACAAGATCATGAGGGAGATTATCTAGCACCTGCAATGGTATAAGTTAATACAAATATTAGACGTATGATTCCTCTTCAATACAAAATATCTACCTATCAAATAGAACTACATCTACATAATTACATACCTCAAGCATTATCACCCAGCACGGTTGTTGCTCCACATTCTCTGTTTAAAAATTTACTGTATAAGCACAGATAGATAACTTCATTGTAACAGATAGGTAATATGAGGTTGGCTAATTTATAAACATCTTGATTAATAAGTAGTCTCAAGAAAACTTGGGTATTATCGCTAAGTCAAGGACAATCTAGTAGCATAACCTCATTTGACTAACGATTTCTCTGACTAGCTTAATCTTCTAAGAATATTACATTACAAAATTTGGCGAACAACTCACTAATTTAATATTTTCAATCCAATACCTAATTCTAGCATAGCAACAGGAAATTAAAAACCAGAATCTGCCTTGTGCTGAACAAAAAGAACCTTACTCCATCCAGATAGGTCAGATGCATCACGACACTCAACTCGGAACTTTGATAGATGACTTCCAACTTGTGCAACAGTTTCCTTTTGAATCTTAGCCAGTGAAGGACTGATTTCTATAGAACTGATACACATTAAAAATAGGATGTAGTTTATATAACTGTCACATGTTTCATAAGAATTTACTATGCTGAAGTTCCAGCCAAAGACGATTTTGTATCGCAGCTCAAATTGGCAAGAGAGGAAAACTGAGCATACGTACGTGTAGCTCATGTTATTGTAGATTCTCTCCGGAGCATTCAACATTATATAGTCCAATACACCCTTCGCACATGTGCCCGATCCACCACCAATTTCGTATATCTAAGCACATGTTTGAAGTGATTAACGGAAAAACAAGAGAAAATGTAGACTTTAACTCACAAACCAGGATGAAAATCTTCGTTTTTTCCAGATATCAAAACTTTCCTAAAGACATATGATCTTAAACAGAAATTTCTTGGCATTACTTTCTCCACCTTCAATCGTGTGTTCAAACGATTCTAAACTACACAACCATTTTCAAAATAAAACAGTGGTTTCTCTATTTCAAGTTTTCAAAGCATGAACAACAGAACAAGTTAAAGGCCTAGGCTCAATGTAGGCTAATATGTAAAGATAGCTCAGGACTAACTAGATTCAAAGCTTTTCATATAACTACAGAAATCAGAGACAAAATCGCATGTTTTATTTTGTCGTGAAATAAATAAAATACAGATGTGGAAGATCACAGAAGTAAAACCTTCAATGGAACTGAGAGATTAGTGGTACGCAGTATAGCTTCTGCAATCCCATGAGCATACCAAGGCTACAAGAGATGATTGACACCATAAAATAGGATAAGTACAACAAGTGAAGGCTAATCCAAGAAAACACCAAAGAACCCATTCACGACAATTTCACCTTGAAAAGCTCCACAGGAGTAAACCAAGAAATGTCACTCTGCTTGTATACTTTTTCCAAGAGTTTCATGTATGCTTTCCTCCCTAGGACAGAAAAAGTATCGGCTTACTAGACATAAAGTGATAATATAGCCCAAAGAAACAACAGATAACTAGTCAAACAAAGGATGCATTTCATGTAGAGTAAGAACTGATGCTGCTATAGTTTCAGGGCAGTTATAGAGGCGTGGCTAAAATTCAAGAATTCAAAACTAGTATCTAACACTTAAGCAAGTGAAAGTTGAACTCTGAGCCTACCTTCAAGCTGGTTGAACTTAATGCTTCTCTCCAAAACCCCAACAGATTTGGATCGTTGAGAGAAGTAGCCTTTTTCGGGATCATATAATGCTGTGTGTATGAAATCTCGAACCTGTATCAGTTGAACCAAACATTTAGTCCCGCATTCCAGAAATCGCTAAATGAAAATGAAAGCTGATAAACATCAAGAAGAATCGGATCTGGAAAGAACTATGAGACTGTAAACACAAAACGGAGACATAAATTTTTAACAAGGACTCAAAACAGATAACTCAGAGCAGAAAAATTTCTTTGAATTTCGAAAAGTTTTGTCTTTTGGATTGCTTATCATGTACAATTTCGAAAAGTTTTTGTCTTTTGTCACTAATTTACTTATTAAGTAGGTAAAGCTGAATCAGCAAAAACTTAGCCAACTCACGAGAACTCGGGAGAAGAAAATGAGGAGAGACTAAGAACAAACTCACGAGAACTGGTTCATCGCCTATGAGCTTCTGAGTAGAGAAGAAAGCTCGAAGCGATCCAAGAGATGGCAGCTCGAATTGATCAACATTTCTACTCCAAGACAGTAGTGGAATCTTCCGAGAAGGGATAAAGCGAACGAGAGCCATGGACTCTCTCTATCTCTCTCTCAACGATGGCTTACTCGATCGACATTCGAGATGCAGGAGGAACTCACCGGTTCAGGAGGTTTCACAGAGGTTTAGGGTTTAGATCCGGTTCAGTTCGAACCGTTCTAAATTCAAAATCCTTGGTTCTCTTCTTATGATACCAAGTTCGGTTTGTTTAAAATTTAAGCTTTTTAAAAATAAAAAACATTTTGTACAACTAAAACTTTAGTTATTGATAAAAAAAAAACCTTAGTTATTAATAAAAAAATTTTTAGTTAAATCACATAAGCTATTATTATTACGAAAATACTTATAACTTTTAGTTATAAATCCATAAACCAAATTTTTTAAAAAAATATATTAGAAAAGTAAACATGATTCTGCATCATTATGATGCCATCATATCCATTTGTGAACCCTCCCAACGTTCGCATTTGTCCCCACTTGGCTAATGCTAGACCTCAACTTCAGGTAAAATCCAATTATATGGATGGTGTTCAAAAATAGTAACCTATTTGAGATTCATCAACATGTGGTTCAGCTCTGTTTGCTTTACCTACTTGTTTTTTTACATTACAAGAGACTAAAATTCCGGAATGGAACTTTATGTTTGCTTTAGAAATCTGAAATTAGTCTATCAAAGTTGGAACATATCATCCATGTTTCTGGATTTTTCCCATAGAAGATTGGACTCAGAGCTATAGAAACTAATATATCTGTCAAAATGCCGTGTTTAGATACTCACAATTGGAATTTCACTGGTCTCATAGGCGCATTTCTGAATCTCTCCATAGCTTATTTGCTTCTATGTACATCTCTTTGTATTCATCTCTTGTTGAAATTCCTAAGGTTTCTAGGTGTTTCTCTTCCAAAATTTCACAATGGACGTTTCGGTGATTCAAACATTATGTGGAAATGCCTCCATGAAGACCTTCTGGTTGATCGTGCGTCAGAGAGAATCTCAGCTGTAGATCGATCGATAAAAAGCAAAATCCCTTTTGGTTCGATTACTAGTGACGATGATTCGAACCGGTTTGTTGAGTTGAAGCTGGTGAGAAAGAACAGTGGTGATATAAGTAATGCTAGAGTTAAAGACGAAACAGAGGATTTGTCAAGAGAAGAACCAAATGTGATTAACAATAAGGAACTTGGTAGATTTGATCTGATGACCGTTCAGGGCATGAAAGGCAAGCGTTTTGTTACACGAAGATCAAGAAACGGTCTTAAAAACCATAGGAGAGGTCGTGTAAATTGTGCAAGTCTTAGATCGATTTCTTCATCAGAAGCCTTTGATGAGACCGCAAAATATCATTTGATGCAGCCTTATGATGTCTTTACCACAGCTAAAGATGAGACATGTTCCAATGATGACCAAAAAGGTTTTCTTTCTTACCTTAACTTGTCTTTTTCCGGATTGAGATTTTGCTTCTACATTCGAATAATCAATGTTAGGCCTTGCTTTTCTTGAATGTGTTGATCTAGCCATCTATATTTTGTGTTGATACGGGTTATTGCAGATTGTGTAAAGGCAGGAGAGGGGACTAATCTATCTCATTGGCCGGAATTTGAGAAAACTGTATCAGTTAATGAACAGGTAAAGTCCAATTCATCAGCAGAACAATCTTTTGTCAGAAATGCAAAAGAAAACTCTGTTAGGGATTTAGAAGAATTGTTGAAAGAAGAGCGAGCTGCTCGAGCAGCGGTTTGCGTTGAGCTTGACAAAGAGAGAAACGCTGCAGCATCCGCAGCGGATGAAGCAATGGCGATGATACATAGGCTGCAAGATGAGAAGGCGGCTATTGAAATGGAAGCTAGGCAATTCCAGAGAATGGTTGAAGAGAAATCGACTTTTGATGCTGAAGAGATGGTCATACTCAAAGACATATTGATACGGCGTGAGAGGGAAAAACATTTCTTGGAGAAAGAAGTTGAAGCTTATAGACAACTACTCGATGAAACAGAGGAATTGGAATGTTCTTTAACAAAAGAGAAGAATCTTCCAGAACCGGAACACAAACAAAATCAAGACTCTCAAGAGAGAAGAGCTTTGCTCGTTCAAGAACTTGATGGAACGGTTCTTGATATGCCTTATAGAGAAGAAAAAAACAGAGATCTGTATAAATCAGATTCAGAAGTCGCTTATTCACGCGTACGTGATGTTTATATGGTGAAGGATGAAACAGAGAACATTAGTAAGAAGAAGAACCTAGAAGAATCCTCTGTTACCAAACCTAAAGAATCGTTGGAGGAAAATAGTATCATTGTCTCGGGGATTGCTCGAAAGCTTCCTCCATTATGTCGTCCACGCAAGAAATCGCTGAGCTCTTCGGGTTCAAGGAGAAAATCAATGTCGGCAGTTGATTATGAGAGGTTAAAGATTGAGAATGAAGTGGAATTGTTAAGAGAAAGATTAAAGGCTGTTCAAGAGGAAAGAGAGGAGCTTACGAGACGAGCATCTTTGCCTCCTTTACCATCAAAGGTTTAAAACTGATACATACATGAAAATGATATTGCGTAAATATTTGACTGAGACTTTTATTATATTGCGTGTCTTTTAGGTTAGGGCTACGTCAGAGAAGCGAAGTTGGAGAAGATCTTCTTCCATGGACCTTCACTCTTCCTGAAGCATTTTTAATTTTATGTACGTAGATACATACATGATACATGTTGTGTATGTATAGGATACAATATCCGGTTACTTTCGAGCCATCCCTGTAGAGAATGCTTGGATCGCAAGTCAACCCTTTGGGATGTATTTCTCTTGTTTTTTAAACTTCTTTGCGGTCTTTGTGTATAGAAAATACACACATGCATGTGTACATTTATTTGCTTGCTTTTTGTTCGTTTATATCGACAATAATTCTTGTGTTGGTTTGGTGTATTATATATTTCGTTTTTTTCCGCAGTTTCGTGTATACATTTTGTTGATCTTCGGGTTTGAATCACAACCGTGGGCAAAACAATTTATTCGACTTTGTGAATCAAATATTAATTACTGCTATAAAATTTGAAGAAAATTATTTACATGTCTTCTTATCAAATCTAATTAAGCTACATTGAAAAAGTCATGCAACAACATCCAAATAAAACGATTGAAAGATATTTTTTGTGAATATCTTGTTGATGAAAATAGACTACATAATTTTAGTGTAATATCTTGTTAATTTTAGTGTAATATCACATGTCTAACAATATTTTAACCTCTTTTTTTTTTTTTTTTAAATGAAGCTTCTCAATTGACCGATATAAAATATAACCGTTATCAATTATCCATTAATGGATTGAAAATGTATGTAAGATCGGGGATAATGTATGTAAAATATATTTTGCAGATTGTTGAGATAGTGAATCTTCTAGGATTTGAATCATTCTTGTGTATATGATGATATCCTCCAATACTAATTACTTCATTATATACAAATGAAAAATGTGGAGAAAATCATATAATATCATCTTATTCCTTAGATTATCTTCACTTTACTTTTTAAATTGTAAATAAATATCATTAGTTAAGATTTCATATATATATAAAGGATGATTGATGAACTAAATACTACAAAAATGAGATATATAAGTATAACCAATAAAATATCGTCATACACTTTTTGAACTTTCTATCCATCACTTGATCACTTTTAGATAAAAGATAGATTTCAAAAGCAATTGACAAATTATTTTTATTATCATCATTATCATCATTTTTTGTAACTCATGTTATTATTATCAAGTTTTATTTGTTTGATTTAAAACAAATACTCACAAGTGGTTTTTAGTAATTACATTTACTTACAAACAAGATAATAGACTGCTAGAATATAACAAATAAATTAAATTTATTTTAATAGGTCATAGCTCGTCGTTTTACAACATCTGCTTTCGTTAATCAAATGAGTTTAGGCTTTTAGCATAGCGGTAATACGTAGTCAACATTTCCTTTTTATTTTTATTTTTTTGTAACATTCCTTTTTTTTATATTATTAAGTATGGGACCATTAAGTATTTAACCTTTATTATTACCGATATGGTGTTTTTTCTTTTTTAACATCTATAAACGATATGATGGTTGAATTTGTTAAACTAGTAAACAATATAACGCAATGTGCCAAGTCAAACTTTTTTAATGTCTAAAATAAGTATTTGTTGTATCATAAACAAATTGATATCTCAATTTATTAAATTTCCTCTTTTTTGAAATTATACGGTTACACATGTTCTTGATAACATATATTCAGCGTATATAATCATTTATTTCCATATATTGAAAAATGAAAATCACATGAACGTGTAATTAATATATCTTTTTAGTATATAGTGAAAAAAGAAAAGAAAAAATGCCGTTAGTATAGTGTCCACTCCCTCACTCCTTTCTTTTTCTTATTTCCCATTTACATAAAAAGTTAAACATATAATAATAATAATAAATACAGTTGTTGTTATAAACTTAATTTTTACAGTTGTTAATTTTTCCAGTCCACTCATAAATTAATAAAGGTTAAAGACGAATACGACAAAATAAATATAAAACTATTATCATATTTTTGTATAAAAATAGAAAAATATCCAATATTTTTAAAAATATTAAATGATATATAATATGACAAAATTTTGTATATGTTTCCTTATATGTTTCTTAACTTATTCGATAAAACCGTTGATTCAAATTATAGTTTGTAATTTTCCGGCCCACTCGTAAATAACGGTTACAACCGAATACGACAAAATAAATATAAAACAAATGTATAAAAATAGAAAAAAATCTGGTTTCAATAAAGTCATTAAACTATATTTATCAAAAACAAAATATAAAAATACAAAAATAAATTTCAAAATTTTATAATCTGTGGTCAATCTTCAAGATCTAAATTTGCATTAAAATAGAAAATTGTTTTCTTCCTTAAAATTGATATAATTATTTCTTCTTTCTTATCTTCCTCATATTTTTGCATTATTTTCTTATATAGCTCAATTCTCTCTCACCCTTTGAAAAAATATATAAAAAATTTGACCTATTTTATAGCCACCCCTCTGTTATTTATAATCTTTCATCTGGGATCCTCATTTACACAATTCATTCATTCATACATACGCATCAACGTACGCGTCCCTCCATTATATTCTCTTATATGCACTACTCTTTCACCACCATTAAAGAGAAGAAACCAAAGCTTTCATTTTTATGAATATTCAAGGGTAAATGGTTAGCAAAGGTGACAACTTTTCTTTCATTTCTTTTAAATCTTCTCTTATTATTTCATCATCATTTCTTTTTTGTCGTCTGGGCTTTTGCTGCTTCTTCTTGTTGTTGTCTCGCGGGAAACCCCAAAATGCTTTCTCTGTTTTATGTATCGATAATCGGGCTTTTCGTTGTGTGGTCATATAAACAGAGAATTAATGGCTTCTTTGAAGAAAGTTGTTGTTGGGCATTGAATTCTCAATAGATGCCTGTAATGTATTTGTTAATATGCCTGTTCGAGGGGTTTTCTTGGTTTATGTTCCTTCAAATCTCAGGCTAAAATACGTTGCCGGCGCAAAAATTCCCTCTTTTTTGTCAGAGCGAGAGAGAGATTGGTTGAAAAAGATGTGTCTTTGTTATGATTCCTTAAAGTATGGTTGCTTTTGTAGCACAAGTCCTTTTACATTTAATGGCAATCTGTCGTATTCAGTTTTTTTTCTGCGTAGAAGAAACAGAAAGAGGAGATGAATTCATGAAGGGGCTTTTCAGCTTTTTCCTTAAAGCCTTTCTTGTTTATTTTCTTGGACTTTGCAATCTCTTGTTTTCTTGTTCCTTTAAGTTTTTCTTCATTTGAATCTTTGTGGATAATATTTTTAAATTGAACTCCTGTGTATCTTTGAGTTTCTGCTTGATGGAAGAGGTTAATTACACTCTGATCTGATGTGTAGAGCCTTAAAGTCTCTGACTTTTGTTTCATTAATAAGCCGGATAGATAGTAAATGCTGAAGAAGGTTTAGTGGTTGTTAAAGAGCGTAAATGATCTTAAAGTGCTTACCTTTTTGTATTTTTGTTTTGTTTTTTGGCTGTGTTAGGAATGGCATCAAGCTCTTGTCTCAAGCAAGGGTCAGTGCCAATGAACAATGTTTGTGTTACCCCTGAAGCAACGTATGAGGCTGTGGTTGCAGACCCTAGGCTTTTCATGTCTTCCTTGGAAAGGCTGCACTCTCTCTTGGGTACTAAATTCATGTAAGCTTCTTTCTTCCCTTGTCATTTCTTACTTAGTAGAGTAAGTTCAGTTGTTGTTATCTGTTGTTGGCTCTGATAGAAATTTTGTGTTCAGAAAGTCTCTATCTTTGAGATTTAAGCTCTTGGGTTGATGATGAATCATGCTTTTTGTTTTCACCGTGAACAACAAAAGTTTCATGTTTTACCAGTTACCAATGAATAAGATTGTCTGTCAATAGTATGAATCTCTCTTCTGGGCATGTGTATATTCTTTTGTGCTCCTTTTGCTTCTTTGATAATGTATATTGTAACTTTTATATGAGACTGATTGATGTTTGGATTTGGCTGCAGTACTATATAGCTTATAGCTTTAACCATTCTACATATTGCATTGGTGATTGTAGGGTTCCAATCATAGGAGGAAGAGATTTGGACTTGCACAAGCTTTTCGTTGAGGTAACCTCTCGTGGTGGAATCAATAAGGTATGTCCTCTCAATGACATATTAATTCCATGCTATATGTATAATCTGTTTCCTATGTATCTCATAAAGTTTTATTTGTTCTAAAATCTTGAAATCTATATTGACCTTTGTTTTTGGATCATGTTACTTCTTTGAATTGCAGATACTTAATGAAAGGAGATGGAAAGAAGTAACTGCTACATTTGTCTTTCCTCCAACGGCGACAAACGCATCGTATGTTTTGCGCAAATACTACTTCTCGCTGCTGAACAATTATGAGCAAATCTATTTCTTCAGATCTAATGGCCAGATTCCTCCAGGTTTGTTCATTAAAACCTGTTTACTATTTACCAAAACTTCAAATATCTTTCAGTTTCTTCTCTGTTGTGTAACACACATATCTTCTGTAGACTCTCTACAGATCCCATCTGCTAGACCAGGCCTTATGCATGGAACCATTAGACCTGCACAAGAACTTCAAGCTCTAACCTTTACCCCACAGCCCAAGATCAATTCTGTAGAGTTCCCCGGAGGTCTCAACTTTTTCTCTCTTTGTTTTTATAAATGTTCCAACTGAGTAACTGTGACTTACAAATCTGAGTTAAACCCTTTTTTGTCTTTTGATGTTATTGTTTCAGGACCTGTTGCTGGATCAAATGTGATTGGAGTGATCGATGGAAAATTCGAAAGTGGTTACCTTGTAACTGTAACAATTGGATCAGAGCAGCTTAAAGGAGTTCTGTTTCAGCTTCTTCCTCAGAACACAGTTGCTCATCAAACTCCGCAACAGAGTCATGGTGTTGTCCCCAACACTTGGAACAATTCTGCCAATCCCCAGGGGGTTACGGGAGGAGTAACAAAACGCCGTAGGAGAAGAAAGAAATCAGAGATTAAAAGACGTGATCCTAATCATCCAAAACCTAACAGAAGTGGCTATAACTTCTTTTTTGCAGAGCAGCACGCGAGGCTGAAACCGCTTCATCCTGGTAAGGATAGGGATATCAGCAGGATGATTGGTGAGCTATGGAACAAGCTGAATGAAGATGAAAAATTGGTATTTCATACACTCTGATCTTTGAATTCTTATCAAACTCTGTGAAGTATCTCGAGTCTTTGTCTCATGATCTGTTTGATTTTCTCTCATTTCTAGGTTTACCAAGGGAAGGCAATAGAGGACAAAGAGCGATACAGAACTGAAATGGAAGATTACAGAGAGAAGCAAAGGACTGGACAGCTCATAAGCAACGCTGTTCCGCTGCAACAGAGACTTCCGGAGCAAAACGTAGACATGGCTGAAGCTGATCTTCCAATAGACGAAGTCGAAGAAGATGAGGAAGAAGGTGATTCAAGTGGTTCCTCAGGCGAAAGCGAGCCACATGATGATCAGAGCATAGAAACTGATCCTGAATTGGAAGAGCCATCTCCGAATCCCTCAGGTCCAAACCTAAACCCTAATCCGACTGAGATAGTGATGGCTCCTAAGGAGAATAACGGCGATGTTGTGATGGAAACATCTCCAGTGAAGAAAGCCGATGAGCCGACTGTGGCGGTGACTGCTGAGCAGAACTGAAGATTCTTCTCTTATTTCTTATTCGAGTTGCCAGTTTTCGTGTTCCATAGGTAAAGGTTAGAGAGAGGATAGGGCTTCAGATACCTTACTTCTGGCACAAGATTATGTCTTTTTGGTCTTAGTACTGTGGTTTGTTTTTTATTTTATTTTGGATTTTTCTTCAGAAACAAGGCTAGTTTATAACATTTGGTTGGTCTTTTTGGAATGTTAAATTTCTATTTTTTTCTAAAAACTTTTTTGGCATAAAAGAGTTTTTTTTTTTTTAATATAATATTTTCCTTATTAATGGGATATCCTGTAAATTGGTGATTTAAAATCTGAAAGGGCCGTATAAAATTGGGCTTGGAAAGTAAATGGGCCTAAAGAAGTAATCCCTGTAATATGATTTTGAAAGCGGAGGAGGGAGACTTAAAAGACTTTAATTGATTGATTTATTAAAGGAACCCTAAGTTTCCGAACTTTGTCCGTCGCCGTCTGAAAAACTCAAGCAGCTCTCACTTCAGCTTTCCAATTAAAGGGAACAAAGTTTTGATTTTTGCCGCAGTCAAAAGCATTACTTTGCAAGAACAAGTGTGTAAGCCAAAGATGAGAAGCTCCCAAAACGGCGGCGCAATGGGTGGACGAGACGGAACCGGCGGAGGAGGACCGTCGGCTCCAGTTGACAAAGAAGTTGACTACGCTCAGTACTTCTGTACTTACTCCTTCCTCTACCACCAGAAGGATATGCTCTCCGACCGTGTCCGTATGGATGCTTACTTCAATGCCGTCTTCCAGAACAAACATCACTTTGAGGGCAAGGTAATATAAAGTTCACATCTTTGAGCTTCATAAGTGCTGGACCACTTTCTATTTGTCTGTAGTCGATGATTTTGGTCTAAAGATTATCTATTGCTAAGTTATACCCATTGGTCTCTCTGTCTTTCTTGTGGTATTAATAGTTTGATTTTTTGTTTTTGTAATGTGATGAAGACGGTCTTAGACGTGGGCACCGGGAGTGGAATTCTTGCAATTTGGTCAGCTCAAGCTGGTGCCAGGAAGGTTTATGCCGTTGAAGCTACTAAAATGGCTGATCATGCTCGTGCCCTTGTCAAAGCTAATAACCTTGACCATATTGTTGAAGTCATTGAAGGGTCTGTCGAGGATATTTCATTGCCTGAGAAAGGTATTCAGTTTCTCTTTTTCTTTGTCTCTTTCACTGCGATGAGAACATATTAGTGTATCATGCTTATTTGCAAGTAGAGAGAGTAAGGAGATAACTAAGTCTTTTGTTAAGTGAGCATACTGTTACTTGATTTCAGAAGCCTAAGTGACATTGTAAGAGTTTTGGTTAAAGCTACGGATTCAAAAATCAGGGTTTAACTTAGTGGCTATACATTGAGACATTGCAATTTGGTTGAGTTGAACATGTTTCTTCTGATTATTTGTACTCTACTCGAGATTGCACTAATATCTACGTATTCAATTTATTGGGCAGTTGATGTAATTATCTCGGAGTGGATGGGATACTTCCTTCTGCGAGAGTCCATGTTTGATTCTGTGATTAGTGCTCGTGACCGATGGTTAAAGCCAACAGGTGTCATGTAAGTGGGATTTCTGTTATTTTATTTCTATTCTTTATTGAACATTACAATTTAATGATGCATGATCGTTACTTATGAGTTATGAGCCTATGGCACTTGAGAGTTTAACGCTGTGTAGCTGTACTTTTAACATCTTGATAGCATAATGTTTTCCTCCAATGCCAGTTACATTATTTCTTATCAAATTTCATGCATAAGTTGTGAGGTCATGTTGCTAATAATATTGATGTTGGTACTGTGTGTATCTAAGCATTACAAATAACCTTTGTATCCAATAGGTACCCTAGTCATGCTCGCATGTGGCTTGCACCCATCAAATCCAATATGGCAGATCGGAAGAGGAATGATTTCGATGGGGCAATGGCAGACTGGCATAACTTTTCGGATGAGATCAAAAGTTACTATGGGGTTGATATGGGAGTTTTAACAAAACCTTTTGCTGAAGAGCAAGAAAAGTATTACATACAGGTGATTTCAGAACTCCTCTTGTTGCAGTTTTAATTTATCTGTAGATATTTTCCTTAGCAGACAGTTGAACAACTAACAAATTGACTTACAAACTGTTTCCTCTGTCATTTCATGGAATTCATAAAATTTGTCTTTTGTGCACAGACGGCTATGTGGAATGACTTGAATCCACAACAAATTATCGGCACCCCTACAATTGTAAAAGAGATGGATTGTTTGACAGCCTCCGTCAGTGAAATTGAGGAAGTTAGATCAAATGTATCGTCAGTCATCAATGTGGAGCACACAAGGCTATGTGGTTTTGGTGGATGGTTCGATGTTCAGTTCTTGGTTAGTTTGTTCAGATTACATTGTTGCATCATGTTGTGTTTATGTTGAAGAAACTCTTATACTTGTTTGTTTTTGTAACTGTCTAGGGGAGAAAAGAAGACCCCGCACAGCAAGAAATCGAGTTGACCACAGCTCCAAGTGAGCAGCACTGCACGCACTGGGGACAACAGGTATGTTACTCCCCAGTCTCTGGCCTATGATGATTAAGGCTTCTATTGTTTCAATCGCTAATTTCCATGTTATGATTCTGAATCTGGCAGGTATTCATTATGTCGAATCCTATAAATGTTGAGGAAGGTGATAATCTGAATCTTGGTTTGGTAATGAGCCGGTCCAAGGAAAATCACAGACTAATGGAGATTGAGCTTAAATGTGAGATAAAAGAGGCATCTGGTAACCCCAAAGAATCTTTCAAGAAGACTTACTTCATAGAGTGATTTATTTATACAGAAGCTTTCCTTGGGGCTTGCTGGTTCTTGTATCCCATGCATGAACCCAAATGTAATGTTTTATTGCTTCTGACCTGACACGAGATTGATACCAATTTTCAATAGATTTTATATGGGTTTGGTTTGATTTGATATAATGTGTTATATTTGTTTATTGTTTTTGGTCATATCATATGGTATTGATTAAACATCAAATTTTTTATTTTAATTTTATCCTTATTTCTTAGGTATTAATATTCTTAAGAGATTTTTTTCTCTGAAGATTGTTAACTTTTTTGAATATTTTTAAGAGGTTTTGAATAATTGTTAATGACTTAAAAATACTTATTTTAGTTTTTAATAATACCTAACTAAATGTTTGAAGATTTTTTTTGAGTAAAAGTTTTAATATTTACGGAGGAAGAACCAAACCAAAATAATTGGTCTAGTGAGTTGTGTCAATTTGGGAGCCTATGTCACACTAGCCCTTTGTCTGCCCCTCTTTCGGAGCGATTATTTCACATTGTTTCGTCGGACTCTCTGTCTCCTCCTTTTGACGGCGGCAGAAACAACGAAGCACGCACTGATAACACCTATCTCTCTCTCCGTCTAAACCATTTGATTAGTCTAGATCCCAATTCTTCGAGTATCGATTCTTCTTCAATCCTTTTCATGTGAATATCCTCCTAAGCAGCAATCTTTGGGTTTTTGTGGGTAAAATCTCTGGATTCTGCTTTTGCTTTCATACGATTGTTTTGAGCTATACTTGATTTTTTTTGTTCCCGATTGCGTTTTGGGTCAGGCTTAGTAGAACTATGATATGGAATCTTAATCTGAGTTATTTCGATGCCTAGACTTTGAATTCTGGATCTTTGAGTACTAGTCTTTACAAAGTCGGATTATTTCTTTGTTGGTACTTCTTAGAATCCTGGATATTTTTTATGGGTAATTCTCAGAGTTCGTGAAAATTCTTTGAACTCTTTTTTTAGTGGTTTGTATTAGAATCATGGAATTCGATTTTGAAATTTCCCTGTTCCAGTTATGCCTTGTATGCGTTAATGGATGTGGATTAGTTTCCTGTTGTCTTTATCTGCGCTTCGTTGCTTCATTGATTATGTAGATGAAGTAACAACTTTAATAACTCACTCTCCTTTTTCCTGGTTTTAAATTTGATTACAGTAACAGATGGGGAAGAAAGCGAAGAAGAAAGCCCGAGCACCAACAAAGGAGATTCAGACCATGGAAATTTCCATGAAGGTCTCTGAAGAGCCGCCTAGTCAAGCTGGAGAAATAGCTGAGGGTGACGTTAAAGCAGTTAAGGAGACACAAGCTTGTGTGCATTTTGATAAGGGTCTTAATTTGGAGAAAGTGTTGGATAAGATTAAGTCTTCCAGGCAGATTAAGTGTGAAGAATGCAAGGAAGGAGTGTCTGGTAAGAGAGGAACTAAAGCAAAGGGCAATAAGGGGAAAAACGATTTTTCTTCTTCTGATAAAAAAGCCATTTGGGTATGTTTGGAATGTGGCTGTTATGTTTGTGGAGGTGTTGGTTTACCAAATGGAGCTCAGAGTCATGTTTTGAGGCATACCAGAGTGACGCGTCACCGATTGGTGATTCAATGGGAAAATCCTCATTTAAGATGGTGTTTCCCGTGCCGTTCGCTTCTCCCTGTTGAAAAAGAAGATAATGGTGAGAAGAAAGATGTGCTGTCTGAGGTTGTTAAATTAATTAAAGGACGATCTTTGAACAATTTAGCTTCATCTGATATCGAAGATCAGTGCTCAGGAAGTGGCAGTATCACTAGTGATATTAAATTAGAAGGTGCTGCTGTGACCAGTGATATAGAAGCAAGAGGGGGTTATGTTGTGCGAGGTTTAGTTAACCTTGGGAACACATGTTTCTTTAATTCGATAATGCAGAATCTTCTTTCTTTGGATCGGTTACGCGATCACTTTCTGAAGGAGAATGTGTCTGGGGTCGGTAGGCCTCTTGCGTCTTCCCTGAGGAAATTATTCGCTGAAACGAAACCAGAGGCAGGCTTGAAGAGTGTGATAAATCCTAGAGTCTTTTTTGGGTCTTTCTGTTCTAAGGCACCCCAGTTTCGTGGATATGACCAGCATGATAGCCACGAGTTGCTACGCTGTTTGCTAGATGCGTTAAGCACCGAAGAATCGGCTTTGAGAAAGAAGCGTGGTATTTCTGATAATGATGAGAAATCTACTACACTCATAGATTCTGTATTTGGAGGGGAAACGTCGAGCATTGTTCGTTGTATGGAGTGCGGGCATTCCTCAAAAGTCTATGAGCCGTTTTTGGATCTCTCCTTACCCGTACCATTCAAGAAAAGCCCTCCTAAAAAGCTACAACCTGTTTCTCGAGCAAGAAAAGCTAAGCTTCCACCAAAAAGAGTCCCTAAGAATGTGTCAAAAGTAAGTAAGGTTTCAAATGTTCTCCCAAGTAAGGCTCTTTCAGAACTGAATTCTCCGGGAAAAGCTTTGGTTGTCACAGCTGATTCAGACCCATCCTGTTCTAGTTTTGTACCCCTTGATAATGGTCCGGTTTTAGAGACTCTTTCAGTTCTAACCGTTGACAATAAGCAGGCCTCAGGAAGTGCAACACAAAGTGATACTAGTTTCGATAGCTTCTGGTTGGATATTATCGGACCAGAAAACTCTGGAGATGAGACGAATTTGGATATGCAAGAAGATGGTATTGATAATGTCTCTACAGCTGAGGTTAATCAACTTGTTCCCTATCCAAATATTACGGCCAATAGCCCAGTTTCATCGGGTGATCAGACTTTGGAATGTAGCACAGAGAGGCTGATGCAAGACAATGGAGAAGTTGCAAAGGCGGAAGCCATTTTGGATGAAAAAGATGTACAAGCTATGCAATATGATGAATGCCCAGCTACGAGCGGTATTTCTGCTGAATTTATTCAAGCTAGTTGCATCAGTTGTGATCCTGGTATAGGGGAAAGTTCTTCCTCGGTGAATCCTTGGGACGAGGAAGAGCTTCCTTTGGTGGTTGCAGATTCGCAAATTCTGTACATGCCATACAAAGAAATATCTTGTAATGATAAATCAGTTGCGGAAGGTGAGTGTGAAGCTTCTTCTTCATTTGTTACTGGTGATCATGATTCACAAAGCAGTGATTTTGTTGATTTTGGCGGTTTATTTGATGAGCCCGAGACTACCGAAGGACCTGTCTTTGGACCTCCTTCCAAGGCTGAAGCTTCGGGAGTTGGTATTATGGCGTTCAGCAGTGAGTCTGATCCTGAAGAAATCGATGATTCGGATTCACCGGTGTCTGTAGAAAGGTGTTTGGCTCATTTCACAAAGCCTGAGATATTGTCGGATGACAATGCTTGGCACTGCGAGAACTGTTCAAAGAACCTGAAACTCCAACGGTTGAGAGAAAAGCAAAAATCCAAGAAAGATGAATCGAGATCAAGCAACACCAGCAACGGATGGGTGAAAGAAAATGAAAATGAAGGTTTTGGAGAAACTGATATTTTGGCTGTTAAACAAGATCCAAATGATACTTGTTGTGTCAAGGATCATAGCTCTAATGGAAGAAAAGCTACGGGGTCTCACTCAGCTGATGAAAGTGAATCCAAAGGGACTCAAGATGAAGACGAAGATTCTGAGAAAGTGATCACAGTGAAGAGAGATGCAACTAAAAGAGTACTTATAAACAAAGCCCCACCTGTCCTAACCATTCATCTAAAGCGATTCAGCCAAGATTTGCGTGGTAGGCTAAGTAAGTTAAATGGTCATGTTGCTTTCCAAGAGGTCATCGATCTTCGACAATATATGGACTCAAGGTATCATCATCTTTCATCTTCTTCTATATAACCACATTTTGATCTGTCTTTTACCTAAATCTCCATGAAACCAATTCTTCAATCTTTTGGTTCTTTCAGGTGTAGCGGAGAAGACCCGCCCGTTTACAGACTGGCTGGATTGGTGGAGCATTCAGGGACGATGAGAGGAGGTCATTATGTGGCATATGTTAGAGGAGGTCAGCGAGTTAAAGAGACTGATTCCTCCTCCACTGTGTGGTATAACGTAAGCGATGCACATGTTCGTCAGGTTTCATTGGAAAAGGTTCTGCATTCTGAAGCTTATATCTTGTTCTATGAACGGATCATCTCACAAGACTGAGAAATGATTTTGTTTCCATTATACTGAAAAAGGAAAGAAGAAAACCAGTTTTGATCTTCTTCCCTACAGCTTTTGCTGGGAAAGTTTTTGACGATCACATTAGATCAAATACCATTAATTTTGTTTTTTCTTATTGTATTTTGGAGTCATGAAAATTTCATTATATGTATCATCAGAAACATGTCTGATATATTCGAGCCTCTCAAATGAGTTACATTCTATTTTTCCATATACAAAAAAGAGTTGGTTCTATTTCGCACAATTTGGATCGTCCGGTTCAAACTGGTGTGATCTTAACAGAAGTTCCGGTTACCAACCATTAACTGCGTACCGAATCTTAACCGATGGAATCAATTTACTTCAATGTGAGAACCGGAAACAACTGACCCGGCGGTACTGGAAACGATTGAACCGACCCTACGTCTTCCTCTCTCCACAAGCAACGAACGGGACTTCCCCATTAAAGGGAGAGACAGACAAATCGAGTCTCGAGTCTGTGAAACCAAGTCGAGAGATATTGTAGCCATGGCAGGAGTATCGCTCAAGTGTGGCGATTGTGGGACGCTGCTGAAGTCCGTGGAGGAGGCTCAGGAGCACGCCGAGCTCACCTCTCACTCCAATTTCGCCGAGTCCACTGAGGCCGTGCTCAATCTCGTTTGTACTACTTGCAGCAAGCCTTGTCGCTCTAAAACCGTACGGATCTTCGATTCTCATCTCTCTCTATCTTTTTTTTGTTCTTGATGAATTTGAGTTGGCTTTTGGTTGGTGGTGGTTAGAAAGTTACAAGCAGATCTCATGATTTCTAGTTTAATACATGTAATTTCGATGCTTTAAACGGTTTTGACTCTGTGATCTCGATTTGATGCGACTTTTGCAACCTTTTACTGGCTCTGTGGTTTGGAGTTGATAGGTTTTGACTTGAGTTTGAATGAAATTGAGTCTGTTTCATGTGTTTCCCGCTGATTGGTGTTAATTAGAGCGTGAAGTTAAAAGCTTTACTCCGCATATCCCTATTCTTGGTTTTCAGATCTCAATCCTTTTGGGCTTTCTGGATGATTCATTCGATTTTTTTGTTTGTCTGGTTGAATTGAGTTCCTTGGTTTGATTGCTTGTGTACTTTGGTTTCTGCAATTTGGTAAGAGTTTCATGACTACTGTACTGAGGTGCCTTAGAGTCAAGGAACTGTTTCTACTATGTCCATTGACTGGAACTGTACTATGCTCTAGTATTTTGATTATTTCTGATTGCTTGTCTCGTTCTTATACAATGTGAAGGAAAGCGATTTGCACACGAAAAGAACAGGGCATACTGAGTTTGTAGATAAGACATTGGAGACGGTAAAACCCATCAGCTTGGAAGCTCCTAAGGTTGCTATGGAGATTGACGATAATGCTAGTGGTAGTGGAGAGGCTGCTGAAGGTACAGTGCCATGTTAATGTATGTGTATTGCATGAGTTTCTGAATGTGACTTTAACGCTATTTCTTATGGTCACTCTGCAGAGATGGTTGTTCCAGACGTTGACAATAACATTCTCGAGGAACTTGAAGCGATGGGCTTCCCTAAAGCTCGTGCTACCCGAGCACTCCATTACTCTGGTATAAATCTAATTTTTGGTTGTGGGCTCCTATTATAATCTTTGGTTCATGTAGTTTTCATATCTCCTCTAAGAATTATCTGAAGTGTAACATGGTCATATGCATAACAGCTCCAAAATTTATGGCCACTGGTCACAATAGGGAATCAGGGAGTAGCTTATTGATTAAATGTTATGCTTTGTGAATAGCGTTTAAAGCTTGATTGTGTGCAACTGAGTTCTTGTTTACGTCTTTTTTTTTGAACTCTGGATTGATATAGAAACTGTCATCTATCTCATTGTGTTCAATTAGATCTCCTTCTTCTCTTCTCTTTATCTCTTTCTTAATCTTTGTTCAGATGTCATCTGAATCTCGAAATTCTTTTACACATTTTTGAAATTCATTTCTTCAGGTAATGCCAGTCTCGAGGCTGCAGTTAATTGGGTGGTGGAGCATGAAAATGATCCTGACGTAGATGAAATGCCAAAGGTGGGTGTTTTGTCAATTGTTACTTTTCAGCAGAATGTCTGTTCTGGACTGTTTTGTTTCTTGATAATTGCACTCCAAATCCCGATTTTTAGTTCTTGTCTCAACGTGAAAAGTGTTTTTTTGCTTGATGCGACAATTTTGAGGTCAAAATTTTCTGTATATTTCATTTTTCAACTATCTTGTTGTATTAGGCATAGATGTGGTCTTAAAATTACTCCATTGTTTCCCTTACTGTTATTTCTATGTTGTTGACTGTTGCCTAGGTGCCTGCCAACTCCAATGTTGGGCCTGCCAAACCTGCTCTTACGCCAGAAGAAGTGAAGCTAAAAGCACAAGAATTAAGGTTCGATGAGTATTCTGTTTTACTGTCTATATTTGTTTCCTTTTATAGCGGGCACCAATGACATATTGACACTACACTTTTATCATGCATAACCTAGACCATGAAAATGTCTACAATTTATATTTGTTATTCCATATCTCAGGGAACGTGCGCGGAAGAAGAAAGAAGAGGAAGAAAAACGGATGGAACGTGAAAGAGAGAAGGTTTTCTGTCTCTGATCCTTTTTTTAATTGTGTTATCTAAAATAACTTAATTATGTGCTTGTAGTATGTGTTAGAAACATATTGTGTCATTGCTGAAACTGTAAGCACTTCTTTGTTATCATCTTTTAACATGTTGTATTGGCTCAGGAGCGAATTAGGATTGGCAAGGAACTCTTAGAAGCAAAGCGGATGGAAGAAGTAAACGAAAGGAAACGGTTCGTCTTTTCTGGTTATAATGTCAGGCTTATCAGCTGTATTCTCATTTTTGTTTTTGTTTAATAAAATGACTACTTATTTTTTTTTGTGTTTCAGTCTAATGTTTTTGCGTAAAGCCGAGAAAGAAGAAGAAAAACGGGCTAGGGAAAAGATCCGTCAAAAGCTTGAAGAAGACAAGGTATCTCTAATGCAGTAGATTTACGTACGTTTTGCATTACATTTGTATTTCTCAACAGAAAACCTTGAAGACTCATATAGACATTTTAACAGGCTGAAAGAAGGCGAAAACTCGGATTGCCTCCGGAAGATCCTGCAACTGCAGCTGCAAAACCCTCAGTGCCAGTTGCGGAGGAGAAGAAGGTAAACAAAAAAAATCAAAATCTTGTTATATTTTATCATCTCTTGTTCTGTTCTTTTTCTTATAGACATTTTTTTTGGCAGATTTCATTGCCAATTAGACCGGCCACAAAGACTGAACAAATGAGAGAATGCTTGAGGTCCCTTAAGCAAACCCACAAGGTAAATACATTCAACATATATCAACCCACACATTCTAAGCAATAATGAGCCCAGCAGTAATCTTTTGGAAATCGAGGAAAAAAGGGGTTCAAGGAGGATCAAGTAAAGTTTTGAGTATAACAGTAATTTTGCTTGTTGGTTCAGGAGGATGATGCTAAAGTGAAGAGAGCGTTCCAGACTCTGCTGACTTACATGGGAAATGTCGCTAAGAATCCAGATGAAGAAAAATTCCGGAAAATTAGACTGACCAATCAAACATTTCAGGTAAACAATCTGCCATAAAAATGCGCATCTAGATTTATTTGATTAGTCAACAAATTTGATTGAAGGCACAACGATGATGATAGTCGAGTTTCTTACCTGTCATGGTTCTTGGGATGAAAATGTAAACAGGAAAGGGTTGGTTCACTGAGAGGAGGCATAGAGTTCATGGAGCTATGTGGGTTTGAGAAAATTGAAGGAGGAGAGTTCTTGTTCTTGCCTAGAGACAAGATCGATTCCGCCATCATCAACTCAGCTGGAACAGAGCTCAATTCCGCCATCAACAACCCTTTCTTTGGAGTTCTTTAAATCGATGCCATCTTCTTGTGTCAAATTTATGAAACTATAAAAAAATTCGAATATCAACATGAATAATACTGGCTAGTGACATTCTTTTTGTTTTGTCTTAATAAGTGAAAAATTTGGAGACCAGAACTAAACGTTCTTCAATTACTGTTTAATCCCTCCTGTTTCTTCTACGATTAAGGTAAACAATGACAATTCCATTCTCTTTTCGTCTGAACCGGTTCGCAACCTAACCGGTTCGAAACAGTTTGGTAGATATCGAGAAACACGGTTAAGAGAGTAGCCACTAGCCAATATATATGAGTCTTTGCACCGCTAGATCTGATGACTGATGTGAGAGCGTATTCGGGTACCGATGAAATCGCTTTATATTATCTTCAAACCGAAATCTTCTCCCGCCAGAATATATTTTCCGGCCGATTGTCGAGCCTCACCGGACGAGTCTCACTTCATATCTCTGATTCACGCCTGCAAAGACACCGTAAGCCTCCGCTGTGTTCACGCCCAGATCCTCCGTCGCGGCGTCCTCAGTAGCCGCGTCGCTGCTCAGCTGGTATCTTGCTCTTCGCTTCTCAAGTCCCCGGATTATAGCCTCTCGATTTTCAGAAATTCTGAAGAGAGGAATCCGTTTGTTTTCAATGCTTTGATCCGTGGTTTGACGGAGAATGCTCGTTTCGAGTGTTCGGTTCGTCATTTCATTCTCATGATAAGGCTTGGTGTGAGACCCGATTGGCTAACTTTTCCGTTTGTACTCAAGTCTAATTCTAAATTAGGGTTTAGATGGTTGGGTAGAGCTCTTCATGCCGCGACTTTGAAGAATTTCGTTGACTGTGATGCCTTCGTCAGGGTATCCTTGGTTGATATGTACGCCAAGACCGGACAATTAAATCATGCCTTCCAAGTGTTCGAAGAAAGTCCTGATAGAATCAAGAAGGAGAGTATTTTGCTATGGAATGTTTTGGTTAATGGGTATTGTCGAGCCAAGGATATGCAAATGGCCACAACACTTTTTCGGTCCATGCCAGATAGAAATTCAGGATCTTGGAGTACTTTGATCAAGGGTTATGTTGATAACGGCGAGTTGAACAGAGCAAAGCAGCTTTTTGAATTAATGCCAGAGAAAAATGTGGTGTCTTGGACAACATTAATTAAAGGGTTTTCTCAAACTGGCGACTATGAAACTGCCATTTCTACCTATTTTGAGATGCTAGAGAAGGGCTTGAAGCCTAATGAATACACAGTTGCTGCTGTGCTCTCTGCATGCTCAAAATCTGGTGCTCTTGGATCAGGAATAAGAATTCATGGTTATATTTTGGACAATGGGATTAAGTTAGATAGAGCTATAGGAACATCTCTCTTAGACATGTACGCAAAATGTGGGGAAGTCGACTGTGCTGCTACTGTGTTCAGTAATATGAACCATAAGGATATTCTTTCTTGGACTGCTATGATACAAGGTTGGGCAGTTCATGGACGCTTTCATCAGGCTATCCAATGTTTCAGGCAAATGATGTATTCTGGTAAACGATTTGTCCAGTCTAAAAATTTAGCTTATTCTCATTTCTTTGTCCTTTGATTCACTAAGTTTAATTGTATGCATGCAGGAGAGAAGCCAGATGAGGTTGTGTTTCTTGCGGTTCTGACTGCATGCTTGAACTCAGGCGAAGTAGACCTGGGTCTTAATTTCTTTGATAGCATGAGGCTTGACTATGCAATTGAGCCCACACTGAAACATTATGTGTTAGTTGTTGATCTGTTAGGTAGAGCAGGGAAGTTGGACGAAGCACATGAGCTTGTAGAATATATGCCGATAAATCCTGATCTTACTACATGGGCTGCTCTCTATCGTGCTTGCAAGGCACACAAGAGTGATAGGAGGACTGATATTGTTTTGCAAAATCTTTTGGAACTTGATCCAGAGCTTCGTGGTAGTTACATTTTCTTAGACAAAACACATGCGGCTAAAGGGAAATATCAAGATGTAGAGAAAAGAAGATTATCGTTGCAGAAGAAAGTCAAAGAAAGATCCATGGGATGTAGTTACATTGAATTGGACTGTCAACTGAACAAATTTGCAGCTGATGATTATACTCATAAGCAAGCACAAGAGATACGTTTGAAGCTTGAGGGAATCATATCGCTCGCGATTGAGAGAGGATACATTCCGGGAGCTGATTGGTTGATTCATGACATTGAAGAAGAAGAGAAGGAAAGTGTTACGGGAATACATAGTGAGAAACTGGCTCTTACACTTGGGCTTCTAAGGACTGCTCCCGGAACCACGATAAGGATCATTAAAAACCTTAGAATATGCGGAGATTGTCATTCTTTAATGAAATATGTTAGTAAGATCAGCCAAAGAGGTATCCTACTGAGAGATGCAAGACAGTTTCATCATTTCAAAGATGGAAGCTGTTCATGTGGTGATTATTGGTGATATAGTTGATCAGTTAGGTGCCTTCAGGTTCGTCAACAACAATGACTCAAACCAAAAAGAAGAATGTGATGTCCTGTAACATCCCAGCCCCAGCTGCTTGAAAGTTTTGTTTATTCATGGATTCCGGTACAAATCTTGTCCTGTTCTTGTCCGGTACACAAGAGTAGGAATTAGGACAAGCTCATGATTTCTGAGACCAGACCACACACCACAGCGATCAGGCCGAGGTGATTCCGGGTTACTTGTGTAACCCCACTGGCCTGGAAATGAAAGAGAAGGGGGCTCAGGTGGGTTTACTTGTGTTTGTGAGGTGGAAAATTCCAATATTCCTTTTTTTATATAGAAAATATAAGAATTTTCATAAGCTAAGATTTTTTTGTAAGATAAAAGGAATTTGGCCAAAAAAAAAGGGATTATGATTAAGGAGATGTTAGTATATATAGGTGTCATGTGTATTATTGAAGACAACGAAACACATGGCACTTGTATGTGAAGCAGAGCTATATCACATGAGAACAAATGCCAGTCTCCAAGGTTAATTGGGTCCATCACTTTTGTTGATTAATCTTGTGTTTGTATATCATCACTTTATATCATAGTTGTTGTTGTTTTATGTTATTCCCATTTTAAATTAGATTATTTTGTTGACAACCAAAAATTACCTTAACTCTTTAGATCTGTGATAAATACTATAGTTTCCAAATATATCAACTCTTCCAAATGATATTACCGACTGACTATGGATTTAACTATTTAAGCATTTCCGAACAAAACAAACGGGGGAAAATTGAATAATTAAAAAGAAAGGGATAAATGTGTAAAGAATCAACAATATTGAGGGCTATATTTAATATTAATTTCTTCGATTCGTCTCTCTCTCTCTCTCTCTCTCTCTCTCTCTCTCTCGGAGAGAGGAAGCAAAATCACGAACTTCCATTAATCACCGACTCGCAGAACCTTTCTCTCTATCTCGAAACCTTGGAAATTGAATCTGCGTGAGTTTCAATCGATTGATCGATCCATCAAACCTTAGAGATGGTGAGGAAAAAGGTACCGGAATGGCTTAATAGCACCATGTGGTCTACTCCTCCTCCGCCGTCTTCTTACGACGACGGTCTCCTCCGCCATTCCCCCGTCACTAAAATGAAGGAAGAGGCACAATCGGTTTCCGTTGCTCCCAGGCTTAATTCTGCTCCTCCGCCTTCTTCCACCGCTTCGGTTCCATCGCCGTCGCATAGACCGAGGAACGGTAGCAGTATCTCTGGTGGTAGTGGCGAATATGGAAACTCCGTTGGTCCTTCCTCCGAAGACTTTTCCCGCCAGGCTCATGTCTCAGCGGAGGTCAATGCAACCTTCCTTTTTTGCTTTATCAATGCAAATTTTCAAATTCTTCCACCAGCGTGTTGTCGTCTAATTGCTGAGTTTCTTAATGCTTTTTGTTTTCTTCTTCTTCATTGGTTTTTGTTATAGTTATCGAAGAAGGTGATCAACATGAAGGAATTGAGGAGTCTAGCTTTACAAAGTTTGCCGGATTCACCTGGGATCCGTTCTGTTGTCTGGAAGGTAGGCATTACAAGAATCATGATTTTGGTAATGCAACAGTGCATAGAACTGTGTCTGAGAGTCTGATAAATCCTTACTAGGTCTTTGAAATATGATTCTCTTTGCAGCTTTTGCTTGGTTACTTGCCACCTGAACGTTCACTCTGGTCAACTGAGTTGAAACAAAAGAGATCCCAATACAAGCACTATAAGGATGAGCTTCTGACGAGTCCTGTAAGTAATCCTGTTATTGTCAGTTTTGCATGCTATGTCTGTCTAAGTTGATTTCAAGTTATTGGATTATCTAGTTGTGAAATGTCAAGTGTGTATTATCCTCGCTGTTTGTGAACTTTGTAAGTCCTTTTTCTCAACTAGAAAGTTTCTGTACAAAACTATCTTTTCGTGAAATGTTTTTGTACCTCTAAATGATTCTGTGGTAGTTAGTCAGAAATCACATGGAAAATGGTAAGGTCAAAGGGGTTTGACAACTATGACTTGAAGAGTGAAAGCCGATGCATGCTTGCCCGATCCAGAATAACTGATGAGGACCATCCTTTAAGTCTAGGGAAGGCGAGCATCTGGAATACTTACTTCCAGGTACTATCATTGTCAAAATATTTTAGAAAGACCTCAGTGCATTACTTAAGGACAGGATTAAAGGTTATATAGTATTCAGTTTGTCCACTATTTCCATCATCACTCTTTTATTAATGTAGGATACGGAGACCATAGAACAAATAGACAGAGATGTCAGGCGTACACATCCAGACATACCCTTTTTCTCCGCTGAATCATCGTTTGCGCGTTCTAATCAGGTAACCTTTTGTGTTCTCATTAGCAAATTTTCACATATTGTTGATTAATCAAGCTCAATGATGTTTCCATTTACATGTCTAGGAATCTATGAAGAATATATTACTTGTATTTGCGAAGTTAAATCAAGGCATCAGATATGTTCAAGGGATGAACGAAATTTTAGCTCCTATCTTTTATGTATTCCGTAACGACCCTGATGAAGATAGTTCAGTAAGTAGACTCTTTTTGTTTCTTTGATACCCTTTAAACAAATTCACATGATAGGGTGTATACAACTTTAAGGTAACAGTGCTAGTCTGGACCCTCAATATTTTCAAGATATGAGTTCCTCTTAAGTAAACTTATATCAAGACTGTTTTACTATATGCTATATTACAGAATTACAAATTAGAAAGAAACCCGTATTCTATTAGTATGAATCTGACCTCTCTGCCTAATTTTCTTAGAAGATTGGTCAGTGTATGATCTTTTTTCTTCAACCTTGTTTTGGTTCTTGTCAGCTTCAACCAATTTTATATTAACTCTTTTCAAAATATGCAGTCCCATGCTGAAGCAGATGCATTCTTTTGCTTTGTTGAATTGTTGAGTGGATTTCGAGACTTCTACTGTCAACAACTCGACAATAGTGTGGTGGGAATCCGATCTGCAATTACGAGACTCTCACAACTTGTGAGGAAGCATGATGAGGAACTGTGGCGTCATCTAGAGATCACCACAAAAGTAAGACATCGATATTTTTTTTCTCTCATGTCTTTTTGTTGTGACAACAACCATATTTGTCATTATGCTGCTATAGTCCTAATTATCTGCTTTGTCCGGAAGATAAATTCTAATGACCCCTCAGCTTACTTAGTATTCTTGTTCTCTCGTCTATAACATAATAACAGTGGTTTGGACCCTCTGAGACTGACATTGTATAGATTCTATGGATTACAGGTAAATCCACAGTTTTATGCATTTAGGTGGATCACTCTCCTTCTTACTCAAGAGTTTAGTTTCTTTGACTGTCTTCACATATGGGATGCACTCTTAAGTGACCCTGAAGGTCCGCTGGTAAGATCGACGCATGCCTGAAATCAAATCAATAGATGCAGATGTCTCATTAATTCTCTGTTTTCAGCAATGTTCCTTTCATTTGCTTGAATAACAAAACCCAGTTTGTGTTGTTGCAGGAAAGCTTACTGGGGATATGTTGTGCGATGCTGGTACTGGTGAGGAGGAGGCTGATCGCGGGGGATTTCACGTCGAATATGAAGTTACTTCAACACTATCCAACTACAAACATCAGCCATCTCTTGTATGTAGCCAATAAACTTCGTTCCAAAATGTTAGTATAAGCCCTTTTGTTGTTTCTTCTAACTTTGATAAGACCAACTTTTAGTTGCCCCCCATTACAGTATACAAAGCGTTTTTGTTTTGTTTTACACGGTACATTTATTTTAGTTGATATGTTAAAACCGTATAAATGTATGTGGGCTTTTTATGTTATAAGGCTTATAAATATTTGACTAAAAATAAAACAGATATGGGCTCACTTAAAAAGGCCCGACAAAGTTAATCATATAGTTGGTCAAAGGCCAGTTGCGTTTTGATCAGTTGAAAAGCCCCTCACGCGCCCAGTTTATTAATTTTAGCAAAAAACCGCATTTTCCGTAGTCTATAGTCCAGAGATTTCGCGGAGGTGGCGTAGACGCGCTCAGTATGAGAGTGGGTAAAATACTTGCATTTGGGAATTCGACAACCACGGGCCTCCCTCTTGGGCTCACTTTTATTCTGCCCATTGGGCTTAAAGGAGCGTAGTTGTCATATACTTGCCCACATTAATTCTAAGTAGCCTACTAGCATAAATAAACTATTTTTCCTCGACAGAACAATGTGAGTGAAAGATAAAATTTATATATAATAGTTATAACATATTTTACAAATAAAAGATTCATTAATCAAATATTTAGTAATTTAACTTTTCTAAAAAAACAAAGTTGAATTCACGATCTTTTCTAAAGTAATTTAACTTTTTCAATTTTCCCATAGTTATTTACTCCCTATGTTCCTTAAAGATTGATGTTTTAAAGTTTTCACATATATTAAAAAACAATTATTGTCTAATTATTTGACAATTACTTTCTTATATCAAACATTTTTTAATAAGTTTGAACCGATAGTAATATAGAACAGTTAATCATTGCACCTTGAAGTTTACGATATATTAATATCAATTAATAAAAAATAAAACAAAAATCTAGAAAATCAATCTTTATAGAACAAATTAAAAAGCTAGAACATCAATCTTCTAGGAACAGAGGGAGTAGTAACTAAGCTAATTTCTCTACTCCCTAAGCTAATCTAGCTTTATTGTCATATTAATTAAATTAATTAATTACTAAAAAGGTTAATAAGTTTCACAACATGAGTCCTTTTTGACTAAGTTTCCCTCTAAAAATCCTACAAGCCCATGCAAATGCAATTAATGTGGAAATTTGTGAGTGGAACAAAGTAATGTTTAGTTGTTTACCATTTATGCTTAACAATATATAGATTTAAAGAAACAATTTTTTTTATATAAAAAAAAACACAAGAACAAGTCGGAACCAATGCAATAAGTAAAAAAAAAAAAACTGTTTCTCTGTTTAATTAACAAAAACAAATTGACCACTAATCAAAAAACAAAATCATGGAGAAGCGTATTCAAAGGCCTGTGGAGGTTGTGGCTCGTCATCTACGGCCATAGCAGACGTGGTGGTTGCTTGTTGGGCTTGTCCTGCAGTTGCTGCACCCCCTGTTGAAGTTGGTGCATCGGTCAGAGACAGAACCTCAGGCTCATCCGGACGCAAGTCTCTGAGAAGGACAAACCCTGATGGAGCTAGCTTCACCGGTACATATCTGCTTTCCTCCATCAATTTGATGTATTTCTCCTGTGAAGGGACTACACGAGCCGGGTTCACTAGAATCTCAAACGTTGCTTCTGGCTCAACCTTCTTCTCCAACGTTGTAGCTGTGCTATCAACCTGGCATAGTAACATAAAGACAATATACTTAATGGTCCAAACATTATCAAAACTCAAGATGATAGAATGACAATGAGATTCATCATAGGAACAGCATTTGCCAAAGCACAAAATGTTAGAGCAATTCATTTCGACTCAAATAGATATGATGATGAGATTGTATATGTTCACGAAATGGCCAATGCAGAAACTTGCTATCTTGGATTGACACTTTAGACTACGATATTGGGAATTAAATTTGCAATTTACCTGCATAGACTCTGCTTCCTTCTCATCTGAAGCTGCTTTTGCTTTTCCAGCTTCGTTGCCAGACTTTTCGGCATTAGCTTTCTGCTCTGCTTCTTTCTTAGCCCTAGCTTTGGCTTTGGCTGAGGTTGAGAGTACAGCGGTTGGTAATTTTGCGGCGGTGTTGGCAGTAGCAACCGTGGTTGGTTTTGGATACTCAAACAAAGATGGTTTTGCATGCGACATGAATTCAAACTTTGGGACTTTGAGATCGTAGTTCAAACCAATGAACGCAGTTGGTGAAAATGCCAAGCTTATGAAGTAAATCAATGGGTACCAATACCAAAACTGGCTGAAGACAGCAAGTCCAATGACCGCAGTGACTTTGTCATGTTTTGTCTTAGAAAGCAGTCTTATCGTCACATTCCTTCCACCAGCATCAAGAATACCTGAAGCCAAAATTGCTCCCATCTTGCTCATTGTATCTTCATGCTTGTCAAGTATAATCTTCTCAAGTTGACGCCTGCAAAAACACAGAAAAATTTTAGTCTCCAAAAGGGAACTATTCTCTCCCTCCTATTGATGAAGAGATCGGAACTTCACTAACCTAAATGCTCCAACGCGAGAATCACTTGCTTCACTAATTTGAACCATCACCATGGCCATGGCAATCAGAGCACCTTGACGAACAAAGTCTACCACATCTGATGTAAGTGGCTCCAACAAGGATATCGCCTCACTCAGGCCAGTGCCTGCACAAGATATGCCAACTGCAAGAGCTGCGCCATAGCGGACATGTGGATTGTACGACTCAGAAAGAAGGGATACAATACGGGGAGTCTACAGTTTAAATATTGTGCAACCAGTTAATGAGTGTAAGCGAGCACAAGAGCCCAAAGGCACTAAAGAAATGGAATATAGTCAAAAAGTTAATGAGACAAAAAGAATATGGAGTTACCTGCTCTGGATCAGAGTATAAGACAAATCCAAGTGCAAGAACAGCCGTCCTCCTGACATCGTCACTAACATCAGACACAGCAAAGTGAAGAAGTTGGCGAATGGCTTTGTTGTTTGCAGTTCCACTGTAAGCCAATGCGAGTGCATACATTCCACCATAACGGATGATAGGATCCTGATCTCTAGTCATCTGCTCAATCAATGTATCTGCTCCCTCTTCTCTACCATATACTGTGAGAGCTATTCCTAGAGCCAATCCCCTAAACACAAAACCAGATGTTGGTTGGTTAAACATTAAAATAAATTATCATGCACCCACACACATAACCAAAAATATCTTCCAGACTTGAAGTTACCTTATTATCTTCTCATGCTGAGTCTCGTGAGCATAAGCGAGCATCTCACTTGCCTTATCAGTTGCAGTTCCAACCAACAATAGACCCATGCTGATGCCAGCAGCTTCACCAGCAACAGCACTGTCAGTGTAAAGAACACTTTTGATATCATCATATATATCTTCATCAGCTGTCCCAAGAGCTGCCAAACCAAGACCTAAACAAGCTCCATGTTGAATAACCTGCAACCATATTTTTTTGATGAAAATCAAATCTAAACAAAAGACTATCTTTTTGGTGATATAAGGAAAGACTATTCAGAAGAAAGATATAGCCAATTACCTCAACACTAGTGCTGCGTAGGCTATCACGAAGAAATTGCTTGATTCCCTCACCATGGTTGGCATGAATAAGACCGAGAGCATATAAAGCACCCCCTTCGGAATAAGGACTCCCACCACCACCTGCTCCTCCCTGAGGCAAGTATGGGGCCATCAGTGACCTGCCCTGTTGTAAGTGACCCCTATGAATAACACCTAATCCTGCTGTAGCGCTAAACTTAGCCCAATTGGTGGCCCTGCTTAGCCAATCCTGCCAATTCAAAATATGAATGGAAAAGACAAGAATAATAATTACTATGCCATATAGTTGACGTTGAAACAAGTTAAAAAGTGATAGAGAAAGTAAAATTTTACCAAATTCTCCCTGAGAAAAGTGTCAACTGTCGTTCCAGCATGCATTATAGCATTAGCATATATTGTAGCACTGTGACATACACTGTTCCGCATCTCAACTGATTGTTTGATTGTCTTCAGGATCAGCAGGTCCGATCTACAGAAAAACAACGGCCATCGCTGAAGCATGTTACTATTTGGAAGAAACGACTTAAACACAAAATATACTTTCAAGATATCAAAATTTAAAAGGAAAAGTAACTGCCTCACTTGTTATGGCTGTAAAGAAACTGGAGGGTCAGTTGTATTGATGTCTCTCCAGATAAAATTCCCTTAACCTTTGTTAACCTCTCAGCGTACACAGCGTCAGCAGGATCTGTTTCATGCACAATTGTCTGAGATGGAGTTTCATCCGCCATCTGGACATCCCCTTCAGTGTTCTCATTCTGAGCAGTAGGGGTTTCAACAGCTTGAACTGCTTCTACAGGACGGGTCTTGGGCGCTGGAAGGCGGTCTCTTACACTCATGAGAAATGCCTGGTGCTCATTCTCTACAAGATCGAAAGCGATTTGCAAAGCCAATAAAGCATCATCTTTACTCTCTGAACGAAGAAGCTTCTCCAATATGCTTGCAACACCTTGTGGTTCATCCAGGAACATAAGGCATTGGCAAATGCTCAAATAATCAGGAGAAGCCAGCTTCTGGTAGACATTAACAAGTAACCTAAGAACCTGCAAGAATTAAGCGACGTAAGGATGTTATCATTTACAAATTAACAGTAAATAAAATTTCCTACAAATGTGTTTTTAGTTATGAACTAAAGAGTGCAATGACTTACAACTATGGTTACGAAAATACAATATAAGGTTTACATGACCATTATATTTGCAAGGAAAGATAAAAGAAGATGACCTCAGTGTATAATAAACATATTACATCTATTAAAATCCAATTCTCTGGCCACCAGACTCACCTCATGTCTATATATTCTGTGGTTAACAAAAGAGTGGGAAACATTGATGCAGTAAGATAATGTTCCCTGCACATTTTCGCTCTTTATGATCGCTTCCTCCAACTTATCCAATCTCCGGCATTCTATAGCAATGCCCATGGCTTGTTGATACTTCCCGTCAGTGATACATCTGCAATACAGATAATCATGTAAGGGCAATCGAAAAACTAGTCTAGAAGACAGACAAAAATAAATAAGTTGGGCATCACATACTTGTCTAGCATTCGTTCAACAATGGCCTCCAATCTCGGGTCAATTTCCACCACCTCACTTGACTCGACTGCCTTTGATCTGAGAATAGCATACTCATCTATTGCTTTGGCTGAAAACGAAAACAGAAGCATTCGATGACTGAGTAAACATTCAACATCGGACAGTTTTGCTTAATCTTGCATCTAATTAGGTTGGAATGATCTTGAATTTATGCATATTATGGCCGATAATATCCAAGCTACTGTCAGTACTGTCACAGATTTAGGGAAAGAAAAAAAAGAGAGGATAGCAACAAGCTTCAAAATCCTTACCTAGAAGAGTATGAATGTAATCAGAATCCTCTGACACATCAAATAAGGATCCAGCTCCAAGGGCGTAGGACAAGGAATCGTTAAGCTCACCCAAGTAATAGAAAACCTGAGATAAGAAAAGATAAATCATCATTAGAAAACAAGTCTTATAATACAATAACATAACTTGATTAGAAGAAAGTCAAGCTCTGAACTTCCACCACTATCTACCAGCTTTTAAGGGAAACGACCATAATGTAGTCGTGTATCTTACACTCCCTTCTACACTAACATGTGGCCAGTGTTATATACAATAAGTCATCATGGAAGTTAAATAAAAAGCTAAACTGTACCTTGGAGACCAACAACGCAGCAAGCTGTCTTTGATGCTGATCAAACTCTTCATCTTCGTATAAGCTCTCTCTACAAAAAAAAAAAAAAAAGAAACGTCTCAGAATCAAGATATCAAGCAGCACAAAGCAGTGTAAGATCTCAAGCTAGAAGTATCAGAAAAGTACAGTCTCTACAACTTCAAAGGAACAAAATTTCCGCATCATGTACGTAAGGGAGCGTCCTTAACTCAGATAAGAATGGTTCTATTCAGATTCTAGATAATTTACTAAAGCAATTCAATAATGTTTGTCACTAGTGAATTTAAAGCTTTCCTTTTCATGTACCAACCATCAAATCTACCTCGACACAACAGTAGAAAACCTTGGAATATAAAAACCCTAACTAAGAAAAAGCAAGAGTGATAAAACCCATCCAAATCCCACAAGTGTTACTGGAAATTCCCAGCAAGCAAACAGATCAAGTGAAATTGACAACTAAAAAACCCTAAATCTCCGGAAGAACAAAAAGTGAAGAGAGAGAGATTACATGATTGGGACACTAGTGGAGATCTCAGGCCAAAATTGGTCAACCAATCTGTTGAGATATGAGAGAGCGTGAAGTTTCAAGGAAGGATGGGGTTCGTTGAGCATTGCCAGTAACCCACCGGCGGAACTAACCATCGCGGCGGCCATTATCCTAATCGGAATTAGAAACCCTAGCGGTGGAGAAGAGTTGATCAGACGGAGGAACAAGAATCGAGCTTCGGCGAAACCTCGTCTCGAGCAATTTATGAGAGAAGAGTTCACTTTTTCACAAGTCTAATAAAAATCGAAATTCTGGACTTATCGAATAATTAAGATACTTACCCAACAAGTCAAATAATTTAATCAATGCCCCTAAATTTTTAATAAGATTACACTTTCACCCCTAACATATATAATGGATCCATATAGTCAAAGAACCGGAATACAAATTGGGTCTAATGATGGGCCACATTATTTGTCTAATTGTGTTAATGGACTAACCTAACGGCCCATAATTTGGAGGAAAAAACCTTTATTTGTTTGTTTGGAAGTAAGCATATGAGTTTCTGGTTTGCATCATTGATTGATGACACCTATAAAAAGCTATGCTCACAAATAAATGAAATCACATTTTAGGGTTTAGTTATAGACTTACAGTTCAATATTCCATATAATTGACATGGCCTGTCCTGCAAGCATAAAGATAAAAACATTTTTTTTTGTTATGGCCCTTTAAAACCCTTTACAACGTTCAAATCAAATTTTAATCTAATTATGATATGAATGCATGATTAATATAATTCAAGGAACTGTATATAATAATTGGTGTCATAGGTTCCCCAATTCTTCAACTATATTTGCATCATGTTTTTCTCTTTTTGTTGGATGAGATCAATATGGCAGTTGGGCAGAGACAATGAAAATAAAACTTGTCCAGTGACCGGTGAAACATCATTTAACTGTTACTCAACAGCAATTATATCCTAGTTGTTGTACAGGTTGAACCGAGCGGATTTTGGTTTACTCCATACTGGTTTCTTGCCATAACCAATTCATGGTGTTCACTTTGTTAATTGAAGAATTCGAGTTTTCAGATATTTCCACTGTGATTTAATCATCATTAGCCTCTGTAAACGCATTGATATTGAATCCCTCGGTTATCATTTATCAAGATAAAAACAAACAAAACTGGAGTGGTCTCTTATACGAAGTAAACCAAGTGTTCCGGTTTATTTAGACTATGCACATTGACGAAAAGTGCTTATGCAATCACGATCTCTCTCTCTCTAAGTCTATATATACTGCTCATGCAGCAAGCAATTTCATATAAGAACATCCTCTTTCAATAGCTTATAATATTTCAACTACATACATTTTAAGTTTCCACTAATCATGGGTCTAATCGCCTGTAGAGCGTGTGTGTTTGTTTTGGTATTTGCTTTGGTCACAAATTTTACTATGGGAGAAACAGAGTTTGGTGATGAGAAGCCCTTGTTTGCTCACCCTCACCCTCGTCCTCTCCTCCACAAGAAGGGCTTCAAAAAAGGCTTCGGCGACTTAGGTGGTGGTGGTGGTATCAGCGGAGGAGGCGGCTTTGGAGCAGGTGGCGGTTGGATTGGAGGCAGTGTTGGAGGCTTTGGTGGAGGAATAGGCGGTGGATTTGGTGGAGGAGGATTCGGAGGTGGAGGAGGAAAAGGAGTTGATGGCGGAGCCGGTAAAGGAGTTGATGGTGGAGCCGGAAAAGGATTTGATGGAGGAATCGGTAAAGGAGTTGACGGTGGAGCCGGAAAAGGATTTGATGGAGGAATCGGTAAAGGAGTTGACGGTGGAGCCGGAAAAGGATTTGATGGAGGAGTCGGTAAAGGATTTGACGGAGGAGCCGGAAAAGGATTTGATGGAGGAGCCGGAAAAGGATTTGATGGAGGAGCCGGTAAAGGATTTGATGGCGGCGTCGGAAAAGGATTTGACGGCGGAGCCGGTAAGGGAGTTGACGGTGGAGCCATTGGAGGAATCGGCGGAGGAGCCGGTAAAGAAATTGGCGGAGGAATCGGCGGTGGAGGTCACTGAGAATTTGTTAAACCGTAATGTGCATGCCATTGATATGCATGTATATGTTGTCAATTATGAAATCTCTAATTCGTTAAAATTAAAATATGCAATAATAACTGAAATGTATGTCATTTCTCTTTAGTTTGTTTTCCTCTTTGAAATGATTGTATCTTGCTTCTTCGTGTAAATAAAGTGAATAACGATTAAACAAAGCCTTGTGCATATAAATTTATATTATAAAGTATAGGTTTAAACGAGACCAAAACTAAAGTGATAATATCAACTTTCTTAATCTACGAACAGTTCTTAGCTAGAAATATTCAAACCCGACAAAATAATCACAGAGATACACAGATAATTTCTCGCGCGTAAACGGTAGTAAAAAACCGTTTAATGAGTTCAAATTTGATGGCGAAGAATGTTTGGCTTACCAGCAAAAGGATTCCAGAGGAGATCCACCGGTTTGGAAGGGTAAAATGGTAAATTTGTTACATTCCCCGATAAGCTTGAAAACCTGGTCAAGTAACTGAGGATTTGCAAACCGGACATGATTTACTCCGTCCTAGCCATGGATCAATGCACTGCACAATACATAAACAACGGTTGGTTTTCGAATTTCTGATCTTATAAGGGGTTTTGATTTGAATCAGTAAAGCTAGAGATCCTTACATCTTTGTGGAATTTGTGCAAACAAGGAAGATGACGTATGGTGTCTCCGATCTTCGGTGTTTCCAGACAAATAACACAAGTTTCTTGAAAATTATCATTCTGCAAAATTACACATAAAACACCAAAGAAAAAACCTTTAATAACAAAATTTCGATATGAAAAGAAAAATGGATTTTACAAGTCAACCTTTAGCTTACTTGAACTGTAGACTCTGGCAAATTGTTAATGCGATGAGTAGAAGCACCGCCATGTCGATGGTTGTTTTCATCAAGAGCTAGAAGCAATTCGTAATCATCTCTGTGTCGAAAATGGTTGAACTATCAAACTCCATATATTGAAGAATCATAGTAAAGTAATGAGAAAAAATATATCAAAAAGATACCATACTCAGTAAAGTCACGATCCATATGAAGAAGACTACTAGTAGTAATGGAGTGTCCAATAGCATTCTCTAATCCCTCCAGAAGATCCATTCTCTGTTACATTCAAAAGGGTAAGGATTATTAGCTCTTCGTCCTACGGTGCTTAGCAACATTCCAGATATAAGCAGAGTTAAAAGAGTACCGTTTCTATGCCCATATCATATGGAAAACTGAGATTCAGAGCTGTGTGTAGTGAAGCAGATGCACGGCCTAAACGATAACCTCGACCCCGTGTTGGTGCTCTAACAGGAGCACGAGCCTGTGGAGGATTCAATCGCCTCCTTGAAGAATGTTGTTGCAGTCGTGCTTCCAGGCGACTTCTTCCACCTCGGTTTGCTGCAATCTGTAAATAATATCCATTAAGGAAATAAGACATCCAAGATGATCCCTAAACCCGATTCTTTTTAAGTGCAAGTTTACGAAAGAACTCATCCATGTTTGATAATGATTAGTCTCGCATCTGAACACAGAAAATTGAAAGAACACGGGAAAAAAACGCTAACACAGGAATGTTTTTTGGCCATGACTTACGGTATTAGAGTTTCGGGTAGACCGAGTAGAAGAAGAACGACTAGAAGAAGCACGAAGAGAATTCTCTTCTTGTTCCAGCAACCTTGCTATGTTTTCATCAATCTGTTACAGTGTAAGAAGTCCAAATAAGACCATTTGAAACCTTGATTGATATGGAACACATAGAGCATATCCAAACAGAAGGGACTTGTACCTGCTGGTGTCTTATCAACGTCTCTTCTTGGTACAGCTGTTCTTGCAATTCACGAGCCAATATCTCATCTGCTTCTATTTGTCTTACATTCACATCAGATACATTGTTTTCAACACGTCTAGGACCCCAGAAGACCCGTACTTCAGGAGATGAATCTTCAATTTCCAACACTTGTGTGCCGTGTCTTAAATGATTCTGGATTCTTGGTGGCCTTGAACTAGATGGTTCCCCAGAAGATCTAATAACAGTAACTTCTGGCTCATTTGAAGCCGTTGAAGTAGTAAATCCATTTTTCCGCCGTCGTTGTTGTCTTGTTTCTCTTTCAACTACACCGGTTTCATGCACATCAAGTCTGGAGACAGAACTACAAATTCCGCGTGTGTCACTCTCATTCTTCTGATTCAATTCTTGGTCCATATTTAATATTCGGTTACGTGTACTAACCCACCCCTCAGAACCGTCTCTACTCGCCACCCTATTTGCATTAATACAAAGAATAGAAACTCTTACAACACAAAAAAAAAAAAAAAAAGAAGAAGAAAGAACCATCCTTTTTGATATCCATTCAAACATCTAATGAAAGATAAGGAAAATATATTACCTGCTACAAGAAATTTCAGGTCTTTTGCCTCTAGCTCTTCCGTGAATATCACTTTCAGAAACAATCTCTCTTATGCCAATCAAAGATGCAGTTTCAGGAGCTAGTTCCTGTTCAACACTAACTGTGTCCTTGGAATTTGTATCAGCAGCTTGTCTAGCTCTAGCTGCTATTCCATTTGGAGAAATGCACCCATGTCTCACCAATCTTTTAGTGCCTCTGTTCTGTTGTTTGCCGCCACTGGAAAGGTCAATTGTTTCTCTATTAGAAACAGAGCCAGAATCTGCTTTTCCTTTACCCTTATTACTAGTCCCAGGCAGCATAAAAGAGTTATGATCACCTCGTAAAGGAGAACAACCATTACTTGTGCGCAATTCTCTTATATCTTCAAATGGTAAGCATCTCGATGCAGCACCATGAGCATGTCCGTTACGTTGATTCAGATTTAAAACCGGATTTTTCTCTACACGAGCCGCACGTGGATCAGTGGAGATGGATTTCCCTTTATCCTGCTCAACCACAGTTCTCCTAAACAAAGCATTGCCTCCAGAAACATGCGAGCGATGTCCATTCTCAGTTCGTGTATCAGAACTTTCCCGGTTGTCCCCAATTTCAGGGACTGGTCTGGTTCTTCCGCTAAGATAATTACGGTATTCCTCTCTTTGATATCTTAATGGTGGTTCTGGAGAATTTGGCCTTCTCTTAACCTCTCGATGTCGTACCGGTCTATCTGGAGTATCAGGTATGCTGATTACCATGTCAATGTCAATATCCTCCATCCTGAAACAGTTAAACAAGAAAGAAACTGAAGCAATGCTCACATGATGTTTATATATTAGCAATAGATTTTTCTGATTAGAGAGATTTAAATTCGTGTTTTGAGACTTTTCAAAACATAAACCCCAGATTATAACTTAAGTAAACACAATTTCCCCCAAAAGGTTAAGATCACAGAAGTGGCAACAAAAAAAAAAAAAAAAAATTTGGCATGCCTTGAGATTAATAATCATCGGAAAGTGAGGATTTTGGCTATGAAACTAACAGACTAGCAAAATTTCATAGTATGAAATTTCAGATACACCAAAACGAAAACAGATCTTCCTCCGTGGAGAAAACTATCGTCGAGAACAAATCTATCGCATCTACAAATACAAAAGGAAAGAGGAAATTACCTGATTGAATTTGATTCGAATGTGCGAATCGAAACCCTAGTTGTTCGATGAGAAGCAACAGCATCGATCAATCTATCTCATCTTCCTCGGGTGCAACGATTGGACCTCAGATTATTCCGGGTCGGGTATGGGATTACTGGGTCGGGTTCTGGGTCGTATATTGATGATGTTGGGCTGTCCAATAGTATTGGGCCTGTTTAAAAGATGCCTGTTTTTATTTAAATTGGCTTACATAAGTCAAAAGTTTAAATAGAGAAGTTAGAGAACCAACAAGACAAATAATTCGTGAAATTTGATAATAGCAATCCAAAACATACAGTTATTCACTAGCTTTTTTTACAAATGATTCATTATTATTACTTGACTGGTAAAATGGATTTTCAAGAATCAAAAACCAAAAACCATTCTAAAATCTATAAACAAATTTAGGCTTTAGTGTTTTGAATTTGAATTAACGATTAATCACCGAGACTTCTCGATGTCACAAAGAACTACAAAACAAATATGATTTTAGTCGTTGTTGTCCTCTACTACGAAACAAAAATGACATATATTATGCTTCTAACTTAGCTACGTTTTCCAAATTTTGAAGTCAAACTCTTTTCATTTTTAATAATTCAAACTTTTTGATCATTTTTTTAATAACACTAAACACAATTCTTATTTCTACGCGTTACGTTTCCTAGAAATATTTTAAACTTCAGCTGAATATAAATTTATAAACTAAAAAAAAACTGATGTTAACAATTTGATTACTTCATATTAAGTTGAAATTCATGGCATTGTTTACCTTTCAACAATAAATAGATTTTTCTAAGTCTACATATTTAAAATTTAATAGCTATGTATATATTTCGAAATCAATTTAAACGCATTGAACGCACTCATCACGTAACTTTGACAAATACAGGACAACGTACTTGTTTGGGATTTGTTTAATAGCAAAACTAAGAAAACAAAAACATAGTACAATAATCATTTATTGGGATAATCAAGTCACCAATTGCCTCAAAACCAATTATTTTGGCGGTTTCTTAATGATTTATTCGAGAAAATATCCTCTCTTTTTTCCTTCAATTTGGCTTTTTCTGCATCCAATATAACAAAGTAATATTTGTTTTGTTTCAATTTTAGTCCAACGTTTTTAATAATGCTTGTTTGTGTAGTACTATTATTTTATGCTAATTTTTTCTATGACTTTTATTTTCAAATCTGACTATTTAATATTCATTTATTACGATATTTTTTATTGATTATTCATTGTCGTAATATTTTTAACGGTTATCGTATCTAAATAAGTTATTCCCAGAATCCATGTAAGCTTCTCGACCGGACTTTGAACCTTCCCATTGGAGACAGTCAAAAGGAACCGTGTCCATCTTCGGTTCCTCTGCCTCTAAAAATTATTCCTTTCTTTCAACTTCGTAATCTTACTTCACATATCATCTCTCTCTCTCTCTCTCTGTCTTTGTTTAGATCTCTTCTTCCCACGATATCAAAATCTTCTCGGGTGGGTTTTCCCCGATCTGGGTCGGATCTGATTCCTCGGAAGCAACGAATCTCGAGGCTTCTTTTTGTTTTGGCTTTCGGGGAAAGGCTAGAATCATTTCTCTATAACGGAGATATAACATAAAGTTCCTTACTTCAGCTAATTAGCTTCATTTGTGGTTGGTCTGCTTCTTGATCTGGGTATACAAAAAAAATTCCTTTTTTGGCAAATTATTTCTGGGTTTGGGGTTTCGAATTTCGATCTGTTTTCGGGTGTTTGAGTGATTGAATTTCGAGTCTTACTGTCTTATATCTGTTAAAAGTTGTCGGCTTTACTCTAGGCATTTGGGGATTTTGCTTGGGTTTTGGGTTTTATCTCCAATTTTTCAGATTTGTTTGCTCTAGTCTGATATCGGAGAGTTGCAACAATTAGGTTTATGAATTGGTCGAAATTTGCAATCTTTACACTTGTGTTTCTCAGTTGAGAGGGTTTTAGGTTTTAAGATGATGGAACTTGAATTGGGTTTCTCCTTGTGAAAGATTGAGTCTTTTTAAAGCGCTTTTGTTTGTTATATCCCACTACTGAGATATGGCAAGCACCATTGATGTTACCAAGTATGGTCACAGTCCTGTTCATCACGCTGTTGTCACAAGGGATTATGCCGGTCTCAAGAAACTATTATCCGCTCTTCCGAAGATGCGTGACCCTTCTGAGGTTAAAAACGAAGCAGCTTCTGTAGCTGAAGAGACCAAAGCGGATTCAATTGCAGCTGTTATAGACAGGCGTGATGTAGTTAACCGAGACACTGCTCTTCATTTAGCTGTAAAGCTCGGGGATGAGACCTCCGCGGAGATGCTTATGGCTGCAGGAGCTGATTGGAGCTTGCAGAATGAGCATGGATGGAGCGCTCTACAAGAAGCTATTTGTGGTAGAGAAGAGAGGATCGCTATGATTATCGTCAGGCATTATCAGCCTCTAGCTTGGGCTAAATGGTGCAGGAGGCTGCCTCGGCTTCTTGCTACGATGCATAGAATGAGAGATTTCTATATGGAGATCACTTTCCATTTCGAGAGTTCTGTTATACCTTTCATTTCCAGAGTGGCTCCTTCGGATACTTATAAGATTTGGAAGAGGGGTGCGAATCTTAGAGCAGATATGACATTGGCTGGGTTTGATGGTTTCAGGATTCAAAGATCAGATCAGACCATACTTTTTCTTGGAGATGGGTCAGAGGATGGTAAAGTTCCTTCCGGTTCTCTTCTTATGATATCACATAAGGATAAGGAGATTATGAATGCTCTAGACGGTGCTGGAGCTGCCGCATCAGAAGAAGAAGTTCGTCAAGAAGTGGCTGCAATGTCCAAAACAAGCATTTTCAGACCCGGGATCGATGTTACTCAAGCTGTTCTCTTCCCGCAATTAACTTGGAGGCGTCAAGAGAAGACAGAAATGGTTGGGCAATGGAAAGCAAAAGTATATGATATGCACAATGTAGTTGTTAGTATAAAATCAAGAAGAGTACCGGGTGCAATGACCGATGAGGAGCTTTTCTCAAACACTAATCAAGAAAACGATACAGAAAGCGAGGATCTTGGAGATATCTTGACCGAAGACGAGAAGAGGCAGCTGGAGTTAGCACTCAAGTTGGATTCACCGGAAGAATCTTCTAACAGTGAGAGCTCTAGGATTTCTCAAAAGCAGAATAGTTGTTCTTTTGAGGATCGAGAGATTCCAGTAACGGATGGAAACGGGTATTGCAAACAGGAGAAGAAAGGATGGTTCAGTGGATGGAGGAAACGAGAGGAAGGGCACAAACGAAGTAGTGTTCCTCCAAGAAGTTCACTTAGTGTCGATGAGAAAGTAAGCGATCTTCTTGGGGACGATGATTCTCCATCTCGTGGAGGAAGACCGATAAAACCGGGAAGACACTCAACGGTTGAGACTGTTGTGAGGGATGAAAACCGGGGATCAAGGGATTCATCAAAAGCTTCAACATCAGAAGGCAGTGGAAGTAGCAAGCGAAAAGAAGGAAGCAAAGAGAATGAGTACAAGAAAGGGCTTAGACCGGTTCTTTGGCTTTCAGAGAGATTCCCATTACAGACAAAAGAACTTCTTCCATTGCTCGATATCCTTGCAAACAAAGTCAAAGCAATTCGGCGTTTGAGAGAGCTTATGACCACGAAACTACCTGCGGGAACATTCCCAGTCAAGGTCTGTTTATAACCTTCTATGATCAGAATCATCATTTTTGTCCAGCTTTTTGCTCATTTCATTTCGATTTGCAGGTTGCTATTCCCGTAATTCCTACGATTAGAGTACTCGTCACATTTACAAAGTTTGAAGAGCTAGAAGCTATTGAAGATGAGTTTGTTACACCGCCATCTAGTCCAACTTCTTCGGTGAAGAACAGTCCTAGAGAAGAAATACAGAGCTTATCAAACTCATCCTCCTCATGGTTTCAATGGATCAAAACACCGAGCCAACGTCCATCAACAAGCTCGAGCTCTGCAGGGTTTAACATTGGTAAAGCCGAAAACGATCAAGACCCATTTGCAATTCCAAGAGGATACAATTGGATCACAGCTGAAGAGAAGAAAAAGAAGGTCCAAGAGAAGAATAAAGCTAAGAAGGGCAAGTCATCTCAGAACAGCTGAAGAAAAAGAAAACATAAGTAAGGAAAGATCTTTCTTTGTCTCTGAGAACATAAATACTCAAAGTAGGAAAAATCTAGCAGATTATTATTACTGGGAAAAAAAAAATCGAAACTTTTTCCTGGTTCTTGTACTAATAAACCAGGGAAAAAAACAAATTCAATTATATATAGTGGGGGAAATTGAGGGAATGATGTGGGTTAATGTTGTTGTGACTTTATATTTGCTTAATTATGATTCTTTCTTTGTCTTCTGGTTTTAATCGTTGGAGATGATTATTATATCTCTGTATCATCATCATCTTGAAATAAGCAGCAATTGTTGGTATGAGATCAAGTTGATAAAGATTCTTGGAAACTTGGTATGAGATCTCTTGTAGAAAGATCGAGAATTGTTTTCGATTATAAACTCTGACTCTCGTAAGATTTTTGATTCCGCTTTTGTTGAAACAAATATCTCAAGCGGCTCGAGTTCCTTAAAGTTGAGTGTTTATACTCAATGATGGATTTACGAAAAACTCTCTTACTAAAAATCAACACATTTCAGACAGAGTGTTAAGAAACAAAACACGTAACACAAAAAGATAATAATGTCACTGGATTTTACAGACACCACAGTATTTTCTTCTAGAATTTCCTGCATGTTCTCCGTCCTCCGATGCGCTGCAAATAAAATTCCACAAACGCAGATTAAACGTATTTCCTAGGTAAACCGGTAACTAAAGGTATTCCTAATAACCGGTGCATAAAAAAATTAAAAACTTAGTGGTTGTGTATAGATTACCTAAGCTCAAACTCTTGAACATGAGCAATATCTTTGCCATAAGCATCAGGCCAGCTTACTTTCCTCTGTTCCAAGCTTTTCTCGGCCTCTGTCCTCATCTTGAGGTTGCTTTTGAGACGGCAAGGCTCGCTGGAGACGGCGGTGCAGCTTCTTCCACCGTGTCTCTTAGGCGGTTGATGCTGTCGGCGCCGTCTTCCTCCTCCTCCTCGGAAGCCAAGTTGACCATCTTCGTCTTTCGTGTTGGATTTATTAATAATGTCGTCAGAACAAGTAGTCCTTGACGGTACGTAACAAGACCGGACTAAAGCCGAACACTTTTCTCTTGTTGATGTCGCCAGGTGGTCCAAACTAATGATCCCAGTTACCCGTAGTACTCAATCGAACACAAACTAGACCAAAGAACCTCTCTTAACTTTAAAAAAGACTTGTGTTTGGGGTTTGTGTGATTAGGGTTGAAAGAAAATGAGAGAAGAAAGGCATGAGAAAAGGAGAGAAAGAGAGTAATTAGTGTTTAATGTTTTGTGGGTTTAGGCAATGATGCATTTTTGGCATTATGGATCGCTTTTGTGGGGTTTTCTTGCTTTTTATTTCAATAAGTTTTTGATTTGGGTTTCATTTAAAGAAAAATTGAGTTCGTATTGGATCTTTAAACAAACAATGGAGAAGTAGTTTGTTGGTCCAGATGAGCGTTCTAAAATATTATTATATCAAGAAGCACTAGTTCTAATCTTTTAAACTATATAAACCATACCAATCATCGCCAACTATATCAAAAACAAAATTCAAAATTTTTGTCAGTAACATTTAGCTACTTAGCTCTCTGCCAAAAAAAAAAAAACATTTAACTACTAATTAGCTCAATAGCCAACCGATTGAACGTCCATCATCGTCTTTCTATTTGTGTCTACAAGATACTAAATATGTGTGTATATCTCTAATAAGTGTCGCCTAAACTTGCATTATCATCTACTTTATTTGTTTGTATACGAGAGTATCTATCTGTCCATATGTCATTGTGTACTGTATACTAAACGTAGTATGTATAAATATGCACTTGAGCATGTTTAGTATATCAATATTGTTATTTATATACACAACTTACTATATCTAGTATAGTTTATACACAAACAAAAAAGATGATAAATGCATTTGGGCCATAGATGGTAATAATAACAGCTAACAAAGTATGTTAAGGCGTGGCGTTGGAATGAATTATCATGATGATGTTTCCATTAGCCTATTTACACCTTTTTTAAATGTAACATTTTTACCCTATTCTTGGTTTCTTTTCATGCAACCAAGCCACTATAGCTTGGGAGTATAAGTGTATAACGTTTCCACAAGATTTTGTTACAAAATATAATGGTACATTAACAAATCCGTATTTTTGAACCAAGGATTGATTCACAAATTTACAGCTAAACAAACAAAAGGGGCCAAATTGAATAACTAAAAAACTATTGGACCTAATATTAATTTAAAACAAAGCCAAGTCGTCTTTTGCGAAAAGTAAACGCGACACGTACGGCCACCTGATTAACACGTAGGCCCATCTCTTTGCTTCGAAATGCACACTTAAATAAAACGAGATAATTGTTTTGATATAACGTTTCCCAAAAAAAATAAAATAAAAATAAAAATAGACGTTAGGTACTATGATTTGAATCTAGTTTCACACATAATTATGGAATTACTGAACATTAATTTAATTTAAACAAAATTATCAAAAAAAATCCAAAACAAAAAAATTGAATATCATAAGATCTAATAAAAGGGAAAATGTTAGAGAAATAATAAAAGCATAACGGATTTTCACCAGTCAAAAAATTCAGACTTTGGAAAAACCATCGGACATTTTTTATATATATTTTGAATTACCGACAAAATTAATTAGAATAACCACTTTCTAGAAACATTGGGCGAAATATCTCTTTTTTAAAAATATGTAAAACCACAGTATATATTTTGTTATTAACTATATATTCAGCAGAATACAGTTAAGGATGGGCGTTATTTATGAGGACAAATAACAACTATGAACTAGATTTGAAAAAAAAAAAACAAAAAAATTGGCCAAGTCGAAATCGTGTGAGAATAATGGGGACGGATATGGTACGTGGCAATATTTTATAGGTTAAAAAAACGACCAGCCCGCGGTATTTTAGATCCAGTTGACGATAATGTACCAGGACGAGAATCTGTCTAGGTTCCTTCTTCTTCTTCCACAATATAATTATTTCTTCACACACCCCTAGAGAGAGAAAGAACGGTGTTACCGGATTTAGGAGAGATAAAGTAGGTTTCTTCATTTAGAATCAGAGATACAGAGTTTGCGATGATGATGATGATTCAGAGGAGAGTAGGAGGTGAGAGACAAGACTCGTCGGCGGCGGCGTACAACGTTGTCCATAAGTTGCCTCACGGAGACAGTCCTTATGTCCGAGCGAAGCATGTTCAGGTAAAGAATATATATACGAATTTGTGATTTTTATCAAACGGAATCGAGTTTACATTGGTTTGGGTGGGAAAACTTATTTAGATTTTGGATTTGATGTTTGGTTCAGTTGGTGGAGAAAGATGCAGAAGCAGCAATAGAGTTGTTTTGGAGAGCGATTGAAGCTAGAGATAGAGTGGATAGTGCTCTTAAAGACATGGCCTTGTTGATGAAACAACAGAACAGAGCTGAAGAAGCCATTGACGCTATTCAATCCTTTCGAGATCTTTGTTCCAGACAAGCTCAAGAATCATTAGACAATGTCCTCATCGATCTCTATAAGGTAAATAAACTCTCACCGATACCATTCTCGTGTTTTCTCTAGGTTACTGTTTTATTAGATAGTAAAATTGACAGACTTGGGTTTCCGAATTTTGGAGCAGAAGTGTGGGAGAATAGAAGAGCAAGTTGAGTTATTGAAGCAAAAGCTTTGGATGATATATCAAGGAGAAGCATTCAATGGCAAACCAACAAAGACTGCGAGATCTCATGGCAAGAAGTTTCAGGTCACGGTCGAGAAGGAAACCTCTAGGATCTTGGTAAGATTATCTCACTGCCAGTCTTTAGTTTTGATTACATTTCTCAAGTCTCTTGATCAATGAGCTGATGGATTTGAATGAATGTGGTGTTACAGGGGAACTTGGGATGGGCTTATATGCAGCTAATGGACTATACAGCAGCTGAAGCTGTGTACCGGAAAGCTCAATTGATAGAGCCAGATGCAAACAAGGCTTGTAATTTGTGCACATGTCTCATCAAGCAAGGGAAGCACGATGAGGCGAGGACGATTATCTTTCGCGATGTACTAATAGAGAACAAAGAAGGGTCTGGTGATCCGCGGTTGATGGATCGGGTTCAAGAGCTATTGAGTGAGCTCAAGCCACAGGAAGAAGAAGCAGCGGCTTTAGCTTCTGTGTCTGTGGAATGTGAAGTTGGTATGGATGAGATCGCAGTTGTCGAAGGACTTGATGAGTTTGTGAAGGAATGGAGGAGGCCTTATAGGACAAGAAGACTTCCGATTTTCGAAGAGATCTTACCACTGAGAGATCAATTGGCTTGTTGATGATTCTCTGTGTGTTTGGATTGATGGTTTGAATACTGAATAGGAACTTTTTTTTGGGTAGAAGAATGTAGTCAATAGAGAGTTTACCTCTTGTAAGCTTTTTTGGGTGGTGTTGTGTGTTATTACCGCAATGTTAAATAATCTCATTCCAAAAGTAGTTGATGTTATATCCATAAATAGAGCAGTATCAGATAATGTGTCAATTTAGTTGGAGGAATATAAAACCGATCATTAGACTTCTAGATTACAAAAGCATAAAGGCCTAACCTATATAATAAGTAAACACAAGAAAAAGCTTAAATCTCTCTTCCAAACAGTTGATTTCTAAGGATCATTCTCGGTACCGAAGTCATTTTTTGTTTACCTAAAAGAAGGAAAAATACAAAAGAGAACGAGAAAAGAGGATAACTATACCGGGATGATTTCTAAATCAGCTTAGTAGCAATGTGGGTGGTCTGATCCATCGGAATCGAGTTTTAAGTACACTTGAAGCCATGACAAACCGACAAAATGATGATGAGAATCAAAGCAACGATGATGCCAAAGACTATGAGCTTTATCTTCATGTTTTCAAACCACAACTTTCTTTTCATCTTTGTTCCTTGTGTTCTAAAATCTTGTGCCTTTTAACAAATTCAGAAAAAGAAGAGCATGTTATACCACTTAATAAGAGTCTATATGTAGTGTCTCTATACTGTATTAGAGATTTGGTTATTAACCTGTGAGCGAAGGTTCTCAGTTTTGTCTACTAATAGCTCGATTTTCTCGCCACGGTCAAGGACCTGCCATAGGATTAAATTGCAGAAAACACATTCAGCTTACACGTGAGGAGTTTCCGAGGAGGAAAACATGGATAATTTAGTCTAACCTTCTCAATATTCTCCATCATAACACCCTTCACTTCAGTCACCTGAGCCTTAACCTTGGAAAGTTTGCTAATCTCCTCAGGATGATCCGCACAGTACTGCATGTGCTCCTTCAATTTAGACCTTCATTCATTACAACAAAACCAGTTGAAAACACATCCACAAAGATGGAATTGAAGAAATGCTGATTATAAATGTTAAAAGTACCCGAATTCTTTGTTTAAGCTGTTGGCTTTAGCAGTGGAAGCCTTTCCACCACCGTATCTCTTGTTGAAATCCTCCTTGACTCTCTCTAAGAAAGCCATTGGTATCTGCCTCCCAGCAGATTCAACAACAACAACACAGTAGGCTGCAATAACAACAACAGAGGAAAATATCAAATGACCAAAGACTAAGACATGCAAGGAAATATAACCTAATACATGCTTTTAAGACTCTTCATATATTTGGCCCGACAACTTATGAATCGGGACATAAGGAAGGATTCACATATGTAAACAATTCCACGAGAATCGAATGCAACCAATATCCTTCGAAACCCAAAGAGATCGCGAACTATATATATAGATCGAATCTAAGCATTCAAAAACGAACAAAGAAATCGAGGAATAAACAGAGAAATACAGAGCGAAATCAACATGCGAACGTGTTTCAGATCGGGAGATGGAGACTTACTGAAGCCATTATCAGCGAGATAATTGAAAGTGTGACCGTCGCAATTGTAGGTGAATTTGTTGTTTGATGACGGAAGTTTCTGGAGGCACTGAGCGGCGACGGACGTGAAATTGCCCTTGAATTCGGTATACTCGGCGAGGATCACCGTACCTCGAGCGACGAAGCTGTAGATCAACGATTGTTGTCCCATTCTTCCTTTTATCCAGATGAGAAAAACAAAAAAACGAACCCTAACAACACCACAAAAAGCCGATCGAATTGATCAGAGAGATTAGTAAGCGATGTAAAAATACACAAGGGAACGAGGGGTAGCGATGGAGAGAGCAGGACGCATAGATCGGAGAAGAGAAACTATATGAGAACGCTCGATTTGCGCGAGAAACCAGAGAGATAATTTTTCCTTTTGCTAACGTTCAAATTTTGAATTTTATATATAAAAAGAAAATAAAAGGAAACATTCATCGTTTGTAATTTTGTATAGTCGAATTAATTGCCTTTTTTGTCGTAAATATTTCTGTCTTATTAATAGTCGTATTTTCACTTTTTTACGCCACGGTGGCTCGATTTCAGTTCAAATGTTAAATAGACTTTATTCGAATATATAGTGATTTTTTATCAAGAAAATTGCAATGTGTAAAGGATATTGAGCTGTTCAATTTTATACGTTTACACTTATTTCATTTGTTTTCGGCTGTCATTGAGAATTTATAAGAGATTATTATGTTACTTAAAGAATGTTCAATTGATAATGTTGCAACAACATAACCTTTACTTGCATTCCAATTCACCAACCTTCTAAGTTCTAATCACAACCTAACTACCAAAGTTTACATTATTTGAGGTTGAGTTTGACGGTTGATCAAATATCTAGGAGCACGTTACAAAAAACATAGTGTGGTTAGAGAAATGCAGAGACATTATTAGATAAATGGTAGAACTTCGAATTGTGTTGCTGTAACAGATACTATGAGTCTATGGCTATGAGCTCCGGTCCATTGAGTTAGAATTTGTTTCTTGTCAACATCCAAGTTTCAATAAGAATTAGTAACTAAGCTAAGAATGGGATCAATATTCAATGGTAAATTTGGAAAAGAAGAAGATATTTTGAGGAAGACAGAGACAGACTCTGTGTTTCTCTTCGACCATGGGACCTGAACTTGTCCTAAAATTGGTAAATTACTAAAAGTGCCATCCGCAGAGTCCACGAGCTTTTTGGCTGGATCCGGGCGGGTCCAAATTTCTCGAGATTTGATCTCGAGCTTTTGAAATTGTTTTTTAGTCCTTAAATTCTAGGCTTTATACTATTTTTTTACCCAATCTGATTACGTTAAATGACTACATTACCCTTGACTCCTTTCCTACTTTTTCTTCTCTCTTGTCCACTTTAGTCCTCGATTTGTTGTTGTTTAGTCTTCTAGATCTGTAGTTTATTACGCGACCGCCCTTAAAATTTCTCTGATCGGACGGTCGATTGGATCGGAGATTTAGGTGAAGGAAGAATGGCGCAACAATCGTTGATCTACAGTTTCGTCGCTCGCGGCACGGTGATCCTCGTTGAGTTCACTGATTTCAAAGGTAATTTCACCTCAATCGCTGCTCAGTGCCTCCAGAAGCTTCCGTCTTCCAACAACAAGTTCACCTACAACTGCGACGGTCATACCTTCAACTACCTTGTCGAAGATGGATTCAGTAAGTCCGTTTTCGTCTGATCTATACATAGGTTTTGATGTATTCCTAAACCTTACACCACTCGGTTCTTACATCGATTTGTATCTAGGTTTATTTGGCTTGTCTCTTTATTTGCGTAACCTCTTTCTATCGATTCGTGTGGATTTTTGCATTCTGAGTAGTCTGATTTCTCTGAGGAACTGCATGAACCAAGGTTTTAGGGTTAGATCTGTATTTTTTTAATTGCAACAGATCTCTGTAGAGTCTTACTTGTATTATCGCTCAGTTTTTGGATGGAATCCGTGGTAGCTTTGGTTGATACTATGTGGAAGAACACCAACATTGATCTGGGATAGGGTTTTTACTGGTTGATTTATTTGCTTATAGTTTCCTAGGTCATGTGGCGTTATTTTCCAATGAATCTGGGGTCTGATTGTGATTATCCTATAGTTGTTGTAGCCATATCAGTTTCATATTAAATCAATGTCACTTGATTATCCCGGAAGGGAATGTCTTCTGCTGTATCCGCTAAATGAGATTGATTTTGTTCCTGTTGTGCAGCCTATTGTGTTGTTGCGGTTGATTCTGCTGGGAGGCAAATTCCTATGGCCTTTCTGGAAAGAGTAAAAGAGGATTTTAACAAGAGATATGGTGGTGGAAAAGCTGCAACTGCTCAAGCAAACAGCTTGAATAAGGAGTTTGGGTACTTTTTTCTTTTCTTTATCTCGCCTATTTATATCAATGATTTTCTCTTTTATATTCGTGATCTGACTCTTGTTGGTAAATCTGAAGCTCTAAACTGAAAGAGCATATGCAGTATTGCATGGATCATCCAGATGAGATTAGCAAGCTTGCTAAGGTGAAGGCGCAAGTGTCAGAAGTTAAGGGTGTAATGATGGAAAACATCGAGAAGGTTTGAATCCGACCCTTTCCATCGTCAATGTATATATTTTATATCTATGATTGACCTATCTGAAAGAGCTCATCTAGTTATACTAAGTTATTGTTAAATCTCTTGATTTGGTAATTACTAATTATTCAATGCATCACATCTAAGGGAATTGTCCAGTTTACCAATGTAACAACTGCATATGCAACTCATTATTTGCAGGTTCTTGACCGTGGTGAGAAAATTGAGCTTTTGGTGGACAAAACCGAAAATCTTCGCTCACAGGTTAGACTCTCTCATGCCCTTATGTCCTGCATTTATATGTCTACACTCACACACAAAGATAAGCATGCTTTTTCAGTTCATAGCTGGCTCATCCTATTATCGTATCTTGTGTCCAACTAAAATTCCAACTGCTACAGGCACAAGATTTCAGAACAACAGGAACACAGATGAGAAGAAAGATGTGGCTTCAGAACATGAAGATAAAACTCATAGTGCTCGCCATCATTATCGCCCTGATTCTCATCATCGTGCTCTCAGTTTGCCATGGGTTTAAGTGTTAAGCCCAGAAAATTCAAAAATTCTGAGATCTTTCTCACTCGGTACATCGTACTGCCTTCTTTTTTATTGTTCGATCCTCATTCTAATGTTTCTGCTTGAATTGGTTTTGTATAGATAGACATATATGTATGCTACTCATTTGCTATGTTGCTTGCATCTGATGACATTGATCCCTTGCGAACCAGTCAGTATTTGACAAGAGATCCGAAACTATTAAATGATTTTGTTGACTGAAGATTGCATTGTGATGATGATGATAAAAAAATTGATAGTGATAATGATGATTATACTGACCATTATACGGCGTGATGTGAGGTGGTAACTTCAAATTAATACAAGAGTAGTGCCCTGTCTATATCGTTACTAGAGACTCGGAAGTCTATTTATACTTAAGTCATACCCCTCTACTATATTCCGACAACCTCCGAGGTTGTTTTGTCCTAACTCGGCTGCAAACGGCTTCAGGGACTGGCCAGAACGTTTGAGTAGATCTTGATGGCCGTTGGGTCGTTTATTAGTCCAAATTTACGTGTTTACCATTAGGAGCAACCAATACATGTTTTGTCGAAACACATACAGAATTTGTTGTTGATATCACTAGCAGAAATCAAGAAACAACAATCCGTAGGCATAACGGTGCTAAAATTTGGGCTATTTTAGAGAAGCGGGCCGAATATTTAATGGGCTGAAAAACCTAATTTGAGATCCTGCATCCACAGCTTTCCCGCTAAAACACTCTCTCGTTCCCGCTCAAGCTCACACCAGATTCCGATTTCACTTTTGTTCACGGAGCACCAATCCCAACAAAATTTCTGATACGGCCGATCATATCAGAGAATGGAATTCGATATCCCATTGCCGGAAGAGCTTGAGCTTCTAGAAGCCAATTCTCATATCTATGAAGAAGAAGAAGACGACGACTACCTAAACTTCGAGGAGCCGCCATATCCTTACCCAATTGACGGCGATGAAGAAAAAGAAGAAGAACGCGTCGCGCAGAAGGAGCCTCATGTCCAACAATTGGAATCATCTGATATCAACGGTTGCAAACGACCCAGAAGTCTAATCTCGGATCCGATTGTGAATGTCGACGAAGTCTCTCCAGCTTCTGATAAGAGAAGCAAAATTGATGATAACCGGGTAGAAATTGAAGATGAGGATTGGTTACGCTTCTCGCCGGTTAAGGAAGTAGTTCACGTTATGGAGGAGGAAGAAGAAGTTGTCATTCCCCAGGAGACTATTTTGTCCAGGTTACTATACTGTTCATGAGGCTTACCGACTCGGAAATTTTGATTTCTTTTTTAGTAATCTCGTTATTGGAATTTGCAGATACGCTTCTGAGATAGATGGGGAATGCGTTCCGATAACGGCACCGGACGGAGGAGAGAGGGTTTATGCGAAATTCTGCCGGGCTTTGGGAGATGAAGAGGTGAAGAAATTGGATGTGAAAGACAAGTCTCATGGTACTAAGATCAGATTAGCTTTAAATTATGTTATTTGATGGTCGTAACTGTTTATGCTAGAACTTCACTGTGGACTCGTTTTCCCCGACACCGTTGGATTCGTAATGGGGAGTACAATCTTCTGACAAGAACTCCAATTTTCTCGGTTGTAACTTATATCATTCATTAATTTTTTTGCAGGTCTTATTAAAGATCCAATCAGTGTTCTTTTGCAGCAATCAGAGAAAGAGGCATTTAACAAGGTCTTGCAAGCTAGTTCTGAAGATCAGAATGAAACCAATTCTGCAGAAGCATCTGTAATGCATGAGAAACTCTGGGTAGACAAATATTCTCCGAGCTCATTTACTGAGCTTCTTAGTGATGAGCAGACCAATCGAGAGGTATTGTTCATTTCTTGGTGATGACTGATGAATCTGGTAAATTAGATGAATAAAAATCAGTAGAATTATTTTAGACAGAGGCTTATTTGTTCTAGTAGTTGACCGTTATTAATGTTATTTGCAGGTCCTGTTATGGCTTAAGCAGTGGGATGCTTCTGTTTTTGGATCTGAAATTAGGAGCACGACAGAGGAAGTATTGTCAGCTTTGAAACGACATTCTACCTCAAGTCATCATCAAAAATCGGATTCAGCTTTTACTAGGAAAAAGCAGTTCAATAGATGGAGTAAGGAGAGTTTTGGATATCCTAAAAATGCAGACGTGAGCAATACCAACACTGCAGATAATAATGACTTGTGGAACAAAAAGTCAAAACTTACTGGTCCTCCTGAGCAAAAGGCGAGAGATAAACTGATCTAGACTTCAAGTTTATTTTTATAAGCTGCTTCTGGGCTGTCTTGTATTATAATCATAAGTATGCATCAGTTGTAAAAATCGTATTTTCACTGTTGTTGTAGATCCTTCTGCTTTGTGGTGCCCCTGGACTTGGAAAGACAACGCTTGCTCACATTGCAGCTAAGCATTGTGGATATCGTGTTGTTGAGGTATTCTTGTATACCTTTTACTTTCCATGACAGCATTCCTTAATGAATGGATTCTTCTATTCTTGTGTATTAGGTTTAATTCATCCTGTGTTATTTTGCAGATCAATGCTAGCGACGAGCGATCAGCATCAGCCATTGAAACTAGAATTCTTGACGTAGTTCAGATGAACTCGGTTACAGCTGATTCTAGACCTAAATGTTTGGTATGCCTTACGTACTCTTTGTTCGCTTGGGACCTTTTTCATTATGTCGAATTGTATTACTCCGAGTTGTTTGAAGTGGAAGAGACTGACACTAATTTATGTAGGTGATTGATGAGATAGATGGAGCTCTTGGTGATGGAAAAGGAGCAGTTGATGTTATTCTAAAGATGGTATGTATATGTATACTGGTACTGAGATTTAGGTTAAGTGTGGCGTGTACTTAGTATCAACTCTTTGCTTGTTTAACCTTTTTATAACCCTTTAAATTGTCATTCTTTCCCAGTCTCAGTAACTGCACGAAGGTTTTTGGTTATTCCTATCTTACGTTTCTAACTCCAAACCTTCTTTGATTCTCTTAATTATTTCTTAAATTTTTATTCTCCTCTTGGAGACCAATTTGGAAATGTCTATGTATTAGCATTTGTAAGTATATAATTGTGTCTTTGCCCTGCATAGGTGTTGGCAGAAAGAAAGCATGCTACTGGCAAGGAAAATATAGAGAATGTAAAGACTTCCTCGAAGAAGGAGCGCCGAACAGCACCACTATCAAGACCTGTGATTTGTATATGTAATGATCTATATGCACCAGCACTTAGACCTCTGCGACAGATAGCAAAGTAAGTTCAACCTTCTGTTGGTTTTAAGGGCCTCTTTTTCCTGTTTGTGTGGTGAAGCTAGCACTTTTTTACGTAGAGCATACTGATTTCAAAATGTTAAACTCTCTTCAGAACATGTTGGCTATTTCTGCATATCATATGCTTATTCTTGAGAAATATTCTCTTAGTATGACGATGCCCCCATGCTTCTGTTGCAGGGTTCATATATTTGTTCAACCAACGGTGAGTCGTGTGGTAAACAGGTAACTATTTGTTACTCTATTGTGTGCGAAGAAGAACTCTTCTAAGTTTCTTTATTATTTTGTTTTATCTTGGTGAAGCTACGGCCATTGGTAAATACTAATCTAACTGTTAGTCACCTGTAAGACTATCTTCCACTCTGAATTGAGAGTCTGGAAATTTATCATTCCACAAGATATGACTAAATTTGTAAAATACTATGAAATGATGCAGCACATCTCATTGCTATCATGGTTAGCGAGTATTTTGGATAAGAACCAGTGACCTAAATTCATATCAAAGTCAGTATTTCTCCCTGATTTTATTTATCTATCAAAATCGCCTTACTAGGCTGAGATGTGTGCAAATGACAGGCTCAAGTATATCTGTAATATGGAGGGGATGAAAGCAAGATCATTCGCTCTTAGTGCTCTTGCGGAGTACACTGGTATCTATCTCCCTTTAATTTGGTTCTTAGTGTGATCTTAATTTTCTTAGAGAAAAAATTAGCCATGTATTTGTTTCCTAAATGATTCTGCTATCTTTTGCCTTTTATTTGGTGGTTACAGAATGTGACATTCGCTCTTGCTTGAACACACTGCAATTTCTCTACAAGAAGAAAGAAACCATCAATGTGGTGAGACTTTGAGACCCTTCTTGCACTGGCTATGTGTTTTCCACTTTCGATTTGATTTATACTCACTGGAAAATCTAACTTTACCAGACTCTAAACTGAAGAGAAAAAACTGCTCAGCGCCTTGCCAACTAAAATACAAAATCTCTTGCTGGACTTATGAGCCGTCATTAGTTTTTGAAAACCAATTGCTTTTATGTATTTAATGAGTTAATTAGGCCCATCTAGCTAGGAACACTGTAACAGTTTTTCAACATTTTTGTTCTTTAGGCAATTAACTTTCTATTTGGTCTCCCATTCTTGGGGATTTAGTTTTCTGATAAGCTAAGAACCGCCTCATTCTTTCTCTTTTAGATTGACATTGGATCTCAAGTTGTTGGGCGGAAAGACATGTCAAAGAGTCTGTTTGATATCTGGAAAGAGGTAAGCCCAATTAAAGTGTCGAAGCAATCTTTACTGACAGATAACTTCATTTTATAGCCAAGCTTGCTTCGTCGTTTTAGATATTCACCACGAGAAAAATGAAACGAGAACGATCTAATGACGCTTCTGGTAGTGGGGCCAAAACCTTTGACTTCTTACACACTCTCGTATCCAGTCGGTATGTACACGACAATGATTTTTTCTTTCATATTTCATAACTTTTGTGCTTTGTCTATTCATCCTTAAGTTTAACTGAATGTGCAGGGGTGATTATGATTTGATTTTTGATGGTATACATGAAAACATTTTGCAGCTCCACTACCATGATCCAGTGATGGACAAGACAGTAAGGCTAATTAATGACTTTGAATCCCTATGACTGTTTTGTTCTGTATGTTTGTGCGGTTATGTTCTGAAATAACATATGTGTAATCTCGTTTATTTAAAGATTAGCTGCTTGGACTGTCTTGGAACTTCTGATTTGCTGCATCGATACATAATGCGCACCCAGCAAATGCCTCTCTATGGTAAAGGCTTTAAAGCTCAGATGGTTGCAGAGTTCTGTAAATAAGACTGATCTTTTCTTTTTACCTTGTGATGCAGTTTACTTTCCTAGCCTGGTGATACCTATACACCGTCGTGTGGCCCAGATTCAAAAACCAATTATTGAGTGGCCTAAGTCATACCACAGGTGATTTTGGTGCATCTTTTATTGATTACGGAAGGCATTCAAAGCGTCCCTTCTTACTAGTACTTCTCAATATCAAATGTACCAGATGTCGAACACTTTTGGTAGAAAAGCAGGAGTCTCTGCGGTCTTGGCACCACAAGATACCTCCCTATATTGGGAGGCATTTGTCAATCAAGTCTTTCGTAGAAGACTCTATTTCCCCGCTATTGCATATTCTTTCTCCCCCAACTCTTAGACCGGTATGTCTTCATCTGTTGGTTGTTGATTTTTCTTTGTATTCATGGTTTACTGTGCCACCTTTCATAAATCATGCTGCTCTTCTAAGGATATCATCTTGCTGTTCTCCTCAGGTGGCATCGCATTTGCTATCAGATAGGCAAAAGGATCAACTGGCGGGTTTGGTCATGCTTATGTGTTCTTATTCTTTGACTTATAAGAATGTGAAATCTGATCCTGTTCTGAGTAACCTCAGGGATGATGCTGCTTCAGATGCTTTAGTTCTTGCTTTAGATCCACATCTATTTGATTTCATTAATTTCAAGGTTTTGTTTCTGTTTCTGTTTCTTTTCTTTTTCTTAGTATCAGTCCACTATATTCTGCCTTTGGAGATAATACTCATCCCCTTTCCAACATTTGACAGGGTCACCAATTTAAACATCACGTACTCGCCTTAGCGATGAAACAAGTGTTGGTACATGAAGTAAGCCACATCTTTTTCCACTGAACTTGTTACGGATTTGTGCCTTAAGCTGCATGAAGATCTTGATTGTATGGTTTTCTAAAAAAAGTTAAAAACTCAGGTTGAGAAGCAAAAGATACTGCAAGCAAGTGGAGGAAGGTCCGGGATCCTGAACAAACCCGAAATCAAGAAAATAAATCAAGACCTAGCAAGGAAAACCAATGCTGCAGCAAATGAAAGTCAAAGAAATCCAATCACCTCTAAACCTCCGTCAGTCTCAGTTGGGATTGCCACAACTTCAAAACCTAATTCTAGTGATGTGAAAAAGGCATCTCGCACCGCCCTTAATTTCTTCGACAGGTAATTGGAGGAAATGTCATTTTTCTCAACTAGAACTTCATTATATCCCAAGCTTTTATCACCCATAAATATGGTGGATAAATTGCCTCATCGGAATCATTTTCAAGCAGACAGCTCAGTGTCATAAATCATGATCCTAAACTAATCGCATATTTGTCTGGTACAAACAGGTTTAGGAAGTCAAGGAAAGATTATGAAGATCCAGAGGATGTACAAAAGCGAGCAACTGCAAAAAGAGATTCAAGACCTCTTCTCTTCAAGTTTAACGAGGTATGTCACAACCCCCACTATATTGCAACCAAGCAAAAACTCCTCAAAAGAGATTATTCTAAGATAACTATATACAAACCTTATGAGATTCAAACTTTAGGCCAAATTCGAAATATTGACAATGATCTGTATGCTTTATACGTACAGGGTTTCACAAATGCTGTGAAGAGACCAGTTAGAATGCGGGAGTTTCTATTATGATTCTGCAATGAAGTCAGAGTTAGATTGGTGCATAGTTTCATACTAAGCTTTGATCGGATTTACGACAATGTTTGCATATGCTAAGAAAAGCTAAGGAAGAAATGAAATGAAATTGTGTAAATATGCTTGATGTGGAACATCCCACTGCGTTTTTTTGTTCTTTTGAAATCTTATTTACTTAATACAAAAGAACATGAAATTTCATGTAAACCAAATGACAATAAACCCCATCCTGTTAAGTTTCTTTGATATATCTTCAAGGGAATAACGTTCTAATGATTAGTAGAAAAGTTGATTTTGAAGAAATAAAAAAGAGATTTGGGGTGAGAGAGGCTCGAACTCTCGACCTCAGGATCACTCAGTAGCTATGAGACCTACGCGCTAGCCAACTGCGCCACCACCCCTTTTTATTGGTATCATCACAAGAGATAATAAAGTTCGTTTCTATAAAGGACCCTTTGTAATCTACTTTTTTTTTATATAATCATGACTATGCAAAGTGATTTAGTAATACAGGTCTAGGATTGTGCACATACACATGTGACCAACTAATTATATTATGGATATGTTCATAAAGAGTATCTCCATATACATATAACAAAAGAGAGTCAGAAAGTGATAACTAGAAGTTTTGCCTCATGTAAAGGTACTATTGTTATGATTTATTCATCTATAAAGCACTTATTTGTAATGATGTTTATTTGTAGTAGTGTGTTCTAATTTGTAAAAGTCCCTAGCTAGGCTCCTTGGTCAAAAGGCCTTATAGTCCTTCCACTTTCCAGACATCGCGGAGCTCATCCACACCGCCTCCCCTCTCAAACACAGCGGCTGCTCCCATTCCCGAACCTGTGCGGTTTTCCAATCCCAGTAAGAGTGTGCGAGTGAGAAGGAGAGTGTGAGTGAACATATTACATACCTATGCACATTGACACTACGCCAAAACGACAGTCTTTACCACGGCGTTTCATCTCATGCAGCAGCGTCGCAACGCATCTGGCGCCTGAGAATGTGTAATTGCGTTTGTTAGATAAGGAAAGAAATTAATGATATGTGAACATGGAGGAAGCATACCTGTAGCGCCCAAGGGATGTCCGATGGCTATGGCCCCTCCATTGACATTGACCTTTTCCGGGTCAATCCCCAACTTGTTCCGACAATAAACAAACTGAGATGCAAACGCCTGAACACACAGTAGGATTTTAGACATAGGATATAAGGTCTAAAAGGAATAAACTATGAGCTGGAGTAAATGTAAAGGAAGTAGAGTTGTTCTATTATCTCTAACCTCATTGATCTCAAACAAGTCGATGTCATTGAGTTCTAAACCAGCAGCCTTGACTGCAGCAGGAATGGCAACAGCTGGTCCAACCCCCATGATGGCTGGGTCCACACCAACTGCAGCAAATGTCCTGTAATGTGTCCAAGAGTGCTTTTACTTAATGAAGAAAAGAAAGGTCAATATAGAGTATCAAGCCCACCTGAATATACCAAGAATGGGAAGGCCTTTCTGCATTGCGACATTTCTCCTCATAAGGAGAACAGCTCCTGCACCGTCACTTAATTGGCTAGAATTTCCTGTTTGACACAAAGGAAACAAGAGATTTGAAAAAAAAGATGGATGAAACAAACATTTTTCTCTGGAAATGACCAATTAATTTGGGGAAAGTACCAGCAGTTGTGGTTCCGTCTTCCTTAAACACTGGTCTTAGCTTTGCAAGTCCGGAAAGGGTTGTGTTAGGACGTATCCCATCATCCACCGAAACGGTTATGGATTTCTCTTCACCTGTTTTTGGGTCAACGATCTGAAATGCAAAAACGAAACCATTAACTTTGGGAAAAGAACACGTGATGCATCCTGAAGAATCTAGCATGTTCACAGTTTTTGCAAGGTGGAAAACAGCATGTACCTTGGTTTTTACTGGGATTATTTCATCCTTAAATTTACCAGAAGCAGTAGCAAAAGCAGCCTTTCTGTGAGAATCAACCTACACATTTGACTCTATAAACTAAGGATGGAGGGTAATATTAAATTCGTGCATTAGAACTGAGAAAGTTTATTCGAGTTACAGCAGCTTGATCCTGCTCCTCCCTTGAAACATTAAACCGGTGTGCTACATTCTCTGAAGTAATACCCATTGGAAGAAGGCAACTATGTGCTTGTTCAAACTTCTTCACCTACAACAACAGAATACGCTCTTATAATTCAACAGAGCCAGTCAATACACTACAGGAAGAATGGAGAGATACAATAAGAGCACGGTACCTTTGGGTTGACTGGTCCTTTCCATCCCCTTGGATTAGTTGTCATGGACTCTAGCCCCGCTCCAATACCTGTATGCTACATATTTTCAGCTCAATTCTTCATGAGAAGAAAAGACAATTTATGTAATCAAAGATAGTTACTCGCTTACCAATGTCATAAAAACCTGCTTTTATGGCAGCGGCGACATCAGCAACAGCTTGAAGGCCAGATGAACACTGTCTGTTCACGGTTCTGATTGGAACAGTTTCTTCCAACAGACATAAGAGCATAAGCATACAACAAACGAAAGAAAAAAAAGATTCAAGATTACAAATTACCATAGTAGAGAAGAAGATCTTACCGGGGAAACCAGCATAGAACGCAGCCATCCTGCATTCACTGGCTCTCTGAGATCCTGGTCCCAAAACAGTACCCACTACAATGTCACCAATTTCACTTGGGTTTACATTTGTTTTCTCTATCAATGCCTACCAATAAGAAGCTACTACACATAAGTGCAAATTGAAAAAAGGGGAACCCAAAAACCAGGAAATAGAATTGAATCTGGCATACTCTCAATACAGATGCAAGCAACTCATCTGGGTAAGTATCCTTGAAGCTGCCACGTTTTGCCTTACAAAGTGCAGTCCTTTGTGCCCTGTGAATCACAAGAATCATAGAAAAAGGTTCAACAAGTTTCCATAAGGTCTTGCGCAATACCGAAAAAAAACGAATGAGAATAGAGAAACTTAACGCGACAATGACAACATCATCTCCATATTGATATGCAGCACTTTCTTTGGCCAAGCAAGCTGAGGCCTTTGTGAGGAAGCAACACAACACAGTAAGAGATACATTGTGAAATCAAACACAATTCCTACTCATACTACACCAACAGAATACTAATAATTCAAAAAAAATCGAACAAGAACCAACCAAAATCACAAAATCAGCTCTTACAAGAACCAACCAAAATAACAAAATTCCAAATCCCATGCAAATAATTCAGAGCAATTAGCGGTGAGAAATTGGGAAATGCGAAACAGAAGATTCAAATTCAAGCTTACAGAGAGATAAGCGTCAGAAGAAGACGAAGGTTGAAGATGATGAAGCAGTATCCTTTGTCTCTCGATCGCTCTTTCCATTTTTTTCCGTTAATTATTTTGTTCACAGCGAAACTAAAAAATCTATTTGATAAAAAAACTATACCGGTTTATTCCGGTTTAGGATGAGCTATATGGTTTTAGGGTTGGCCGGTTGAGCTGGAACAAATCATTCATCTGGGTTTTGAAGCTAAACGACGTCGAATGAAATTAGGGTTTTAGGTTTGTGTTACATATTTAGATTCCCCTCACAGAGTTCTCTCTTTCTCTCTTAGAAACACTCGACCGTCATTTCTCGACGGCTCGATTCTCTTATCAATTAACCCTAAGAACGCCGTCTTAGTCTCTCTTCGAGGCTACTTTCAAATTCGCCACTTCCGTTCATCTGTTCTCTACGTAAGTCTTTGCTTTCTCTTTTCCCTTCGATTCTACTTACCTTTTAGCTGCTGTTGTTGTTTCTTTTTTAGTTTTTCTTCTCAATGTTTATGAAGAATTTTTGGTACTTTTTGTCTTTACACTACTGCGTTTCCGTTTTTGATTTCCTTGATCATATGAATGTTGATTTGTTGCTTCGTAAGTTCGTTGCTTTGGTTTGTTTTTCATGTCAAAATCTTATTTTTCCACAGACTTTGATTAGTATCTCATAATCAATTGTACCAATCAGTTAGTTATATATGCTTTATGATAAAGCTGAACAGTTTTGTTGGGATTCATATGTACATGTTTTTTCTTAATTCCGGATTTTGTATGATTTTGTGCACAGATCGATAAGCGAAGATGGTTCAATACAATTTCAAGAAGATCACTGTTGTTCCCAATGGGAAGGAGTTCGTTGACATCATCCTTTCACGCACTCAGCGTCAGACACCAACTGTTGTCCACAAGGGCTACAAGATTAACCGTCTCCGTCAGTTCTACATGAGAAAGGTTAAGTACACTCAGACCAACTTCCATGAGAAGCTCTCTACAATCATTGAGGAGTTTCCTCGCCTTGATCAAATCCATCCTTTCTATGGTGATCTTCTTCACGTGCTTTACAATAAAGATCATTACAAGCTTGCTTTAGGCCAAGTGAATACTGCCAGGAACTTGATTAGCAAAATCTCCAAGGATTATGTGAAGCTACTCAAGTATGGTGATTCTTTGTACCGGTGCAAGTGTCTTAAAGTAGCTGCTCTTGGTCGTATGTGCACTGTTTTGAAGAGGATCACTCCTAGTTTGGCTTATCTCGAGCAGATCAGGCAGCACATGGCAAGGCTTCCTTCCATTGACCCGAACACTCGTACTGTCTTGATCTGTGGATACCCTAATGTGGGCAAGAGTTCTTTTATGAACAAGGTTACCAGAGCTGATGTTGATGTCCAGCCATATGCTTTCACCACCAAATCGCTGTTTGTTGGTCACACTGATTACAAGTACCTGAGATACCAAGTCATTGATACCCCCGGGATTTTGGACAGGCCATTTGAAGACCGTAACATCATTGAAATGTGCAGTATCACAGCTTTGGCCCATCTTCGAGCTGCTGTTTTGTTCTTTCTGGACATTTCTGGATCATGTGGTTACACCATTGCTCAGCAGGCTGCTCTTTTCCACAGCATTAAGTCCCTGTTTATGAACAAACCATTGGTGATTGTCTGCAACAAGACTGATTTGATGCCAATGGAAAACATCTCTGAAGAAGATCGGAAGCTGATTGAAGAGATGAAAGCTGAAGCTATGAAGACTGCAATGGGAGCAAGTGAAGAAGCTGTACTTTTGAAGATGAGTACTCTGACAGACGAAGGTGTGATGTCTGTGAAGAATGCCGCATGTGAGAGGCTGTTAGATCAAAGGGTAGAGGCGAAGATGAAATCCAAAAAGATCAACGACCACCTAAACAGGTTCCATGTGGCTATGCCGAAGCCTCGTGATAGCATAGAAAGGCCCCCTTGCATACCTCAGGTTGTTTTGGAGGCTAAAGCTAAGGAAGCAGCTGCAATGGAGAAACGAAAGACAGAGAAAGATTTGGAAGAGGAAAATGGTGGAGCTGGAGTTTATTCTGCTAGTCTAAAGAAGAACTACATCTTGCATCATGATGAATGGAAGGAAGACATTATGCCTGAGATTCTCGATGGTCATAATGTGGCTGACTTCATTGATCCAGACATTTTGGAGAGGCTTGAGGAGTTGGAACGTGAAGAAGAGTTAAGGCAGGCTGGGGTTGAAGAAGCCGATATGGAAATGGATTTTGAAAAGCTTTCGGAGGAGGAGGTGAAGCAGCTTGCTGCCATTCGAAAGAAGAGAGCTGTACTCATTCGAGAGCACAGGCTCAAGAAGACCGTTGCACAGAACCGATCAACTGTTCCAAGAAAGTTTGATAAGGACAAGAAGTACACAACAAAGAGAATGGGTAGGGAGTTATCAGCTATGGGACTTGATCCGTCTTCTGCAATGAACCGTGCAAGAAGCAAGTCTAGAGGGAGAAAGAGGGATCGATCAGAAGATGCGGGTAACGATGCAATGGACGTGGATGATGAGCAACAGTCGAACAAGAAGCAGCGTGTGAGATCAAAGTCTAGAACTATGTCGATATCAAGATCTCAGTCAAGGCCTCCTGCACATGAAGTTGTGCCTGGTGAAGGATTCAAAGACTCTACTCAGAAGAAATCGGCCATTAAGATTAGCAATAAATCTCACAAAAAGAGAGACAAGAATGCACGTCGTGGTGAAGCTGACAGAGTTATACCGACACTTAGACCGAAACATTTGTTTTCAGGCAAGAGAGGGAAAGGAAAAACCGACAGGCGTTGATGAAACCAAACAAGGTACCAAAACGATACTCTTGTCACTTTTTTCAACTGTAATGATGCACTGCAAGGGCAAGTGTGTGAGATGATAATTGTTTGCAATTTCAAGATTATGTATTTTGTTTCCTTGCAGAGAAAACAGATGCTGCAGCAATTGAAGAATCTCTCTCAAGTTTTGGAATTTGCTTTACCTTTAGTTTACTTGTTATGTTTTGCATCGTTTGTGTTTTTTCGCAGACATTTATGGATTATTATTATTATAGCTTTCCAGTGTGTTTGGAGGACGAATATTCGTTTAAGCAAACCTTATTATAATGGCTTTTTTGGAATTAAAGATTCTAAGATAAGTTTGGTTTTTTGCAGTGGTTGGTTTTTTTTTTGGTAATTGTTTGAGTCGAGATTCTTGCTCGTAAGTTATTAACTTGAAAATCAGCTATGAACGTTTTAATCTTGTTCTTACTGTTGTTATAAGATAAACAATAAATAACTTTGAAACAAACGAAGAAGAGCTCCAATGGTTAAACAAAATCGAGGCGAATAGAATGGGAGCTGATGTAGTTGAATCAGTATCAAGTCCCAAAGAAGATTGATATTCCTCTGCTTAGTAATCATAGATCGTTCGTTAAACAGCATACTTTAGGCTTAGACAGGAGCTTTATTGTCGGTTTAATCATCTTGACCTTGTTTAATTAGGTTGACAGTTTTGTTTTGTTTTCGGTTTTTTGGGTCGAGGATAAATTTGACGAAATAAAATCGAATCAATGGTCGGATATGGGCCAAATCAATGAAATATCGGTCTATCAAATTTGGTATTTGGGCTTGTATACTTATGCTACCAAGTACCATGACATGAGGTGGTACTATATGGGCCAGGCCTGATTATTCTACAATATAGATTACAATTTACTAAAACGGTGCCGTTGGGATTGACAAGGCAAAAGAAGAGCGCGTATAAAGCCTGGCCCACTTATCGCGCGTGTCACAATTCGGCTGGGTAGACCACAAAAATTGCATTAAGTGAGGCTCGTCTGAGAAATTTAACCAATGGGCTGGGCTTATAACTCCACCATATTGCTTTATGGGCTGAGTATGAATGGGCTGGGCTTTTAACTCCATCATATTGCTTTACATAAAAAATTGTGTATTTTACACAATGGACCCTCAACTTTTTTGGTTGGTATACAACTTTTACCTAAACCGGTAAATGCCTGCCTCTCAATACTAATTACAGACTCCACACAATCTCATAAATCAATAAATTGGAGAGGGCTTTTAGGTTCGTCGCTTGGGTTGCAAGGCAACAGTCATTGATCGAAGTCGTTCAACAATCTCCGTAAACGATGGCCGTACTCCTGGATCGAATGACCAGCATTGCTCCATCAACTTCCTCCATTCTGCTTCACACCTTTCAGGCACCGGAGGTCTTAACGTATTGTTCACAATTCCACCTTTTTATCAAATCAAAATAAGAATCAGAAACCAAAGCTCTATCCAAGTTCATTTTGTTCAAAGACTGAAGAATTGCTTATGCTAGAAAACATACCAATGATGGCACCGCAATGCAGATTCGCATAGGGTTCTTCTCCTGTCAAGATCTCCCACATCACAATACCAAATGAGAAAACATCGACCTGCAAAACATGTCAAGCAAGATTCAAACATGTGATAAAGACAACATTTTCAATGTTTTGATTTTGGACTCGACAACATACTTTCTCTGAGACCCGATTGCTGCTTCCGTTTAGCAGCTCTGGTGCCATCCATGGAAGGGTTCCTCTTACTCCACCAGAGACAAGCGTGTTTCGTTTTATTCTCGACAATCCGAAATCTCCAACCTGCAAATGGAACAGTGAGATGAATAAAGACAGTACTTTTCTCATACAATTTGGCTTGAAATTACCTAATTTTGGGGAAAAGTGTTACCTTGCAAATGGGTCGTTGTGGATCCCTCAAGTTTACAAGCAAGTTATCGCATTTAAGATCAAAATGAACAATATTTTTCATATGTAGATACTCCATGCCAAATGCAGAATCAAGAGTTATCATCAGTTTTTTGCGCCTATCAAGTAATCTGTGCCCAAAGTTTTCCATCAGTAAACTCACAATGTCATATCGCAAAAGATTATACAAAGATGTGACAGATAATTGTGTACCTGTCTTTTCTCTGCAAGACATGTCTCAAAGATCCGTTCACCATATACTCAGTCACTGTTGCCATTGTTCCACCAGGTCCATCTGGTACAACTCCATAAAAGGCCACTACGTTAGGATGGTGAAGATTCGCCAATATCCGAGCTTCTCTCCAGAAATCTTTAGTCTGTTTCAATAAGGCATCAGTGAAAACTGCGGTTCTGAAATTCCCCTAAAAAGTACAAAGACTCGAGAGAGTGTTAAACCTGCCGTGCTTGCTCGGATGATCCACCGGAGAAACAACTATTCTTAATCCGCTTGATAGCAACATCAGTTCCTCTCCACTTCCCATAGTAAACAGTTCCAAATGTACCAGATCCAAGCTCGTGTAAGTCTTCAAGATCAGTGTTTTTAATTATCTGTAAGCCATATATTCCAGCTTCAATTTCAACCATTGCAGCTTCGCTGAATGAATCATCGGTGTTTCTGCTTTTCTTGTACTTTTCCTGCAATATGAAAAAATACCAGAGAGATAACCCCCAACCTGATACACGCCAAGAAAGCCAGAACTTCTAATCTAAAGGAAAAGGACAATATTAATTTCGTACCTCCATTTCTGATTCATGATCCTCATTTTTAATCTCTTTCTCCCTTGTGTAGGATTTGTGATCATCATCTGACTCACTATGTACATGAGGGACAATAGTAGCTGATAAGAGATTATCTGAAATTACTTCGTTCGTCACATCCTCAACTATCAACTGTGGACCAAGCAGCTTGCTTTTGAAGAAATCATCTGATTCCTGCGTGTGCATAAAAGTAGTTTCTCTACTTCCCACCTTCCTAAGTGGCAATCCACTATAGTGAATACTCTCTTCTCTAGGAAGAGATTTTTGAGTATCTGAATCATCGCTATTTGTCTCCAAATCCTGCACATGATTTGAGGAATTCAGACTTAGACCAAAACGACTGCTAAATTTACTAAAATGAATAGATTAATTACGCTTACATGTCTCGGAATCATAGGCTCCTGTCTCAAAAATTCCACGGGGAAATTTGTATTGGGTGAGGAGTAATCTGCTTTATCACTTGACTTGGTTGTACTACATAGTTGATCTGTAACTGAAGTGTGGCTTCTAATGAGAATATCTAGTGACATGTCATGCTGGAAACCATTAAATTTGTCCTTCGAACAATCAAGATAATTTTCGTTGGTGGTGTTAACTGATAAAGAGAACACTGAGCTTCCTGAATCTTGTGAATCACTTGAAGTAACCTGAGCAGCTGGTTGATGATTCGGACTGAAATAATTCGGACTGAAGGAGCTATTACTGTTACTACCATCTTGTTTCTTTGTTGCCTGGTCAAAAGAACCAGGATTATGATCACCATCGATCCAATTATTAGGAACTTCTTTCGTGAGTTCAAGCTCCTTGCTTCTCTTGCCTTCTGGATTATTGAAATAGATATCATCACTATCTTCCCACTTTGACGTAGCCACAACATGTAGATTCTTTCTCAATATTTTCCATGGTTGTTTGGTAAATGCTTCTAACCCATTGTTGATTTGGCTCTCATCATGCAGCTGCGGATCAGAAAGAGCGTTTTTCTTAAGCGTCAATTTCTCGGCTCCGATATAAGCTTGGCCATGGGGGTAAATATCGTCGCTTGGCCTCCGATCATGAAGATTCACTTCTGGATGCTTCTGCTTTTGTGTAGTAGTCTCAAAAAATAACCTATGTTGCTGAGGGAAGTTTGGAGCAGCCAAGTAAGGGTCAAAGAAACCATTTTGATCGGCAAAATAAGGAACGTCGGTATTTGCTCTCTTGTGAGCTGAAAAAGGAGATGCTGGAGGAGATTGTTGACCAAACGAGTTCCTCGGAATCTGCATTTTCGGCATAAAATGAACAGCATTCGTGTTCGCATATGGTTTCATGAAGGTTGGACTGTTGCAGTCTTTGTGTTCCCATGTATGAACAGAAGTAGGCGAGTCTCGAAGATGAAATGTAGGGCTAAATTCTGAAGCATTCCCAAATTGTGTTGTCTGACTTGTCCCACTTTGCCCGCTGGAACTCTTTTGAGGACTCACATCCACAACACCATTAAGAGCTGAAACATACTGATAGTGATCTATATCTGTCTGCTGGTTCGTGTTTCGGTTTATGTTCATATTCCTTTCATTGAAAATCTTAGGACTCTCTGATGATTCTGTTGAAGATACAAGAAAGACCCTAATCCTCTGGGATCCAGCCTTTGTTTCAGCTTCTTGATACTCTTCAATCATATGAAGAAGATCCTCATCTGAGCAAACCGATATTAGTGCATCAAGATCTTCTCCTGGTAATTGATACTTGATTGTATGCGGATGGTTGCACAAAGCATAAGTCTTGTGCATCAATTCGTTTAATCCAACATGTTTCCGTATTGAGATAATCCGAGTCTCCCCTCCAATGTATCTAAGCTTCCCATCACCAGGTCGCTGTAAGATCCTTCCTCCGAAACTACAAAGAAGCTTCAATACTTCTGGCAAATAAACATCTGACGTTGCAGTTTGAAACATCTTCCGAGGTGAGTCTGCAACATTTGATTCAGCAAAGTATCCACTCGAGGAATTAATACCTTCTGACATGTTGGAATCAACTCTTTGAAGCCCAAGAATTCTGTTGAAATCCTCATAAACAAGATGACGATTGTTATGATTACCCTCAACATATCTACTAACACCACCCTGTACTCTTCGTTGAGCACCAAAATCCCTCAAAAACTCATTTGAAAATTCCTCTCCTGTCTGAGAACAGATATTATTATCATCACGCGTGTTATTACCGTAACCGACTTCCCCATTGAACCTATCCCTACCTAAATGTTGATTGGAGCTGCCAGGAAACTCCATTCTCATGTTCTCAAGAACCAAAAAGCCTTATTCTTTCTTCTGCACAATCTCTTGTATCACAGATTCTGAGGAACCAACAAGTCCTATTCTTCAACTCCCCAATCTCAAAACAGAAATGTTGAGAGAAAAATCCAGAATTTCGTATTCTCTTACGCTCTTTGAGGAAATATAGCGAACAGGTTATGGAGATTCATACCCACAAAAAACATCTTCAGGGTATATTGCTACAAGATCATACCAAATCAAACAGAGACCAGAGATTTGTTCTTATTCAAACGTATTCGGACATTTAAGATTGCATCAGATGAAATTCCCCTGCAGAACAACAACAACAACGAGAAACTAAGATTTCTTCAATATAATAAATTTCATTTTTTCTGCAAATGTTGATCACGCAAATCAATCGTATGTACATATATAAGCAACGAAATCATTGATGACACCGAATGTGTTGAAAACGAATTGAAAAATTGGAGCTTTAGATGAATTTGATTACCTGGGGGAAAATGGCCAATGAGATTAACAATGAAGGAGAAGGAACACAAACAAAAAAATGAGATTTTTGGGTAAAAGAGAAGAATGTTTCTGGAGATTGATGTTTTTCAAAGTTTGAGGTTTTTGATTTGCGAGAGAGAGAGAAAGAAGAGAGACGCAGAGAAGCGCTCTCAAAATAACGCGGGTGGGTGACAAACTCCAAAATAAAAACTAAAACTTTCTCTCTCGAAAATTCTCTCTTTTTATTTTTTTTTAATAGAAATAATTTTTGATTTTATTCGTTTCACTTGAATTATGGGTGAAATCATCTTCAATCTATTAATAATCTTGTTTTATCTGAATTTTTTTATTTTAGATATTTCAAATAGTAAATTCATAAATTGCATGTGGAGGTTTTTGAGGGAACGTTTCTATCTATTTCTTTCTTTTTTTAGACAATTCCAGAAACTTTTTTCTTTTTACTGATCTCTTAAGTTTTGTAACTAAATAAAACAGATCATCCAAATTTAGATTTTATTGGGATCTTACCTAAAAAAATTGTATAGGATTTCTATGCATGTATGTTATTAAAACATGGTATATAGTTGTGACATTATGTTGTGCACGTTGAGCTTTAAATACCTCCATCAAATCTTTTAATTATATTGTCATTTTTTCCACCACTTTTTAGGTTTTATATAAAAATATTAATAACATATCGACACCTCTTGAATTAAAATTAAGAATTCCACAAGTACGTGTAACCAGAATTGTTTGATGCGCTAAGCTATTCAATATATTGACGTCATGATATCGCAACTACAAGAACCAAACTTTAAGTTTCACTAACAACAGGTAACAATAAGACCGTTTTTAAATGATGAAACAACAACTAAAAAAACACATTACTCTCTCTCTCTCTCTTTCTCTGTCTGTCTGAGTCTTAAAAATGCATAAGCTGCCAAAGAGAACAAACAAAGCCAACACGAGACAACATCCAACAACAAACCTCACACATCTTCTTCTAATGTTTTCTTTATCTTTTTCCTGCAACACTCTTTTGAAAGCGATTGAATAGGAAAGAAAGATCTTGGATTTTGGTTTTACCGATACGATTCAGGACGTTTCGGTTTGCTCTGTATCACTTGCTCAATCTTGTCCAGAACAATAGGTGTCAACAATGGGATCACATCAACAGCTTTCATATTTTCTTGAATCTGTGTAGGTACAAAAAAAGAACAAAATCTTTCAAATCTTGGATCCAAATCTAGATCGAGACTCGCTATGTTCCTTATAGAGAGCCCATAGGCTTATAAGCGACTGTGGATTCAAGAACTAACCTGTGACTCCCTTGTGGCACCAGTGATAACGGATGACACATTAGGATTTGAAGCACACCATGCGATGGCAAGCTGAGCCAAGGTTACACCTAGCTCATCTGCAATGGGTTTGAGACCGCTAACTTTCCTCAGCACGTCATCCACAAGTGATCTATTGGCAAGGTTCTGCAAAAGAAATTAAACGAAGACATGTACCAGTTGATTAGTTGGATGCAGAAGCAGATTGAGGTCTTAGAACCTACGACCAAGAATACACAAGAAAAAAGGAAAAAAAAGGATTACTTTGTAGTTCTCCAATGCAAATCGGCTGTCTGAGGGAATAGCTCCCTTGTTGTATTTACCAGTGAGCACACCCGATGCAAGTGGGCTCCAAGTAGTGAGACCTATACCATGGTTGGTGTACAGCGGAAGAAACTCTGTCTCAACCTACATAACACAAGAGCATAACTTGAGCTACATATCACGAGAGTACAACTTAAGACTGAACAAGATAAGACGTGAACATGAAAGTAAATAAAAGAAAAAGAGAGTCAGATTACAAACTTTGTGCCTAGCAAACATGTTGTATTCTGGCTGTTCGACGATTGGACCGACCAAATCCAACCGGTCAGCAGCTCCCCATGCCTCGGTAATTTGTTGAGCTGACCATTCACTGGTACCCCAATAGAATGCCCAACCCTTATCAATCACGTAGTTCATCGCCCTAACCGTCTCTTCAATAGGAGTTGAAGCATCCGGCCTGTAATAAATGACCCAATTCACAAAAAAAGGAAACATTCTTCATAAACATATCTCAATCAGGAAGCTAGTAGCACTAAGAGCAATGCAAAGATGCCCATTTTTCAAAACATGTTGTGCATGTATAGAGATAGTCAAATACCATATCACAAAGAAAGCAAAATGCAGATCCCAATAATCAGCACCGACGAATCACAGAATCATATGAAAACAAAACAGAAACCAACAGATCCACTATACAGCAAAAAAGCTACAACATAAATTGATTCAAAATTGTAAATTTTATAAATTGAAACAGCAATTTGTACTAAAAGCACATTAAATGCGCACACAACATAGTACAGGAGAAATTTGAGATAAACTCTTCAATTTCAGAAACCCTAACAGTTAAATCACATCAAATCAGATCTTCAACGAAAGAAGTGAAAATAAAATTAAAAACTGATATTTAACCTGTGGCAATAGAGCACATCAACGTAATCCATATCAAGTCGTTTAAGAGAAGCTTTAGTGCCTTCGACAATATGTTTCCTCGATAAACCTTTATCGTTAGGACCAGGACCACCCCAGAAGATCTTGGTAGAGATGACGATATCAGATCGACGCCAACCCAGTTCACGAATCGCTTGACCCATAATCTCCTCAGCGCGACCATTAGCATAAACCTCTGCGTTATCGAAGAAATTGACTCCATGATCACGACAACACTGAAGAATCGATTTCGCTTCCTTCACATCGAGCTGGTTCCCAAACGTAACCCATGCTCCGAATGAGAGCGTGCTTACCTTCAAACCCGATTTCCCCAGATTCTTGTACTGCATTTTTGCAGATATCGATTCAAATCTGTTGATCTAAATCTCTCACTATCTCTCTCTCTCTCTTTAGTTCTGAAGAGTTTGTTGTAATGAATGAAGAACAGATATTAAGTACTCTATTACCAATCTTAACAAAATACGATAAGCTACCGGTTTGGTTTAACTTTCCGGTTCGGTTATCAAGATAACCAATATGTTTCCATTTTCCAATAGACCAATACCATTGAATGTACGTCGCAAATTTAGCATTCTACAATTTCCGATACAATGTAGGTGGTACCAAACCATATCGAACCTCGAGAAATTGGTTGCTTGGTAAGAAATTATCCGGTCTAAAGGTATTCCGGTTTAGTCGCAATTTGTATAAAATCATGTGATTTTAATTCGTGATCTAATCAAAGACGCTGATCCCTCGTACTAAAAAAAGAAGCGTGATCTCGTAATTTTAATTAAGATGGAAAAAAGTCTAAAAAGAGAAGATTTTTATTTGGCTCCTAATGGGTCACAGAATCCCATGTGAATGACTTTAGTGTAGTCTACATGTACTAACCAATAAATGACTGACACGTGTCCTTTCTTTTATGAAAAGTTGTTCATTAGTAGAAGAGTTGTGCTGTATTGGGAGAACTTTGCCGTATGCGAATAAAATTGGAGTCATTGTCACGTGAAAGGTTTCATCAGTCACTCAACTTTGGAATATTTCAAGTCCTTCACGTTCACACTGGGTTATAGGTTGTTGGGCTTTGTTTTTATATAGGCCTTTTAGAGGCCCATATTATCTTACTCTCAAGATTCTAGTAACTCACATACTCTCTCTGTCTCTCACACATGAGATGTTGGATATGCAAACAAGAGATCGACATGACACTTGTATATTATTAACATCTAATTTCAAAATTTAATGATTTTGGGCTGATAACCGTCTAATCTTGATATGATGTTATTGTTATATATTTATGATCATTTATATAGTTTATAGGACGACATTTTTAATACTCATAAAGTTTTTAAAACTAGACATATTATCCACCAATTGCACTTATTGTATTCTACATATATCATATTAGCTATTTTACTATGTTACCAAACAAGTTATGTATAACTCTTTACTTACAACAAATTCTTAGAATGAGTTGCATTTGTATTATTAAAGTAGAGAAATTTAGAAAGAAGAAAAATTAAGATTTAGTAATAATGTTTGAGAAGATAATATTTGTAGACTTGATGAATTTTAAAATTTATCTGCTGTTTTTGTAATGAATGGGTTGGAGAAACAGATTGCATTTGATGCATGTGAGTGTGGGGTTTGGATTCGTTACCATCTAAAAACTCTAGTTTTATTGGCCACCAAGAAAAAAAGTAAGAAGGAGATAAGTTAAAAAAAAAAAGGTTCGCCAAAATCTCCCACCAAGGGTTGACATTTTCTTCCTGATTTTTTCTCGTACGTTATCAAATCCTAATGTAGCTTTTTCTGCCCTTTTCTTCCATGTACCCCATTACTAATCATATGTTTTTTGGTATGCTACATCAATTTGATCATCTAATCACATGCGATTACAAAACCAAATTTATTTTTTCCATAAACATATAGTTAATCAGTATAATAAATAAGAAAAAAAATGAGTAGTTATAGATAATTCATGTATAAATGATGTCCACCAAATTCCAAAAGCAAAAGAAAGATAATGACTTAGTGCGAGCAATCGCTCGAATGCCTTTATCAAATTTTCAACTAATCTTAGTATTCTTACTTGGATGGAAACCATTGTATGATATATTGTTACATGTTAATGTTTTTTAAATCTGAAACTGCAAACACAAATCTAAAGGCAAACAAACAACCAAATCCTTAGTCTAGATATAAATCAAAGTATATATAATTCATTACTAAAAGTTAATTATATGTACTCCGAAATAGTACAATATATAGTAAAACTCTATATCAAGAAACTGCATGCATTATGGAGATTTTTTTGTTAAAGACATGCATTATGAAGATCACAGGATCAATTAAGTTCACGGGAAATGGTTTCTTGAGAAGATTTTTATCATATCTTTGGATTTAATCCAAATTATTTCACTGTATACATAGCTTTTTCGTAGTACTTTTTAATACAAAAAGGTATTTTCCATTGAAATTGTATGGATTACGAAGATCACAGGATCAATTTAGTTCACAGGATCCATTTCGTGGGGGTTGAATGAAACTCTCCACTTATTTTTCATTTGATTAGAGATGTACAGTGAGTGTTTCATGTGAGTCTTCTCTAACATCTTGTAGTTTACTTTTGTTTAATTTTCTTGTTTTTGTTGAGTTTTAGTGTACTTGTCTTCGACTAACTTCTAAAGAAAACGGTAAAGTGCCCTTGTATGTATCTGCGAGGATTAGTAATATATACGAATACGAGTCATGCATGACCTAACAAATTCTTAATCAATAGAACTTAATTTTGATCTCTAATCGCTGCAAAACCCATATATCAGAACTTTTACCAATAAAACTCAATTACCGAAAAAAGTATGATATTATAGTCTCTCTGCGACTCAAATACATTCTTTTAGCTAGACACATGCATTTTGCTTCATAATATATATAATGACACCGCATAGTTAGAAGAATTTAATTTGACACGTCTCTATCGAATTTAACGTTGCAATGACACGATAAAGATCATCTATATGAAAATTACGGAAGAACCTTCTAGCGTACGTCCGATCAAGAGGATATAAAATCTTTGGTTTCTTTCTTGTGTGCAAATTTTGTCATTTAGTTTACATAACAAAGACAAAAACAACACATAACTAAAATAAAAACAAATGACGTCTCTTCGTAGCACAAAACGACGACGTACAATGTCGATTGGATCCAGGTTCCAACTATTTGATATTTTTGTAACGTTTGGAGTGTCGGTGCCTCGGCTAATATAGTAACAGACGACAAATATAAATACTTCGAATTATCCACTTCATCTATTTATATACATACCTCAAATGTAATTATAAATTTAATACATTTATGGCATTGGATCGTCATGATGAAGATGTCGTCCCCAAGTTTTGATTCAAGTCAATCAACTGAGACACTTACATGCAGTAAAGATATGTCGTAAATGGAATAATGGTAACGACGATTCATCGTTTAGATCATTTAATATATTAGAGTAATCGTCCACTTCATCAAAGAAAGACACATTCTCTTATCGAATTTATAAATTTTGGCTGGTTAAACAAACATTATATGGTTAGACTTTTCCGGTTTAATGGTTAATGACAAAAATTAGTTACAGAATCGGATAATGGGTTCGTGATGTTTTTCACTTTGGTGAGAAAAAGAAAGCAAAAAAAAAAAAAAGGGTAAAGAAAAAGATAGGTGAAAAAAAAACGATGAGTAAAAAAGAAGTGATTGGGAACCAATTTGACCCGCGAGTTTTGGCGTAACCAAACATTTCGCACCAACAAGACAAGATCTTCTCTTTATTATAGCTTTTTGCACTTTTACAAAAGTAAATTTGAACAATAAAAGTGTAACAAAAAAAGTTTCAATTATTACTAGTTACCCGCCAATCCAACCTCCCCCATAATGCACACACATGGTACACATCATATATGTAATATATAGGACACTATATTTTGTTAGGCGTATATTCATAAATTAAATAATTACTTGGAAAACATTCGTTTTGAAAAATATAATAATACATGCAATGGGTTTTTGAAAATAATTAAATAAATACTTGGAAACGTAATATTAAAAATTATTTAAATAAGAAAAGAATGAAGAGTGCATTTTGACGAAAACTACAAAAACTTGGGAGTGATATAAATTTTTAGCTAACAGATCATTCGGTTGAATTTTCTTTACAAAATTGTTTTACGACAGTGATGTTTCTCCAATTGATAATAATGTTCCATAATAATCAAACGGAAATGAGTATGTTAATGTCACCATAGTTAAACTGAGACAAAAGGTTCTGAGTTCTGAACCGTTTGATCTTATAATCAATTGTTAGCATGACGTTGGATCATCATTATGTATCCAACAAAAACATAGATAACGTTGTACTCAATATCATCATTCACTTCAAGTCTTCGATAGTAAGTTAGAAATAGTCAACTATTTAACAGTTTTTTTTAACAAAATCCAACTACTCTTCCGAAGCTTAAAAAGTAAAAACCTACCTGCACTTTATTCTTGGGTTGTCTAATGTTTTCTCACAAATCACAATCGTTAGATTACTTCTCATATATTATTTGTGTAGAATTCCTTATAGACACATTTGAATGGCAGTAATTACTGTTTAAACTAACATGTTTAATCTCAATAACCCATATATCTTTATAGTTGGAGTGGGTTGGGACTTGAGAGACGGTCAAAACGTTACAATAATATTCTTAGTTTAAAGCTCGATTCGGTAGAAAATTTGACTTTACATATTTGTGTATTTTTGGATAGGATAGGATTTGGGATACGATATCATGGGTACGTCCAAGTTATAGTAAGGTTGGGATTGAGGGTAAATTGGTAAAAATGGAATTAGGAAAAGCGTGAAAAATTAAAAACTTGACATTATGATGAGAGGAGCTTGGGTTGTTGCATGGGAACATTATTTGTGCTCCCAAAAGGGTAAATAAAAACCAAATTATAATCATTGGAGATTTATTTAAATACAATCCAACTAAGAAAACTTAATATCACGAGGAAAATCATTATAAGTTCAGATTTACGGCTTTTTCACTATAGCGTACATTACTATATATACTCGATGAAATGCTTGTTTATTAATTGAGAAGAAAGAATCCACTAGCTATTTTATATCCAACTAAGAAAAACTAATATCGATTTGTCTTTTTTTTCTTCTCAAAATACAATTTCGATTGTTGTTTAATTGATTAGACCAAATTCATTGAGCATGCAGTACCCAGCAACCAACTAATAGTGAGAACAGTTTGAAAATTCTAATTGGGATAGTCAACGACCTCAACGCGTATTCTTTAAGTTCTTCGGTGTTTTTTTTTTCTTTCTAAGCCGTGATTACCGCCTCGGAAAATCATGGAACTTTCACGGAAAATAATTTCTATGATATAATTATAATTTTAGACTATAGTATATACTTTGATAAATACAATTCCAATACCCGCTAATTCAGCAGGAAACTATGACAACTGGTTTCCGTGTACGGAATGACTCTCTTGCCCGTATCATTCTTGATGACGTGTCACTACAGGTAGACAAATTTTTTAAAAAGAAGTTAATAGTACTAATACTATTATCTGTTTTTTTGCTTCAGTCATATTCACTTACTGTAAATGCGAAAGTGAAAGCATCAGTTAGAAGCCAATTAGCTTCTTTTTTTTATTATTGTCATATTCGAAATCATTCAATTATTCATAGGTCAATAATTACTCGATTACAAGGTGAATTTTTATAATTTGATTCGTATGAAGTTATGAACCAACGACTCAAAAGTTAGCTACTCGAAAAGAATATCAAACTTGTTTAAACTACGAGTTTAGATTTAGAAATATGTTCACTAGATTTTGACAACCATTCCTTAAAAAGTCTGATGTTTAATTAGCATGATTTACTAAATAGACTGGTATTTATTATGTTAAAACAAAATCTATATTATCCTTTAAGCGAATTTCCACAACAAACAATGACTAAAAGTCCAAAAAATAGAAATTCATATAATTTTAAGGGAAACAAAAAGAAGAAGCATTCGTTGGCAAAAATAGACAAATATCTAAAGCGTGCGAGGTCAGTAATTCACACGCTTGAGCAGTTAGTGGCGGTTAGAACGGTAAATAAAGGAGACGGAATTAACAAGTAATCACGTTAAAAAAGAGCAAAACGAAGAATCAAATTGTACGAGACGACGTCGTATAGATACATAACGGCCGTCTTAACGGCTCTTTTTGGTGTCGTCTTCTTTTTTTTCTTTTTTTTTCGGTCTCCACCAGATTCTATAAGAGGACCAATATATCTCCAAGCTCGTACATTCACTGTCTTTAACTCTCACTAGTCTCTCTCTCTATCTCCTCTGTTCTAATTCTCTCGGAACAGAGTAAAGACTTTGGCTCAGCTTCTGCTTCTCCAATGGCGGTTCTTCCGACATGGCTTTTAGCAATGATGTGTCTACTCTTCTTCGCCGGAGCAATGGAGAAGAACACTACACACGACAAGATCTCATCTCTTCCTAGGTTTTTATCTCTACAATATCTCGCTGTTTTTTTTAATGAAATGTTAAGATCTCTGTTTCTTTCAATACAGAGAAGAAGATTTTTTATTACTTGCATTAGTTATTCGATATATTTTTCAATCTCGAGCTACATTTTGCTCAGATTCCACAATAATTTTTTCAAAAAAAGAATTTCTTCTTATTCACATTAGTAAGTAATTCGTTATTGTTTTCATTCTCTAGCTACATTTTTCCTCGGATTCCAAAAAATAATTTCCAAATATATAAAATCATTAAATTTACTGTTTTAATTCTATTCAACCGACAAAATTATCAAGAGAAAATATTTTTTGTTTTTTTTCACCTTTTCGATATCTACTACAATATTCCCTCCCTTCTTCAAATGAATGATCTGAGCCGTTGATATTTTGTTATGATCTAGATCCAACGATCTAAACCGTACATTCCGCTTTCTTTCTTTTTTGCTGCATTCAGTCAACTTTATTACGTAGACACACTTGACTCTGTTTCGTCTATTTTTACCCATTTTGACCTTCGACAATACGATACGTTGAAAATGTTCTATAGGGTCAGTTTCGTCATTTAATAATTCTGTCGACGACAGACACTTCTCTTTAACGGTTTCTCCGGTTAGCGAATTTTATGGAGCAGTGTAGTAGTAGTGTAGTTTGGTGCATTCTCCAATAATTAAATTAAAAACATTTATTATAGTTTAGCAGCATATGTCAATCATTAATTTCCTCTAGATTCTCAATTTTTAGATTTCTAATCATTTTTCTTTAGATCCGACGAAAACGAATGGAACCAACACGCAGTGACGAATCCAGATGAAGTAGCGGACGAAGTTCTCGCCTTGACAGAAATGTAAGTACTAAAATCTTCTCATTATATATGATTCTTAAGTCTTAACTTTATCATGTGAATAATATATACATGTTTGCGGGGGGAAAGTCACAAAAGTACAATATTGGGTATGGTCCAATAAGTTCTAACTAGAATTATTTATTTACAATAGTGTTGTGACTTTTGTTTCATTCTATTGTTGAATCAAGATCTATCCTACAAAAGCTGTCACATTTATTTCTCCCCTAACCAACTTAATTCATTTTTTGTTACTTATATTATATACCTCGTCTATAAATCCCCATGTTCACACTATTATAACTATGACAAAAATAGTGTATGCGATTAATTTATTCTTGCTACTACTGAGATCTACTCCCGTGAACAATTGGCATTCATTACTTCTGTCAGGATTTTTTTTTAAATAAGACAGTATATATCTTTCGTTGGTATTAATCTTTCTTTTTTTTGAGAACCCAAGTTGTTAATCTTTCTTTGAAAAAAATACATATTATATCACCTACTACATGTTTCATGCATTGATATTTTAAAAAGGTATTATTCATTCTACAGTAGTCTTTGTATATACATTTAAACTATTTATAAGAATTCTCGTTTTTTTTTTCTATTTTCTTTTTCAATTGTTGTTGAACTAATACTTCCAGCAGACAGTTTTTCACTCCAAACACATGCACTAATAATTACTAGGTAGATCCGCGTCCAACACATTATTGCATATGTATTATCTATGTTTTATGAAAATAAACTATACCATGTCCTTTTCCAAAATTAATTATCTTTCACATCACCAACCATGCATACGGCTGAGTACAGTACATTACGAATTCGTTAAATTTACTCCAAGAAACGTACAATTTTAACTGTTCATTAACTTATCCTAAATCCTTTATATATTTTTTTAATTTTGATTATAAATTAAGAAAAATGTTTATTAATCACTTTGGACAGTACCCCCATGTGGTCGTAAGTCGTAACAGAGCAATTTATACGCTTTATACGGTAAAAAAAAATAACAAAAAACGGACGGACTTGATCTTCGTTATCCAACGGTGATTATTTGTTTGTCCTTATTTAACGGTTATCTCTAACGTCGTTTCCTTCAGGAATCTTAGCCAGAGAAGAGAACCTAATCTCACCGACACACGTCTATGAAAAATGTCTAAAAATATATATGTAGTATTTATCATCAACCATGTGCACATGTTCTGATGTGATTTTGATTTTTTTCTGTCTTTCAAATAATTTATTTAAATTCCATCGTGAGATCCAGTTGAGAAAAAATGAAATTAAAGTCGAATCTTACTAAACCGGATATGATTTGACAGGAGTGTGAGAAACCATACCGAGAGGAGGAAACTAGGTTACTTTACTTGCGGAACAGGCAACCCTATCGACGATTGTTGGCGATGCGATCGCAATTGGCACAAGAACCGCAAACGCCTAGCGGATTGCGGTATCGGATTTGGAAGAAACGCTATCGGTGGTCGTGATGGTCGTTTCTACGTAGTCACTGACCCAAGAGACGACAATCCGGTTAACCCTAGACCTGGGACACTACGTCACGCCGTGATCCAAGACCGTCCACTATGGATCGTTTTCAAACGTGATATGGTGATTCAGTTAAAACAAGAGCTTATCGTTAACAGCTTCAAAACGATCGATGGACGTGGCGCTAACGTTCACATCGCTAACGGTGGTTGCATCACGATTCAGTTTGTGACGAATGTGATCGTTCATGGATTGCATATTCATGACTGTAGACCGACCGGTAATGCTATGGTGAGAAGCTCAGAGACGCACTTTGGATGGAGGACGATGGCCGATGGTGACGCGATTTCTATCTTTGGATCGAGTCATGTATGGATTGATCATAACTCGTTGTCTCATTGCGCTGATGGGCTCGTGGACGCAGTCATGGGCTCTACCGCGATTACCATCTCAAACAACCACTTAACTCACCACAACGAGGTTCTTTTCAAGACTTATTGCTTCATTAGTAGTTAATCATAGCTTCTTTTTTTTCGGCTGAATTCGGTTTTTGATGATATGCTTTGATCTTTTTTCTTTACAGGTTATGTTGCTCGGACATAGTGATTCGTACATGAGGGACAAAGCTATGCAAGTTACCATTGCTTATAATCATTTTGGAGTCGGACTTATTCAAAGAATGCCGAGGTATATATAAAAGAGTTGACAAAACAGAGTATACTCTGCTTTTATGTTCTGTTTCTTGAGTATTCTCTGTTTCTGTGCTTATGTTTTCTGAACAATGCGATTAAATTTTCTTGCAGGTGTCGACACGGGTACTTCCATGTCGTTAACAACGATTATACTCACTGGGAAATGTACGCCATAGGTGGTAGCGCAAACCCGACTATCAACAGTCAAGGAAACCGTTACGCAGCCCCGAAAAACCCCTTTGCTAAAGAGGTAATAACTCAACCAAAATCAGTTATACCTGGGACTCTGGGAGTGGTTTTGTGAATGTAAGTTTCTGACATCTGTGATGTTTGAATGTTGTTTTTAATAGGTGACTAAGAGAGTGGACACACCGGCAAGTCACTGGAAAGGATGGAATTGGAGATCGGAAGGAGATTTGCTTCAAAACGGTGCTTACTTCACTTCTTCAGGAGCCGCCGCGTCTGGCAGCTACGCTCGTGCCTCTAGCCTCTCCGCGAAATCTTCGTCATTGGTCGGACACATTACTTCCGACGCTGGAGCTCTACCTTGTCGCAGAGGACGTCAATGTTCCTCATAGTTACCACCCCACCACCAAAATTCAAAACTACCTTCCATTATATAGACAAAGTGTACATTTTCACACATTTGTCATTTAAAAAGCCAATTATCTTCTTCTTTTTTTTCGGTGTGTGTGTTTGTGTCGATTTTTCTCAACCTCGGGTTTGCTTGCGTCAACCGCAAGTTAACACAAGAAAAGGGAACAAAACCAACCTTTCATGAAAAAAGAGAAATCCCCGAAGTGTTGTTGGTTGTTTGGTTCTATCTGATCAATTCAGATTGTTCTTCGTCTGTCTCTGTCTTCTACCCGGAGAAACAAGAATATTCTCTCTTGTTTTTTTCCTTCTTGTAATTTTTGAGGTTTATAATTTAATATAGGGTCTAAATGATTTGTGAATCTTTCTACTTTTCATTGTATTATAAATGTTGGCTGGATTTTTAGCTTTAATTTCCCATGTGGTTGTAACTTGTCATGATTGTACTTTGTAGCGATTGAAGCAAGCAAACAAGCAATAGTAGTAATTGGGTGTTTATTAAAATTTACATTAGATTTTTTAAATTCCAAGGATAAAATCTTAATTGCGACAAATTCGAATAGTATTTTATCACCCACAATTGTTTTCAATATGCTTTCCTTATCATGTGTAACTTTAGAAAAGTAAACAAATATATAAACTATAAAAATATTAATCTTATTATTAGTATTTTTGGTGTGAGAAGTCCATAATCTAAAAAGGTCTAATATTAAATCGAATTGGTTATGTATTTTTTTAAAAAAGCATATCTTTTTTGTTGGGAAGAAAAATTAGCATATCTATTTTTATTTGGCTTTTTGCATTGGAAAGTAGATCGTACGTTAACATAAAAAGCAAGAGAAGCCTAAAACACGCTAAATCGACTCCATGTGCCTACACATGACAAAAGAGTTCGAAATCCACAAGTAAATTGTTCCGACAAATAATGATTACCTTTTATTTCCACCATCATTAGGGATTTAATTCAGACTAATTATGTGATTATCTATAAAAAGATTACATTTTCACAACTCTGTAAACCATAAATATTGATTCAATATCACTTTTAAAATCAAATGATTTATACACTGGTGGATAACACGTTTTACTATATTAAAAACATTTCTGTAATTATCTTTATGGCTTTACCCAACCAAATCAATTAACATCAATCTCTTTTCCTCCTCCAACCCGAAGCTCAATCATCTCTAAAGAGACTACACATAGTATCTTCCAATTTCCATTAATTATTATGCTACAAAAGCTGAGACAAAGTCTCTACATAGTCCAGAAGCTTTCCAATGGGGTTTTGTAACAGTTCAGAGCATTTTTTTAGTTTTTTCAGTTAAAAGAGAAGACTTTGTAACCATAGTAAAAAAAATCCAATTTTCATGTAGATTTATAATTTAATCAGATCTATCATGAATCCATATAATTACCAAATCAAAACTTTAAATTTTCTGAATATTACTTTATTGAGACATACATAAATAATATCAAATATATATGGGTAGATTGTAACTAATTAATCACCACCAAGGATCTTGTTCTTGATGATATCGGTAGCGTTTTTAGCGGTGCCTAAAACACCAGAGACAGAACCTTTAGCTTTTTCAGTGATGGAATCCGTTGTCTCAGTGACTTTCTCAGTTACATCTTTTGTCATCTTAGTCACCTGATTGACCAAATCAATTAATCAGATATTATAAATGTGATAATATCATCAAATCACAATTACTATATAGATAATGAGGGTTAATCAATTACACGGCCAGCAGTAGTGGAAGCGACATCTTGGATGTACTCAGTGGTTTCCTTCACTTGCTTGGCTCCTTCTTTCACTGCCTCTGCTGCTTCTTTCACCTTTTGGCATTGCTCTGCCTCTTCTTTTCCCTATTCCATTAACCAATTACAATATTACTAAATAACGTTGTGCTTGAGGACAATTTTTCATTGTTTCTTACCTGTAAGGGCCTCGGTGAAGCTGAAACGAATGTCCTATATAGTGGAACACTCCTTGCCGTTTTACCATTAGAGATCAGAACTTTACCCAGTTTTGATGCATGCATCTTAATTAACTACTGTAGAATCAAAGCGTAGAAGACAAGTTATGAGATAATAGAAGGTTCGAGAGAATACTTAAAACGTTTATTAAATCAGATCTTTTGATGAAACTCCAAAGGCGCAAACCCTAATTAAAAACTTTATTTTCTCTTATTATTTATAAATGAAAGTGTCAGATTTGTCCGGTTATGAGCATTTATAGGGTTCTTTGTGGTTTGTCTTTAACAATACCCAAATTTCTCAAATCCCGATTGTTCGGCTATAGACTCGATCTTCGTTTTTGTTCGTAGTCTCTTAATAATATCTTGTCTAACGAATATCATTATTTATGATGACAAAGAATTGACAAATAAATACTCTCGCTTGCTGACTGTAGTGCCTGATGTCACTAGCCAATTCCAATTTACGAAAAAAAAGAAAAATAAACTCGACCAATCAATTGTCCATAGTATAGTTGTATCATCAGACAGCCTTTACTAAGGAAAATATGTTATAAATTGGGTTCATAGCCAAATTTATGACTTTCAACTGTCACCAACCTTACATTTTGCTATATAAACCCCAAGAAACTCATTACAAACAACAACATAAAATACGATCAATATAATCTAGAAAAAAAAGAGAGACGAGAGACGAGATGTCGAGAGCTTTGTCAGTCGTTTGTGTCTTGCTCGCGATATCCTTCGTCTACGCACGTGCTCGTCAGGTGCCGGGAGAGTCTGATGAGGGAAAGACGACGGGACATGACGATACAACAACAATGCCCATGCATGCAAAAGCAGCTGATCAGTTAAAGAGCGTCGGCGACAAAAAATGCATCGGAGGAGTTGCTGGAGTCGGTGGATTCGCCGGAGTTGGTGGTGTTGCCGGCGTGGGAGGTCTAGGCGTGCCACTCATCGGTGGTCTTGGCGGGATCGGTAAGTATGGTGGCATAGGCGGTGCAGCTGGAATCGGTGGATTTCATAGTATAGGCGGTGTTGGCGGTCTAGGCGGTGTAGGAGGGGGTGTTGGCGGTCTAGGCGGTGTTGGAGGGGGTGTTGGCGGTCTAGGTGGAGCTGGAGGTGGTTTAGGTGGTGTTGGCGGTTTAGGCGGAGCCGGAGGTGGTTTGGGTGGTCTAGGCGGAGTTGGTGGAGGAGGTCTCGGTAAGGCTGGTGGTATCGGTGTTGGTGGTGGTATCGGCGGTGGACACGGCGTGGTTGGTGGTATCGGCGGTGGACACGGCGTGGTTGGTGGTGTAATCGATCCACATCCTTAATAGAGAGTATTTGTTGGTTAGGGTTTTAATTAATGAATAATTAATTAGTTTCGATGTTATTGTTGGTCTTTTAATTCGGTGATCATTAGGGTGACTTTTGATCTATTTTCTAGTTTGGGCTTTTGTAACGTTTGCTTTGATTTCGGCCGTGATGTTATGAAATGTGTGACTCTCTATGTTTAAATCGTTTTGGTTTACGAGGTTCTCTTCTTCCATACTTTTGCATGTTCAAAAACAAATAGTTAATTAAGAGAAATTATCAAGGTTTCCGACGAGATATTTGTTGAAAATGAAATTAGTTAACTTATATTCAAAATTCAAAATATGAAACATCACGCAAAAATGGATTAAAAAAAATCAAAGTTAGTATATAGTATCCAAGTGGTAAAATCAACATATGAGTTTGGTCAAGGGTCTTGTAAAGATCTCGACTAATTAAGAAACATGAGTTTTGGTTCAAAATGTCCTTTGATTAATCATTAGAAAAGAATTAATATATAGTAAAATTGAGTCAAAGTTAATATATTAACCAAAACTATATAGAAGATTAATATATTTTAAAACTAACCAAAACATTGGAAAAATGGTATATACGGATAATTTTCCACGTTGATGATCACAATAATGCATTCAGCCATCTACATGATCTACTACACAGATATGATTCGTATCATCGTATGAAATGTCTGAAATTATACTTCTAATATACATATTTATGATGGAAATATATGAACGAAACAATCAACATTTTTTCAGAACTTGAGATTAATGTATTACCCCTAATAAATAACGACCCTATTTACTACAATTACTAGGCATGGTTTTGGAAATTTCTGTTGCAAATGATACAGTAGTACAGTACTATATAGTATTTTCCAAAATATTTAGGAAAAATAGAGTAAATGTGGGAGGAAGACAGCAAGAATCCACAAAAAGGAAGCAGTAATAATTGCGTTGGGATGAGAGGGACAAAAATTAAAGAAGATACGATTTGCATGTCAAACACTTGTTGTCCCATTTCATGCATCGTCCTCTCTATAGTCTATTTCGCTGTCACAAACTTTAAATTTACATCTCATGCAATTTATTACATAGCCTTAAATTTTGTATTCTAGAATATGTTTATATATATATTAGCTAGTAAAATGAATCACAGTTTATAATGTTTTAATCATTAAAAAAATTGTAGTCAATAAGTAAAACCCCAAAAATAGAAAAGAAAACTGAAAAAAAAAAAAAAAAAACTGAATTGGTGTTTGTGGTTTTTATTTATTTTATTTTTTACATTGAAGGAGTTGACATGGGTTTGAATTTGAATCGTGGACCGAATTGAAATCATCGAGTGAGAATCGAGCTACTTATAAAGCCCAATTAGATCCAACGGGCCTTTAAATATCTTTTATATTCCATTTTAAATATTTTATGTTTAGTAAATCAAAAATTGGAAAGCGAAAGCAATTTATGGCGGAGAAATTTTCAATATAGCCGAAATGTAAAGAGCGGGAAACTAAAGCCTAAGAGCGATTCTCACACACTGCCAAAACAAAATTCTCAGTTGAGAGAGAGAGAGAGAGAGACAGAGATGGAGAACAATGCGACGAAGATGCTCGAAGAGATCAAATCTTCTGATGTAAGCTTCTCTTTAATTTGATTTTCTAGGTTTCTGTATATTTTGTCCAACCAAAATCTTCTGGAGAAATTTATCGCTTCCGGTAGTAATTTCTACGAATCCTCTGATTGCTTGGGTTTCGTGATGTTTCTTATCAATTTTCCTTCCGATTAAGTTTCTTTGTACGAGTTCTCTTCAATTTATTGGTCTGGATTGAGTTTCTGCAGCTTAATGTATATATAGAGTGATTCGGATTCAATTGAGTTTTTGTAGCTCATGGATCTAACGAGCTCCACTTGTTCTTCACAGCTTACCGAGAATCGGGTTCAACTACTCACGCAGCTCAGTCAGTTAGATGTAGAAGATAATTCTGATTTGCCTTCTTTTGTGGACAGCCTAACTGTATCCTCACATACTTTCATGGTTCTCTTCCTTTTCCTTCAGTTTTTGCTGATTTCCAATATCTGTTTCACTATGTTTACAATTGAAATGTGCGTGAGATTGTTGGTTTCAGGATATTGAAGTGAGCACTTTAGAGATGAAGTTATATCTGCTTATTTGCGTGTTTCACTTGGATTTTAGATGATTTATACAGTCTTTAACTGGTCTTTTATCGCATGTTTCCAAGTATTCCTTGACAGCTGTATAGACACTCTGGGAAGACTTCACTTGTCTTGACGTTTCCCAGTGTTTGTTGAACAAGGCAATTCTGCCTGTGGCTTCTAAATACTTAGCTTTGGATCGGCCTGATTGCTCGCACTACTTTCTCGCTTTTGGTATTAAGGTACAGTGGTTTTCTTTTCGCTGCTTATTGCTGAACCTCAACTTTAGAGTGTTGTTGTATTATCTTTTCTTATTCTACTTCTTGTAGGTAAGCCAATGGTGTGCTAAACATTTAAACATGTCTGTAATGTCGATGGAGGAGTCTCAAGAGGAAGAGCATTCCAACATTTTCTTTCAGGTTAGTGATGCTTTTTGGTTCTGTTAGTAGGATTCTGTCACAGCTAATTGTTTCTGGGGGACTGAGTTTTCAATCAATGTGACGCAGCTTCTTTTGGATTATCTTCGTTTTTCTGCCTCAAGCTTTACTGCTATTGGAAAAACTTGTTTCATGACTGATGAGGCCTCAGCTGTTACAGTTCATAAGTTTGTTTCAGAGCAGCTGAATTTGACAAAGGAGGTGATATTAAATGCCAAGGTATCGTTGAAAATCATCTTAAACTTTCACCAGTAAACTACACGTACCATATCATGAAACTGGTTTTTAACATTTGTATTCTTGAAATTGCTACTGTAGGTTGAGATTAGTGTTTTGCATTGTTGACATCTGTTAATAACTTACAACTTTCTTTGAGACAGAAAGTTGAATCCTTTTCCTCGGAGATTTTTAAGGCTGTGCAAGTGGTAATTGAGTCTACTGTTCGTCTGTGCAAAGAGTACTCTCCAACAGTGAATCGTGACGTTGAACTGAAGACAAATGGAAATGTAGGAAAGACAATGATGGAGGAGGGAAACTCTGTGGGTAATTTGGTGAGCATGATTACGCTGGGAGTTAAATCTCTGAGTGAATTGGGTATGCTTGCTGCAAGAGATGGTGGCAATCTTGTGGCCATTCTTAATACATCTTGGAAGGGTGTGATTACATTGCTTCAGATAGACAAACAGACATTGGTATCTAAGGTAGATGTAGGAGAAATTATCTTAAAGCTAATATCACTGATCAAGGAGTCCCTGAGATTTGCTGCTGAGGCTTGGTCTTGCTCTGTGAAGGAAAACATATCTGCAACAGAAGCCAGAAGGGTTTTTCTTCCTGTGAAATTTTATCTTATCAATGCTGTTAAAGTTGTGGCGTTGTTTCCAAGCCAGGCGTCTATGGTGTTCAAGGAAATAGCACTATGCATCTTGATGATCTCTGCTTTCAAAGTTTCACTGAGCCAACAAACTCATGGCAAATCCGCAAGTGAAGTAATGACTGATCTTCTAGAGAGAACAACTGTAGATCTTCTAGGTGCACTGTTAAATGCAGCTGAACTAACACAGGAATTCAGGCTCACACTTCTTGATTCATTGTTCGTTGATGAACAAGGTTTCTCAAACCAAATCTGTAAGAAACAGAGCCATGATTCTCACACAAAAACATCATTGGTGGATATCTTGTCTTTATCTGTTGAATCTGCGACAAGTGACAGATATTTGCTCCTGGCTCGAGTTATATTGTTCCAGTCTGTCATGAGGTGTTCTTCCGAGCTTGACAAAGATGCAAAGCTTGCAATCACCACAAAGCTGCAATGGTTTCTCGACATATTAGCGGACAAAGAGGTTTACTCTTCAGTCCTTTCCTGTCAGCTACCAATGGCAGATGGTTCTGGGAAGATAATAATCTGGGAATCAATGTATTCAGCTCTGCTTCTGTCTCTCAAAACCCTTATGATCATACTCTCTTCAACTCCTGCCTGGGAAGAGCTTGAAACATTCATACTCCAGAATCTCTTGCATCCTCACTTCTTGTGTTGGCAGATAGTCATGGAACTCTGGTGTTTCTGGGTTCGTCATGCCACTGAGGATTTGGTGGTCGATATGATTAATCAACTTTGTACATTCATGATGTCAATGCCATCATCAGAAACACCGCTTTGCCCAGATTCCATGCTCAGAAGAACTACAAAGTCCATCTGCTTTCTTCTTACCCACAGCCCCAAATCTTTAACAGTTCAAGTTTACAAAAATATTTCCACTGAGAGCAGATCTGACCGTGGACCAGGTGTATATCTAGCATTACTGTTAGACGGGTTTCCGCTAAATTTTCTTCCCGATAGAATCAAAAACGACGCAAAGAGACAGATATTTGCAGATTTCTTCAACTTCACCGAGAAATTCAATGAGAAACCATCATATTCCTCCAGATACACTGTGCTTGGAGCTCCAGTTTTCACACTCTCTGCTTGCCTTCGGATACTGTAAGTAATGATGATATCTATTCTTGACACTTCTCTGGGGATTCTTATTGCATGGAATGGCAAAATCAGATATTAGTAATGGAATATAGTGTGAGCGAAAGGGTAAATATTAATTTTTGTGTTGTGGATATTGACTGTTGTTGTTTTTCTTCTGTGTAGAAAGATGAGCATATCAGAGATTGATGCCAAAACTCTGAACTTTGTCGTCGCTCTCATTCAAAAGTACAGAAACTCCAAAGATGAAACGACGAAGGAAAGTTACAGTGAGATTCTCAGCGAAACACTATCAATCATCTCAAGAAGCGATCAGCTATACACTTGCCAAGAGATGGATAATGTCATAACAGAGCTTCAAAAGCTATTCATTTCAGAAACTGATCATCATCATAATCATCTCCGTAAGTCCAAGCCAAACCTTGCTCTCTTCTTGTCAGGACTCAGCAAATATGAGATGTCTGAAACCGAAACATGTCCAAAGAGCCGTGCGGTTTGGGAACTCTACCATTTTCTTCTCAGGAAACGCCACTGGGCTTTGGTACACCACGCGGTGACTGCGTTTGGATACTTCTGTGCACGTACTAGCTGTAATCAGCTATGGAGATTCGTACCTGAAGACGCGGCTCTAGCCTTCGATATAGCTTCTGGAAAAGTAGCGAAAACAGAGCGGTTCATGTCGGAATTAAAGATGTTTTTGGAGAAAGAACAAGCGCTTCTCTCAATCACACCTTCAGAAGAGGAACTCGAGTTACTTGCGAAAGAAGGCACCAAGGTTAAGGCAACAGTGCAGAAGCTTCTAGAAGGAAGAAGCCAGAGGTCAATGGAAGTAGAGAAACGACCAAACAAGAAAAGGAAACTTCCAGAAGGAATTTGCAGAGGAATGGAGTTATTGCAGAATGGAGTGAAGAGGATTAACGAAGGTTTAAGCGAATTGAGGTCAGATGAAAATGAGAGTGAAGAGTTTCAAAAGAGTTTATTGAATCAGTTTTTGTGTCTTGAAGATTTGGTCTCTCATTTGTTAAGCCTCACAGCAACTTCGGACTAAGGTATCTTCAGTGGCTATTACCACACTGTTAAAAGACTTTATGCTAACAGATGTTGGGATTAAAGATGTTCTCCAAGAAAGAACAAGCATTTCTCTCAATCACACTTTCACAAGAGAAACTTCACAAACTTTTCTCTTATATCTGCTTTTTTTTCTTCTACAAATTTACTTGACAAGATAAAAAGTTGAAATTGTAGCGGATTACCTCTTGTTAAAAAAGTAAAAGATACGGATTACCACAGAAAAATTTGAACAAATGCAATGTAGTTGTTTTGTTCATTTCTTTGGACGATAAATTTCGCACAATCCATTAAGATCCAAATCTTTTTTTTTTTGGGTCAGTCAAAACCACACTAAATGCTCATTTTACTGATTTGAATGTTTGCTTGGTCAAATGACATTTACACTAATTTCTTGTTTTTTTGGTCCATGGCATTTAGATTTTTGGTCAATAGTCAAAGGGATTATTACTATATAAGGAAACCATCGAGCCCTTGGAATACTATAAAATCAACTCCAAGAGCGACCTGATAAAGCCATCTGAAAAAGCCAGATTCATACCTACAAAGATCAAATGGAAAAGGTTAATATTTTTTGTTTGTTCGTCTTTCTTTTATTTGGTTCAGGTCATGGGGGAGTCCCACCGTTCTGGCGCGATACGGTCGTCACGATGACAAATTTGATTGGCGGTCCACCTCTTACTATACATTGCAAATCCAAGCAAGACGATCTAGGACCTCACGTGGTGCCTTTCAGGCAAGAGTACCACTTCAAGTTTCAACCAAATCTTTGGAAATCAACATTGTTCTTTTGCAGTTTTCAATGGGCCAATCAATTCAAGCGGTTTGATATATTTGATGCTCAGAGAGATCAAGATGTATGTGATCAGTGTCACTGGGAAATAAAACCTGATGGTCCATGCAGGCTCGGTAAAAAGGCGAAATGTTTTCCTTGGAATTAATTTTGTACTACTACGATATGATGAAGATATATAGACGATCAAATCCAATAAAATCAATAAATATAAAATTTATGCATTTCTTACTGTTTAAAGCTTGGTTTCTCAAAAATACTCTCATTAACATTGGATTGCTTAGCAAAAGAAACAAACGTAATTTTGGTAGACACAAAACCGGAGTAAACCGAGAATTATTCGTTATCTATTTTTTTTTTTTTTTTTTTCGTTATCTATTTCCTCTACGCGTCAGCTTGAGAGATTTCGAGAAAGACCCCAAACAAGGCCTTTTCCCGCGCTGTTGCTTTTGCCTCGGTTGGTTACATTGTTTTGCAGCTTGCGGACGCGTTTGCTCGTGTTAAGAACACCAGATCTGTGGTTTTGGACATCATTTCCATCTTCTGTGGTGTCACAATCATCGTCACTGCGCTCGTAGCTATCTTCTTCTTATTCTTCTTCTACTAAAGAGAGATGATCGACAAAAACATACGGAACCGGTTTAGCACACTACGAGTGGAGGCCATATGAAGTACGAAGGTGGAATTAGGAGGTGGTTTGAGACAAGAAGAAATCAAGGATATATAGAACAATCTTTTTCTTGATTCTTATGAAAAGTTGCATTTCAATGTAATAAACTGTGGTTTTTTTCTTTTGAATATAATTTAACATTAAATTCAAAAAAAAAAGAGATTAGTTCGATAGAAGAATAAAACTATTAGATAGATGTTTCCCTATTTCAGTTTTAATAATGCTTGTAATGAGTCTATGGATTATGTTTTTTTTTTATGAGATGGATTTGATGATCTCGTTTCGGCAAGCCAGAAGATCTCCATAATCTGATTTACCGAAATTGCACAAGTAATATTTCAATTTAATTTTTGTCATTTAACTGAGCTTAATATTAAGCTTGTGTGACGTGTGTGTCCAACCAATGATGTACATAATCAAAGATTTCGAATAACGTGTCACGTGTGTGTGTGACAGTAAGAGAGAGAGGTTTCGTACGGAAAAAGCAGAAACGGTTAAAAAAAAAGCAAATTGGCTTTTATCCATTTGATAACAGAATTAAGTTACAATGTAGTACAATATGGCCTTAAAGATAAAAGGCCCAAGCCCATAGTAAAAAAAAGGTGTCATCTTTGATTGGAGATTCTGCAGGCGCGTGGGGGAAGAACCTCTGCAAACAAAATTCAGCTCCAAATTAAATTGTTCGTTTTGTCGTATGTGTTGAGGGGAAGGCGTGGCTATTTTTTATTGGAGATCAAAATAGTACACCCAAAATGCGTGGGTGGGTGGTCTAATCCAAACGATTTCAGAGATTTATATATAGAAATTAAGTTTTGTTTTTTTGCTCTTCTCCTTGCTTTATTACTCTTTCGTTTTCTCTGTGCATAGAGAGAGTGAAACAATGGCATCATTGAGCAAGAGTTTCTACACCGACGAGCAGTACGAGAAGTGGTCAATCAAAAACAGCACCCTCACCATGAGTTTACTCACCATTTTGATGCTCTTTTTCATGGCCAATCCGGGGACTTACATGAAGGACGACACACCTCTCCTCGACGTTGCCGGAATCAGCGGACTGGTGTACGCTGTGCTAAGTGCGATTGATGCTTTCGTTCGTCCAAATCGCTCAGACTTAAGAATTTTCGATGAACTGAGTCTTGTGGCTGCTTATGTGTGTCTTTGGGCTCTGATGGGTATGATCTTTGATAAAACTGCTTTTTGGGTTTTTATTATTGCGGTTACTTGTGCCATGGTGGTTGTTGGAGGTGTCTTCGCTATTTGCAATCTAGACGATCCCAATTTCGGTAAGATCAAAGACAAGCAGACCAGAGATTTCATCGCTGAACTGTCCACGAGTAAGAATCCTGCGGCTGCAAACGCTCTCACGACCATGGCTCTCTTTGCTCTTTTCACAAAACCTGATGATCCAGTTACCAAGGCTCTGGTCGAAGCCGCCACATTCTGCTGTTGAAACGCCTGCGTCCTCCTCCTCTTTGTTTGCTTGGCTTCTGTTTGGGTTTATTTGCTTTTGATTCCGTTTTGTTTTATGTTACGTCGTCGTTCGTACTTTCTTCCTTGTTTTAATTTTCCAGTTTTTTTCTTTCTTAACTTTGCAATTTCAACCTAATCAGACTTGTAGTCATGTGGTAATCTATGACAAAGAGGACGGTTTTATTTTACTCATGCTTATAATTTTGATTTTCTTTGAAAAATTTATAGATTTTGTTTCATAAAAGTCGCCACCTTTCATGTTTAGGGTTTTCTATATTGTTTTCTTGTTCGTCTTTCTTTCATTTGGTTCCGGCTATGGAGTCCAACCATTCTGGCCCGATACGGTTGTCACAATGACAAACTTGATTGAGAATCAAGAAAAAAGCGGTCCACCTCTTACCGTTCATTGCAAATCAAAGCAAGACGATCTAGGATCTCACGTGGTGCCTTTCAAGCAAGAATACCACTTTAAGTTTCAAACCAATCTTTGGAAAACAACATTGTTCTTTTGCACTTTTCAATGGGACAAGCAATTAAAACAATTTGATATATTTGATGCTCTCAGAGATCAAGATGTATGTTATTATCTATGTAATTGGACTATCAAAGCTGATGGTGCTTGCAGGCTTGGTAAAAAGCAAAAATGTTTTCCTTGGAAATAATTTCATATGATCCTGATGAAGACATAACAATTAATGAAAAATTGAGAATGAATAAGACAATAATATTTGAATCTATAGCACGTTAAAATATAATAACATTTTTGGTAGACAAGAACCGGATAAAACCGGATTATTCTTCATCTTGGGTGTCCAAAATGACTGAAGGATCTTCCTTCCACACAACATCATCATATGAAAAAGCTTTGGCTAAACAAGAAACCAACTGTTCATGAATCACTTCTTCCGAAGGAAGCAGAGTGTCCGTCTCTCTTCGCAAAGATGTAACTTCTTTATCAGCAATCCCACAAGGGACGATGTGCTCAAAGTACTTCAAATCAGGGTCTATGTTAAAGGCCAAACCATGACTAGTTATTCCAGAAGATATCCGAACTCCAATAGCACCGATCTTCCTATCCCCAACCCAAACCCCAGTCTCACATTTGTTCCCTGCACGAGCTTTCACGCCATAAATCGAAGCAAATTCGATCATTGTCCGCTCCAATGTCTCCACATAGTTCCTAGCACCAAAACCGATGCTGCGTAAAGAAATGATGGGATATAAGATGGCTTGATGAGGGCCATGGAAGGTGATGTCTCCTCCTCTTTGTGTGTAATGAAGTTCAGCTCCAATTTTTGTAAGTTCAGATTCAGGGATCAGTAGATTGTGATCGGTTCTACGTTTTCCAAGCGTATAAGTTGGTGGATGCTGAAGCGAGAGGAGGGTATCTGGAATTTGATGAGCTTTTCTCTCTGAAACTAATTTATCTTGCAGTTTAAGGGATTTCAAATAGTTGACAGTTCCTAGCTTCCAAACCTCCAAGGTTCTAGGGGATCTCATTTCCTGCACATTAACACAGAATCCATAATTAGCTCTAACTATTTAGGTTATCTATGAAGATACTAGAGCCAACACACACAAAAATAGTTCCTGTTCTTTTTTCCACACAAACTTAATACTAGTGATGGGGGTCTAAAAGCATGACTAACACAGCACAAATTTTCCAAAAGGCAACTAAGCTAAAGTTAAGAATAAAATCTGAGGAGCTAGGATACAAACTATATGAATAGTCTGTGAGGCATTTTATCGAACAGTTAACATGCATAAACAAAGAAAGAGACTTTGAAGATTACATCACCGATAAAAACCCATATAAATGATCGTACAAGAGTAAGTAATCGGTAAAGTAAGAGACTTTGAAGAGCTAGATTTACCCATACCGTTTCAATAGTTCTCCTCCACCGAAGAGTTTGGACCTCAGAGATAGGTTCTCTCCAGATTAGAAATTTTGGATTTATGAAAAGCTTCAAAATTCAACGACTTTGCACTTGTGCCCTTAAGTTTTCAAATTTCACATAAATACGCTTATCTAGAACATATCTCAACATTTCACACCCTCTTATTTTAATTTCAACATATAAAAAAACCCAATGATTCAAATCACAAACAATCGTTTCAGGGAATGATGCTGTTTCTTATCCCTTTGTATTTCAGAATTGAGAAAAATACACATAAAAGGGAAAGATTATACACTTTCAAAAACTTAGGGGTCAAATTCGAAGAAAAAAAGTCTACAAAAGTTTAGTTTTCCAATAGTTTGATCTTCTCCAGACAAGTATTCATCTGCCGAATCTCCTCTTCAGACAAGCTTTTGCTACACTGCTCAAACTTCTCTTTGTCGCACTTCAAGGCTGTGTCTTTACACGCTCTGATGCAACCGCTGATATCGAGCAAGTTTAAGATCACCGGACAGTTTCCGATGCTTTTAACCAACGTGATTGCTGACCAAACTTGTCTGTGTTCCTCTCTTGATGATCTTACTATGCATAGCTTTGTAATTGGATTCACATATTTCACTTGGAAGGAACCGAGAGACGAACCTAGACCACACTCGCCGAAATTGACGAGGATACTGTCTTTGATTGCTTTCGAGAGATTGAATTGTGTAAGAATGATCGGTGTTCCTTCTCCGAGAAGATCTTTGTCCGGATCCAGAAAAACTTCCATTAACATGTATCTGTTCTTAAATCCCACCATGCTTCTTCGAAATCGAATCTCCTCGATTCGATTGTACCAAGTCGGCGGCTAAAGAAATTCTGAACAACATGTAGTTAGGGCGTTTTATACGTTTTATCACGTGACTCTCCACGTGACTTGCTGATTTATGGACTTGGGTCTTTGAACTTATCTTGATGGGCCTAGTAAAAGCCCAGTTCATCTCATGCGTACCCTTTGTTGTTCATCGGAATCCCTAGAACACTCGATTTCCAGCAAAATCAAATCGGATTCAGTGATCAAAGTCAATTTGGTCGAGAAGAAATTGAGCGTTGAAGATGACGGAGGCGGTGATTAGGAATAAGCCAGGAATGGCGAGTGTGAAGGATATGCCGCTGCTTCAGGATGGTCCGCCACCGGGTGGGTTCGCACCGGTCCGATATGCTCGCCGGATATCCAACACGGGTCCTAGTGCTATGGCCATTTTCCTTACCGTTTCTGGTGCCTTTGCTTGGGGAATGTACCAGGTCGGCCAGGGGAACAAAATCCGCAGGTAAGAACGACTTGTAATCGCTCGCTCACATTTCAATTTTTCTTTTTTTCCTCTGAAATTCGAGATCGACTTGGTAAAATTAGTGTTGTGGAGTGATGACCAGGATAATGTAGTAAAGGATCAATCTTGGTTATTAATTGTTGAAACTTGAGTAAGTTTATCGTAATCAAAGATGATGGTGAATATTTAGCTTGTTGTTAGGATTAGGAATTGGTTAATGTTAACCATCCTGCTCGCTGTTTCGATGGCTTGTTTAATCACTGTTATGTGTTCTATTAGTATTCCACGGCATTTTGGCTTCAAGCTTAACCAGCATGAATTTAGACGTAACTAATATAAAGTTCGTCAAGAATCTGTAAACCTTTAAAGCCACAATTGCAAAGATGTGAATCTGCTATGAAGAAAGCAATTATCTAGTTGCATGTTTTGATAGTAGTTATCAGGAACTGGTTCTATGTTGTTAGATTGTTAGTCGTTAGTATTACATACTTCTTTCATCTGGCTTGATCATCATCTTCATATTTCTTGTTCTGGACATCCCTGATTCTCATCGAAAATTTCCAATTACACATCGTGATGATAAAAAGTATTTAAGTACAAGTGTTATTTGTGATCAGTAAGTATCAAGATTAATGCTCTTATCAAGATCGATTTGATGTTTAGGGCATTGAAGGAAGAGAAATATGCTGCTCGTAGAGCAATACTTCCCATTCTTCAAGCAGAAGAAGATGAAAGGTAAACGATATTTTATCAAATTAAGTCATTGTGCTTGCAGCAAACCTTCAGAAAGTAATCTTGTTTCAATCCCCGTTTTGTATTCTTTGTATAAATAGGTTTGTGTCTGAGTGGAAAAAGTATCTGGAATATGAGGCTGATGTAATGAAAGATGTCCCGGGATGGAAAGTTGGTGAGAATGTGTACAATTCTGGTCGCTGGATGCCACCGGCTACTGGGGAACTCCGTCCTGATGTCTGGTGATTTTGTAGTTTCTCTCAAATGCATATGATGATGATGATGAATGAGTGAATGTTTCGCCAAGGATTGACATGTTCTTGTTATATCTTTTTTTCCATCGGGTAATAAGAGAATGATTCAACATACAGTATTATTCTTGTATTGGTTTTGCTTGAACATTAATCTCTCTGTGTTTTTCTGCAAGTGTTTCAATCGTAAGATGAGTAAAAAAAAAAGTTTCATCAGCAAGCTTGCAAGAGTGGTTTAGTTTTCGGTTTACGAATTGGAATTCGGTTAAATAAAGACGATAATACAGAACTTGGTTTTACGAACCAAAACCCGGTTTAAAGTGGTTTTCAAGTTTGGTTCCTTTCTAACAGGTGTCCGTAACTAATTTGCCTACATCAACCCAGAAGATATCGAAGTTCAAAAGCAAAAATATCTTCCTTCTCTCTCTCTCTCTCTCTCTCTCTCTCCTCTCGTCTCTCTCGCTGAGCAACCATGATTACTGTCACCTCCAAGCTCTCTCTCCTTCCTCCATGCTTCTCTGTCGTTAACTCTTCATCTTCGCGTTCCAAAGGTGCTCAATTTCTTTCTGCCACGTCTTCTCTTTTTGGCACTCTGTTCACACACATCGTCGTTGATTCTTCAATTTCTTAAAAGACCCGTCTTTACAAAATTTCAATGGAAACGATCCCTGAAATTCGTCAAAGGGATGGAATTTTTATGTAAGAGTCGGAATTTCTTTTGGAACATATTGGTTATGTTTGTCGAAGGCTTGAACTGGTCTTCCACGGCTGTCACTATCGAGTTTGAACTCTGAAGATAGAATTTTGTGTTAGATTAATACGTTTCACTGCACTGTAGCAATTTATGCTTGAAACTACAAGACTTTAGGAACAGATTTCGTTTTATCTCGCATCGATTTTTGCCTTGTTTGTTATTATTAGCTCCCTGGAGCCTGCATGAAGCCTTGTCATCTGGGTTTCAATGCAGATATGAATATGGAGCCAAAAAAGAAAGTTAAACTAAGAGAAGACTGGAGAGAAAAGTCCAAACCTATCCCACCCGGAGGAACCTATCCAGCTAAAGACCATTGCAGGTTTGGTCTTTTTTTTTTTTTTTTTTTGTTTACATCACTATTTGTGTCTTGTTCTTATCAAAATCCTTGATGTTCTAATGGGTTTGCAGTCGATGCGGGTTATGCGACACCTATTACATCGCCCATGTGAAGGAGGCATGTGCATTTCTTGGAGATGGAATGTCAAGGATTGAGGTAATGTCCATATAAATGGATAAGATTTGCTACATTTTAAATTGTTGGGTTAAGATTTTTATTTTGTTAATATTTTAAGTTTTTGTGCAGAGCTTGGAGCCTGTTGTACATGGTCGAGGAAGGAAACCAGATTCCTTAGAAGATACATATTTTGGGGTGCATCAAGAGCAGCTCTATGCTCGTAAGTTGAAGCCTGTCGAAGGTACATAGACACTTCCCTTCCACTGTTCCAGATTTTCCAGTAACTTGTTTTCTTGGCTCAATCTAAGCTAGGACATTTTTTGTCTCTTTCAAGATGAAAAAGTTTTGTGTTTCTGGTTACAGTACATCAACGTTCATATCTGTTTTGGTTTCTTTTGTATAAATGTGCGTGGAAGAAGCTTAAGACCATTTTGTTTGGATCTTGAAAGCTATGTAACATTTGCGTTTCATGTGGCTATAAAAGGGGATGAATTCCCGCCTAAGCTTGAGAATTTGGCTTAGCTTTGTTGTTTACTTTTCATTTGATTTTCGGTTGCAGGAGCTCAGTGGACTGGAATTGTCACAACCATAGCCATTGAGATGCTGAAATCTAACATGGTTGAGGCTGTTGTATGTGTGCAGAGGTAAAACTAGATTTCAGAAATGGACTAGGCTGACAATAATCAACCATGCCGTAGATTTTTCCATCTACTCATGTAACTGAGTTATTGAAAAATTACAGTGATCCTGAAGACAGATTATCTCCAAGACCAGTATTAGCCAGGTTTTCCACAAGTCGCCATTTTGGTTGTGCATCCATATTCTGGTGTTATTCTGAATTTAGAAGCCTCTTGATGTTTCATTTCTTTTCATCCTAAGGACACCTGAAGAAGTTTTGGCTGCAAGAGGTGTTAAGCCAACTCTGTCTCCTAATCTGAATACTCTTGAATTAATCGAGGTTATTTGCCAAACCCTTCGTTCTCGTTTGTGTTATCGATTGCTGAATCCATTTCAAATGAAATTGAAATTTGCAATGTAACAGGCTTCAGGTGTGAAACGTCTTCTGTTTTGCGGTGTGGGTTGCCAAGTACAAGGTATAGTTTCAACATACTTATTTGTGGACATATATTCAAGTTTCTTCATATGGTGACTCTAATAGTATTGTAATGCAGAGTGATTTCTTATACTGCAGCATTGAGATCAGTGGAGCAGCATCTGAATCTGGAGAAGTTGTATGTACTAGGCACCAATTGTGGTAATTTTCTCATCCTATCTAGATTTGTTTTTTCTCCAGAACTTTCACAACTAGTTCTTGTGTTGTACTTTTGAACATTCCAGGTTGTATATGTTATTTCAGGGTCTCATATGCCTAGGTCTAGAATAATGGTCCCTCTTATACATGTTTTCAACAAGTAATAATAGCATCTTTGATTAATAGTGGACAATGGAACACGAGATGGACTAGACAAGTTTCTGAAAGCGGCTAGTAAGGAGCCAGAGACTGTTCTCCATTATGAATTTATGCAAGATTACAAGGTTAGCATCAATACAAAACCGTTACTTACCTGTGCATTTTCTTTGGTGATGCTAATCTTCTTCAATTTCATATAGGTCCAACTCAAACACTTGGATGGACACATTGAAGAGGTGAAATCGCGTAAAATACTGTGTTTCTCTGCAATTGCAGCTTAAACCCGTTTTTAAATATTTTTGGCTAAAGCAGGTTCCCTATTTCTCTCTACCAGCAAACGATTTAGTTGACGTCATAGCTCCATCGTGTTACAGGTAATACAAGTCTCTTCATTGTCGCTATACCTTGAAATAGACTACCTGTAGGAAATTTTTAAAACTTGTCTACAATTACAAACTTTTTTTTATTCTGCAGCTGCTTTGATTACACAAATGCATTAGCGGTGAGTGTTTCTCTAGCAATTAAGGTGTCCTTTCACTTAATTTTGAGTCGGCCAATTTCAAACATTTCCTTATACAGTATGTATGAGCTTGTTAATCTAGGATTTGGTTATCGGTTACATGGGTGTTCCGAAGTATTCAGGTCTGAACATGACTGACCATCCACAGTATATTACAGTGAGGTCAATATTTCTACTTATTTTGACATGGACCATATAGATCCGCGAGGTTTGGATAAAATTAGTTTTGTTTATGCCTTAAACCACAGAAATGAACGCGGGAAAGAAATGCTCAGCTTGGTAGAAAACCTTTTGGAGATCACTCCAACAATCAGCAGCGTAAAGTTTCTTACATTTATGTTGTTGGTATATTTAAGACTTTAAGAGTCCGTTTAACATATAACTTGAACAAACACATCTTCTTGTTGTTGTTTCAGGGTGATCGGC